GCCGAGAGTTGAGGGACCTCAGCACCCTGTTTATCTACCGTACAGCGACGGTGTTTTTTCTTCACATAGGGGCCTGATATAGAATGTCCAGAAAAGCAATAAATGGCAGACACTCAAAATGGCAATCGACTTGGACCGATGATTTGGCAGGAGTGGACAAAAGATTGAGGGTGGACAGGCCTGTTGTAAATTGACGGCGTAATCCGTCATGTCGTATTCCAGTATGCTCACAAGAGAGAGACACAGCCGGGCCTCAGTTCTCTCCCTAGTGCCTCACTTGCAATTGTCCATCTGTGGAGAGTGCGTGGTGTCATGTTGATAGTCAATGCCAAGCGCCGATGGATCAAGGTTGGACGCGCTCGGAAGATCAATTAAGATGGGGTATTAGCCGCCAACAATTTTGAGCCTCCAGTCCTCACAAATGGTCGTGACGATGGTACTATCACCGATTGCATGGTTTTTTGAGTCGCCCCAAAAAACCCGAGCAAACGAATCAATCAACTACAAGATATTGCAGGATTGACAAAAGCGAGGAGTCCATACATGGAATCCACACACACCTTGGATCTCTAGGTCTATAAGACCTCGTCTAGCCGAGCGAGTCTCCAACACTCACCAGAGAAAAAATGTCATCCCTCGCACGCCAGACAATATGGGTCGATGCATCCGATCAAAGCCTCGATCCTCGCTCGACGACAACTCTCGTCTCGAACGCGGCCAGGCAACCAGAGGTTCCAGGTCCCGGTCCCAAGATCAAGATATGTGACCAGGATCCGGAGGACCACTTTGACTCAACTGCGGAGATCATTTTCGATCGCCCTCTATGTATTGCGCGGCGGAAGCAGGCAAAGGGGGAATTGGTGCATATTCAAAAGTCAGAGTGCGCTACTTTGGCTCGAAACGTCTTGAAAGATTTCAACGACCAGACTCCCCACCGCAGCTTCCGACAATTGCTTGGAGGCTATCGCCATGGCGGTATGGCGTTTCTCGTGTGGGAGCCAGTTGAAGTATCCGTCGAGCAGATCATGGCGGCTCAAGGCATCATCAAAGCGACGGAAGTGATTGCCATTGCGAAACCGGTAAGTGCTGCCCAGCTTTCAGGAATGTATCTCTGACTGCAGCAGGTGCTTGAAGGCATTCGACATCTTGCGGACCATGGGAGGGTCCTCAATGTGCTGAATGCTAAGACAATATTGCTTACCGCCACTGGTCAAGTAAAAATTGGTACGAGGTGGAACACAGTTCATGGAAAGTAGAGCTAACGTCTGTCTAGCCGGTGTCGAAAACAGCATCCAGATCGACCCAGAAGCGATGGATGCTGCGACTATGAAGCTTTCCGCTTTGGCCCACGTGATCAGCGGTCTGATGAAAAAGAATCCGACAACGTACGAATGGTTGCCCATGATCAAGAATCTTCCCTTGCAGCTCGAGACACGCTCTGTGAATGAAATATTGCAGGTACGGTTATCCGCCTTCCTCCTTTTCTGCAGCTGACAACCAACAGAGCACGCCTTTTAACCCGGGCCCTCCAATCGATGAGTTGGTAATGATGACCAACATCACGAACAAGACCGCGCACCACCGGGTCAAGTATTCTGATCGAGGCGAGGATTAAGCTTCAGTTACCGTGAACAGCTGGAATGTTGGTATTCTACCTTTTCGAGACCCGAGGCAGGCGGCATGGAGAAATGAGCCTCATTGGGAGCCTGACCTGGATAAATGGGCAGATTGAATGCAGAACGAGAGTTTTATTTGTGTATTCATTGTGAAAGGAGACACGAGTAAGCCAGTTCTGCTATAAGACGTTGATACGGCACATTTCAGAGAATAAATTAAGGCAATGCTATTAGTTCTTTAGTTCCTCGTCAAGCGAAATTTGAGTCTAGATGGTCTTGGGCGCTTCAACGCAATCGGATCAATGGAAGCAGAAGGGAAGAACCCTTGCATTCCGTAGCGACCAAGCTCAACAGTGAACATTATGGATCATGGTCTTGTGCCGACTGCCTACCAGGTAACTAGCTATTTTTATCTCAGCCCAAGCTATCTACGGGAACGTGTGATAACCGAGAACGGTGGTTTTACTTTCATGCGGGAATTGATAGTCTAGTTGACACCTGAGGTCACAAACGAGCAAACTTCCATTGGAAAACCCGGCCTAGTAGATGGGAGCAGCACGACACCACTGGTTGAAATCGTGAACAATTCCTGAGAGGGCCGTGCGCCCCGGACAAGATCACCGCTTATACCCATCGAGAATCTTGGACCTAACCCACCGCGCGTGATTATTGTCTTCCAGCAAAACCAGCGGGATTCCTCTGGTCGAGTCCTCAAAAATTCCACCATTGCGCTTGTAAGATGGTACTGCGGTGTTATGGACAGAGTTATCTGGCCCCTGCCTCTGAGGCGCTGCAGAGTCGTCATATTGCACGTACTCAACGCCCAAAGGATCCTCGCCACCACCAGTCGTGCGCATGACACATGGCTCCGCTTCCATGTCAAGGTTGACGATCGACAAACTCGGGCACTTTTCTCGTTGTGTAATACGAGCCACACGCTCGCGTAGCTTCTCGCCAGTGCACACTGTACTTTTCATCAGCACGACTTCAGAATAGGGGCTGGGAACTGTTTACCTGCGACGGCAATTTTACCGGATTGTGTGCGGATGTGATGCACCAATACCTTTTCAACGTCAACAGGCGCGAAGTAGTAATGCAGACGCGTTCTATTCTTCAGCAGTTTGCGCGTCGCTGAAGGGGCGTGTAAAAGATGAATCGAAAAGTTCAAGATCTGAGTCCGTCTCATATCAGTGTGAAGGCTGCAAGGATGATCCGGTTACAACGAAACATACATCGAATCCGTGATGCTCCTGTGGAGTTTCCCCTGTCCCTGATCCCATCCGGTCTCCCATCAAATCAAGCTTCAGTATATGCTGGATTTCGCGGTGGACCCAGCTTTGATGTTCTGAGAGATTCGGTCAGTTAGACACGGCATCTGGAGCGTCATTAACTTACTAAACTTTGAATACTCAGTCTGCCAAAGAACTTCCAAACGTCGAACCTTGTTTGTGCGTTCGCGGCTTCCCTCCACCAAATCACGAATGAACGGCAAAGCCCGCAAGAGTCCGATATCCTCCAATGCAAATACCACCGTTCCATTCTGGCCAAACGAATGTGCGCCTCCGTAAGGGCCAAACACAAAGGCTGGCAAGTTCAGACTCGGCACGCCAGCGTGTAAAATACGCTGCGCCAGCTTTTTTGTCAGACTGGAGGAAGGTCTGGTCACCACTCGGAGAACTTTACGTTTTCCTTTTTGCGAGGTGGATGGTCCGTGTGGGTTCGTGTGCTCGCGCTCCGTCGACGTGATGAAAAAGATTGGAAGCTCCAGGCAAACGGCAACCCCCAAGCGTGGCATCCACAGTTGAATATACTGACCAGGTTTCGTCCGCATTTGAGCTGAGACCGTGATCTTCAGCCAGAGAAGACTGTTAAATAGGCTGACTTCCACCAGATCAGGCCCCATATACCACGATCGGTGCGACCACATGGCGTGCACCAAAGTACCTACGCTGCAGGCCAGCCAGGAGCAGATGCCGCCAAGCAAGACCCAACGATACACGGAATTGACCTGAAACAGATGCACTTCCAGAAAAGAAACGGCGATCAGGGCAAGTGCATAATGGGTCTGCAAGACGAATCGCGGTCGTCGCTGGAGGAAGACATGAAGCGACAGTGGGAGGATCATAGTTAGACTGCATGCCGCCTTGGATCATTCAAATCAACAGTGTTAGCGATTGTGATCGACTTGAGGATGTGTTCGTGCTGAGGAAACCTACCACAATTGGAAGCACGAGTACGGTCGAAATGCGCGCCGCGTTCTTGATAGCGTTGACTATCAGTGTCGTATGGACCAGACAGTGACAGACACAAACACGTCCGAGCCATCTGTGCAGCCACCGAAAGGTTTGTCGCTCAAGGTGACAAACCTGGGCGGGGAGGCTGAAAGAGAACCCGACGCAGAGTGGCAGCAGGTGTATGACGGAAAGGCAGCCGGCACGCATCTGGACGTCTCTCCACGTCGAAGCTCGGAAGACCAAGGCTACGATGTTGAGGCCCCATAAGAACGCAACTATTATGGCCTGCGCGTAGGAAGACAGATCTACACAGGACATATGTCGGGGCACCGGGTATTGGAACGCCCACCAGGACACAAGTTGGCATGCGCGTGAGAAATAACGCCCTATCTGGTGCGTTAAGCAGTAAAGCAGCCATGCTATAAAGACGAGAGCTGCTGCTAGCGCGAAGTTCTCTTGGACTTCTCGCTGATATAGCCAGTCGGTAGGCATTGTCATCCGATGCATGAGGTGGTTGTGATGTGACTCTTTGGGACCAGAAATGCAATATATGGGATTTTCCCGTGCAGAGTCTTCGTAGCTTAGTTTCGTCACTCCGCCAATGTTGATGAAAAGGTTGCGATTGCAATCGCAAATATTGAGCTTACAGCATCAAAAAAATGATTCTTATAAGGAATTTATTGTCCGTCTCTATTGCTTGAATCCGCCCAATATCAGCTGCTTGCATATAACGAAGGGCTCATGACGGCCACCTAAACGCAATATAACCGCACCCATCAACTTTTGTAATCCTTTAGTAGAAAGAACTGCTTGACCGCAATATCTTGAAGTATAAAGCTCAAAGTCACGTCGGCTCGCCCAAGAATGGTCATAAAGGGAGGAGTCACAAGGCATTTGTGAGACTTAATGAACTACAGTCTCATAGGGTCATATAAATTGGATCACATCCAGTGCCCCATATTCCCAACTTCTTCGTGAAAGACTTCATGGTGCTATCGCTTTCCCACAGTCAGAATCCAAAATGTCGATACGCACATTCATTCGCCTGCCACATACTCTTTGGAAGACAGTAAGATGCTGGTACAACTCCGATAAGAATGTCTTGAGTCAAGATGTACCCCGACCCCGCTCCGAGACTCGTTATGCCCGAATGTTACGAGAAGAGGCCGAGGTCCAAGTCACATACAACATTATTGCAAGTACAGCCAATTGGGTCCTGCTTGCCGGGTACTTGGTGGTTCCTGGCACTTTTACCTCCCTCCAGACGTCCAATCAAGTCGAAAGTGCTCTCAACCACAACGGCGCTGGACGTCATATGCTACATACCATCCACAACCCGCCTTTACTCGGCATAGCATGTTTCTTCTTGATGGTTGGGGCTTTCGCTCTTCTCTGGCTATTGCACTTTCGTCAACTGCGATATGTCTACACCTGGTTGATCAACAAGATTTTCATGTGAGTCATGCCAAGAAAGATGAGGGTTCTTTACTGATAGGCAATAGGCCAGTGTCTCTGAACGCCGCAGCCGGACTTCTCACCACCCTGGTCAATGTTTACACTTCACGCGCGGGCCATTGGTCCGTTATGGCTTTGGTAACGGCTGTTGTCACTGGCTTTACTACGCTGGCATTTTCACTGCTCTTTTATGTGTACCGATTTCAGATGCTTAAAAATGTGATGGCAGATAGGAGGCTTTTTCATTCCTGATATTCAGGGGTGGTAATATCTACTGCCTGATGGTGCGGCATGGAGCAAGCAGTGAAAGTAACCATTTTCTTGAGAATCATACCCACTCTACCTCTATGCGAATATTGGATTGGTGGTGCCAAACCTTTTCCCATTCTAAAGGCTTTCATAATCGCTGGGATGACAGTTTTACGTGCTGAGGCACACCTATAACTTTTGGAAAGTAAGTCATTTTGCTTTGAAGTTCCTTTCAAAAATATGAGATTGAAGAAGTAAGAAAGCAGGGAGGGGTTCCAAGTTTAATTGATTCGCTCGACTCAACAGTTATGTCAACGTTCATTCACCACCCCCGTTAGTTTCGTTCTTTCAACGCAAATTAAGCCGGTTCCAATTGGAAGATCCCGAAGAATCTAAACTTAGAGAAATTTAAGCGAGCGTTCATATAACAACTTCTTCCTCCACCTTGTAAAGGTCCCTGAGACAATATCATCCCACACCAGTTGTTCACCCAACACGAATGATCTCTGAACGAGTCGAAATATCCCTTTCTTTGCTCAAATCATCGTGTTGCTAGCTGGGCCCTCTGCTAAGCAACGGCACAATGTATTTTGACCAAATGAACAGGAGCTGCAGCTACGCACCTGCCGACTGGACAGCTCATAGACCGCCCTTATGTGACACGGATTTATACATTATCCCGCAATCAGCAATCATCATTCCAGAATCGCAACATCACATCAGTTACTCTATTTATCCCCAAGTCGCAGTTCTCCTCAGTACTGTGAATCATCAGTGCATCGCTACAGCAACAGCAAACCTTTACCAAAATACAATCTGTCCAGGGGGATTTACCAACACCTCCGCTGCACGACCGAGGACGTACGGCTACGGGCCGGACTCACTCGATCCCTACCGTCTTTGCGGTTCTCCTTGGCCCGATCGTTCAATCGATCTCAATTCGGATGAAAGTGAATGCTTTGAGCCCAGCAAGGTCGAGTCATCCATGAGTTGTGCTCAATACGAAGCTGGGCTCCCGTACTTGCCGCCAAATATCGCAGCGCCAGGATTCATATGCGTTCAGTCGGGATGTAATAAAATCTTCAAGCGCCAGAAGAACCTTTCACGCCACTTGCACTGTCACTCCGGTATCAGAGTCCATGCCTGCTGGGTTCCCGGGTGTCATCGCAGGTTTGTCCGTCGTGATAACCTCAACTCTCATTATCTGACCCATGGGAAATGTGGAGGTCGAAACCGCTATGTAGTCACTCTAGATGAACATAGCGCCCTTTACAATCCTGCTTTTCGCGGTGCGCTGACACCTCATGGCTGGCCGCTCGAAGCTCAGTGATGCGTAATGCTACACTTGAATTCCTGGGTGAGCTGCATTTGGAATCTGCAAAGGGCTGTATGGATGAGGCGCATTTGCAACTTGCATATGAATATACTGCTGCTATTTCTGCGGAACGAATGACTCATTTCTCTGTCGAGGTCTGCTGGTCTCAATAGCAAGCAGACTGTGGTTTATTGTACGAACTTGAGCCACGTCAAAATGGAATTTCAGTCTCACAAACTCCGACTTCTTAATACGCCGCAGTTGCTTTGGATGACTTGAATGCAGTCTGCCCCTTGATTTTGGTACGCCAAAGGCTCCACTCTTTGTCAGAGATATTCTACAACCTACTCTTGGGCTGGTAAAGAACATGTCAAAAGTAATTTCAAACGGCCCTTTGAGCTCTATGCGGTAATCTAGATTGTTTACGGAGTTTCTTTTTGCTAAATAAGCGAGGCGATTATCTATATGCAATGTCTGCAAATCCGTAATGAGGCCTCTTTGATCACTGTTGTGATTTGAAGCTGGTGCAGATCAGGAATCAAGTCGCAACATCGGAATTAATCCCGAAGTGTCTAGACGAAGGAACAGGTTGTTTCCAATCAACTTGTTCTTCTGTATATATAGCCACATATTTCCCTCTGAACAATAAGAACAATAATCAACTTTCCTCTGAACTACAACAGCTACCCGTACCGAAACTCTCTCTGAGATGAAAGACGGCTCAGTGAAGCACAGAATCCTATCCCAAGCTCAGTATTTCCCACACTAGATACAAGCCACTATTTTCAATGGATGACTCCGTGTGGGCAACCGGCGCGGAGAACAGCCAAGATCAGAAAAGGTGGGCTGTGCTTACATCTTCAAATAGATGTTTCATCACACACGGCTCGACCAGCCTAGATGTTCTTCTTGAAATGATCACCTCCATTGATAAAAATTTCGCGAGATCAATCGGTTTCCTTTCTAGGCCACACACGTGAAGAGACCAAAAGCAACTTTGTTGAGTAGCTGAGCCAGCTCGCTCACCAGGGTTGGGCAAACAGGAGTCGCAAAGATAGACGGCATGACCAATAGTTGCCATTGAGTGAAAGTTGAGGTAGACTACGGGGCCCGTCGACACCATCTAGGAAAGTAAAAAGATGGCCCACTGAGAACGCAAACTTTATCCGCTGGCTAAATTGGGGACTAACGGATCACTTTTATATTTCTCATCTTTCAGTTAAACAGGGAATATCGTAAAGGTTGAGATAATTTTGCTCGCTCCACTATCTGATGTACTGCAGTGCATCTTGGGTGAATGAGGAAACACAGGCCTTAGAGGAAGGGCTAAAACGGCCATTCCTCTGTGCCACTCCTCTGTCTCCCTTTTCAATCAGAGTTCGTATCCTCAAGCAACCCAAAGTGGTGAGATCATCAACAATACATGGTCGTTCAAGTTGAGCCAACACCGAGTACCTTGGATCCACACCCGTGCAGCTCGTGCGTCGAGGTGGGGCCACCACATTTGCTTTGGCGTCTCGACGTTGAGTGAACGACTGTGAATGTTCAGCGAGACAAGGAATTTAGAAATGCTAGTTGTGACTGACTGAAAGATTCCCTCCGTACTTTGAAAGGCCAGGGATAGTGCTGGCGTATGGACCACAGGAAATGACGGAGGAGAACAAACAATGGCCCGCAGGATTTGAAAGCTGCTCCTATTTTCATGCTATGGGGAATGTCCCTCCTCACTTATCTATGATGTTGGTATACAATGATTGCTGAAACCTGTATCCTACGGACGCAAGAATTTGATTGACGAAGAACCGTCTCTGGTAAGTCGTATCCTCAATCTATCCTCCCCTATTTATAAGGCTAGCTACTGCATGCAGTCCCCGACACTTTCATCGAATTACAAAGTCCCGTCATCCAAAGCAATCACGATTTGGAGACTACCTCTTTTCCAGCTTTCCAATAGCCCGGCAGCTACCATGGGTAGAGTTATGAACGCGTTCACAAGAGTTCGGGAACGGCGCCGCACCAAACAGTTCAAACTGAACCATGTACCATTGTGCACACCGCAGTCGTCCCTTGACAAGAAGATTTTCTTCCCCAACTGGCAGCCTAGACCAGAATGGAAACCCCGTCGAGGTGTTGACTTTGTTGGTAACGCTTGTTGGATTTTCACGAGCCCAGACGACCCAACCCTTCGTCTTGACGAGATGCAACTGAAGCTTTACCGAAATCTCTCTTTCCAGCCGGTATTCGAGAATGGCGGAATCATTTACAAGCGCGCCAACGAGCCTCCGCTTACGTGCATTACGAGTCCAACTGCTTTGGAGACCGCAAAGCCGTATTGCGCGGGGACATACTGATAGTGGAGACCAAAAACCGGCGCTGTGCCAATGCACTATGTCCGCAATGCTCTATCTTCTCTTTCGAGACATTCTGAATCTCGCTAAAGGGCATTCTTGATGTACTAGGAATATTGGTGCGTTGAGATTAAGCTGAAAAGTACATGGACGAATTTGAACACTGGCGAGGGCTTCTGCTAGACTGATAGTTGATGGACTAAGAAGATGCCAACACATGTACTTTAGGACTCTAGTCGAGAATTGATTCATTTATCCTTGTGCAGCGAGAATAGACGCGACTCATACTCGCATGGTCCTTGCGTATTCAAGAGACAGTAAATTAGAATGAGATGCCCCGGGAATCAGCTCAATATTTCAGTAATAGCATTCAGACTGAGAAGCATGAAAGCGTCCGCGTCAGAGAGCGATCTCTTCCCGCCCGCTGTCGAGATCTCCAAAGGTCTCAAAAAATTAGCGGATGATCTGCCATAGACTTTCAACGCGTAATTGTTTGCAAAGTTCACTGGGGAAGAAAGGCTCGGATGATTCTGCAGTGAATCTGCTTCCCGGTTTTAGACTATTGCTGTGGTAGCCTTGTCTCGGATTGATATTCTGATGACTGATGCTTCGAGCCATAGCCCTAAGCTAGCCCCGGAAACACGAATTAAATGTACCGATGATTGTCTCACATATGTAATTCGCGCTGAATTCGAAGTCTTGGTTGGAGCATTCCCAGTCAAGGTAGAGTAAATGATATGAGGCAGGTAATAATTCAGGCTTATTAGAACAATCACTCATGTTTGCTCACCAGGACCGATCACTCACCGAGAAAAAGGTTTACCGCAACGCCTACACGCCACGGTTGGGTCTTTTGGCGACAGAGCAAAAAATGACGAGCTCTTGGTGTATTCAAACACACATTTAGACTGTTGGAATTTGACCGGCGCAGCTTAAAGCCGGCCGGATGGCGACTCTCAGAATCTTCGAGGATCATCTTTATCAACCCCACCCTGCCCCTCCCTTGCCACTCCATGACACCCTTCATGTCTCCCAGTCGAGAGAGCTTTCCCTCCCCCGCCTCTAGGAAGAAAGGCTCGGAATCCTTCACCTCGATCACTGATGGACTTGCCAAGAGAATCAGTGGTCGCTTCATTCGAGCCGAAGGTAACGCCCCTACCGCAACCATCAGCACCTCGCCATTCGTATATTGGAAAACGCAGGAACTAGTGTGGAAATGGGACCAACGGAAACTCTGCGGTGCGCGAATGAACATGCTGCTCAACTCGTCGCTGCTCCCGCACGGCCAAGCATGGAATGTTCCTGACACGGATAACATCTTCGTCTCTGTTGGACCACTGGGCGTGATTGTTCACGAGCCTGCACATCTTAGAAATCTTGACTGGTCTGAATGTGCGATCGGCGTTTCTCAAGACGAGAAAGGATCTGGTGCTAGAATCATTCTACAGGGCCGCACTAAGAGAGAATCAGGCAAAAGCCTGAGCAAGCTCCTCGTCCGTTTCAAAGACCCGATTCTCCCTCAGCCTCTGCTTCCACCCATTTCTTGGTCAACCGAATTCTGGATGTCAGATTCCGTGGTACTCGACCCACGTTTGGATGAGGGGGAGCTGATCATTGAAGGTCTCCAACTAAATGTCAGTGGCTCAGAAGAATATCTTTATATCGGACTTCCGGGGACGGATTTTGGCGCTCTGTTCAACACACTCATTACTTCATGGGGCACTAGCGAGGACTGTTTTAAGTATTCCTGTGGGTACTTCTGGCTACTTGCATCCATCAGCCCTGTTCACTTGGCTCCAGAAGCCCACGGCTCCTCTTTTCTATTGGAAAAGTATCCCCTCTCCTTTCGCGAGCAGATGAGAGGAGAATCTTGGCTTGTTGCAGCCAAAATTACGCTCAAGCTGCAGAGGCCATCACGTCTCAAGTCGAGGCTCCAGGTCCAGGTTCACGCCATCTCGTCTGGCTGTGTGACCTCAACTCGACGACCTGCCGGCTTTCAATGAGGGGGCTGTAATTGTTTCCAATGAGATTTATCTTGCATATAGCGATTATATCATCAACACTTTGGGCTTTTGAAGACTATCAATTCAAATCTTCATATATGTACATCCAACCGATGAGGACACTCAAGGGAGCAGAATTGGGAAGAGGGCTTCTATTCCGGGTACACTTATTTTCTGAAGTAAAGAAGTCAAATTAGTCGATTCAACGTGGAGCTTGTGAGTCTCTCGGGGGTGTTAGGTGGGAGAGCCTCTTATGTTTCTGGAAAAGAAAACCTATCTTGTGGAACCTCTTGCTTCATTCAACACTATCTCTCCAAATGTATTCTTTCATTTGCTAAAAGCATCTCAAAGAGCCAATTTCCCTGCTGCACCGAGTCGATGAGCATAGTCCCAGATCCACGACAAGTTTCTCGCATAATCAAGCTGGGCAGAACCTGACGGCACTACCTCGAGACCTACCAATTGATCAGCTTGGTATGTAGTAGAAACATTAGGTGATGTCTTACCGGTCGATGATCTCTTGGTTCCTGTAGAATCACTGCGGTCTGATTGTCCTGTGGAAACATTTCGAAGCCATCGTCTGATTCGGCGCTTGAGCGGATTTTTTTTTCTCCCTTTCACAAGGAGTTTGCGATGTTCACACGTTGTAGGTTGCCGTTTATTTTTGATCGGTGTATGACCAGCATCGCGGCGTTTCCGAAGGATGTGGTACCTTTTCCCTCTCAGAGACTCAGCGCTTCTTCTTATTTGATATTGCTGCCAGTAAGCGTGAGACAGAGCGTTCCAGGTCAAGTCTCGGTTTGATTCCAACCAGGGTAACAGGTTTTCCTCCTCCCAGGTTGACCAACCGACCGTACTATGGGGAGCCATTGCTCAACTGAGCAGCAGACCTCAGGAAAATGGGGCAGTTGCAGTTCAACTGTGAATTATTCTGGCTCAGGATCCTGTGCAGGAGGAGTTACATCTTTATGAAGTTTTCAGTGAAAAGAAAGTCTGCCACATATCGTTTCAAATGGCTAGGGTGCTGAGCGTAATCTTTCACCACTGACAAGGTTCGAAAAGATCCATGGTCGGGCTCTTGCAGCGTCTTGGCAAAGAAAAAGAGAAAAAAAACTGGTGGGCAGAGTTTGAGCTGTTGAACGTCATTCAAACTGTTGAGCAAACGGAGAGGTAGCGTTTACTAAACGCTCTCCTAAAGGTGGGGGTCAATGTTCGATGTAAAAAATAGAGTTTGACAATAGCCCGATCTCAAGGATGGGAAATGAGACTGCATATTGCGAAATTATCCACCTGCGACTTGAAATCAGTCGACTAGTGGATATACCAAAGCAAGAGTGAGATATCCTCGGCCGGGAGCTTCAGGTCTCGCCAATGTTGAAAAGTTTTCAAAAGATGGGCGTTGCCGAGCCCTCAAAAACTCACTGACAAGACAGTTGGCCTATATCTGGACTCCGAAAAAGAGCATTCAGGGGACGTCTCCTCCGTCTTAAGAACAATTTTTTTTCCTTCGCCCTGCGTTCATTAAATGACGATGGACGCACTGAGGCTGCCACAACTGCCCTAAGGTGAGATTTGAAGGCAAACGAGGTAATCGTACTATATCTGATGTCGGCTACTTTGAATCGAGACAATATATGCAAAAAGAGCCCGTACTGAGTTTTCATAAATGATGCGGATAAAGTAAAACTAGGTTGACAAATGTCTTGCCCTACAGGTGTGACCGGCACAGAATGGGGATACCCACCATGCGCCTCACATATTGAATCTTTTTTCTCAGTTTACTGGAGCCGCTAGGATCTTGCTGGCTCGAACGACCCCAGCATGGTCCTGAGACCAAGCGTTCTGTAGATGGTGATGGCTCTTCGTTTGCGGCGTTTGCGGCGTTTGCGAGCGTCAGAGTTCGCTCGCAACAAGGAGTAGCACGTTGCTTGGACGGGTCGAGCGAAGTGGGCAGCGAGGCGACAGAGGTGGATCATTCGGAGGCTCTGGGAATTTGTAGTATTTACGTGTCAACAAAGTTGCTGTATAATGTTGTAGTCGTGTGTTGCGAGTGTCGCGGATAGAGACTCGACGGGCGCGCCCGTCCAGGCTGAGATGTTCCTGGCGGATCGGCAACGCGCCCACCCACGATACACGTGACTGCGATGGTCACTCTTTAGACCGTTAGATCAAGATGCTTAACTAGCTCTCTGATTTGCTGAAGAAGACTGGACGTTGCGTTGATCACAAATCTACGGCGTAGAATACTTTTACCGTAAACTTCTGCTTTACATCCTGCGGAGGACTTTTAGCGAACCTTGCAAAAAGCCCTGGCGTTGTTACATATCAAGCATCACTCAGTCAAATATATATGCTTTTTGCCTGGGGAACTAACTTAAGTGGTTTCTACGGTATACGGTAATAGGGAAGACCACATCTAGCTTTGCCAATATGTCTCTCTTTGCTAGCTTTGTAAGATCTGCGGCTCATCTACACGCACGACATATATCTCTGGAGCATTGCGGTGTAAAGCGCCAGTTCTAGCCACCGAAGCCCATTATGTTCGGTAGAAACGCTCTCCGCATAACGAACTTTTTTTAACAGAAACTTTGCGTTCAGTTTTAGCAATTCTTCAGCCAATGTGGCATGGCTACATTCAGTGGAAACACTTTCGCTGTGGCCAGGACCCTGTACGATCGCAATTAACACGTGAGGTGCGTTGACGCAGACATGCGCTGAGTACAACACGCTCATCGGTGTAATGTTTAGAGTTACAGCCAGTGCTGTGAACGAAGCGATGGTGATAAAAGAGCACGTCGCAGAAAACTGGTGATCCAGTGCACGTTGATACATGTTGAAACTTGAACACGCGTTGGTGAATTAAGTTGAGCAACTCCATCGCTGATTCAACAGATACAGACCGAAGAACTGTTGCCAGACATGTCTCTTGAAAGGACCTGTCACCAAATCACTGGCCTTATTTGACTGCTGCCCAACCTGTCACAGTAGAAGAATCAGTAAAAGGAGTTCAACAGGCCTCACTTACCACAAGCAATTCCTGTGACCCGCCCCTCAAAAAGCGACAGACAGAGAAGACTACACGGTGGCAATCTAAAGCAGGCGGTAACAAGACTAGTCAAGAGACCTATAAATATGGCCTCCTCCCCCGGTCCTCTGTCGAAATAATTCTCTTCCTTACTGCATTGGACGGATTCCCTCAAGCCGAAACCAAGATGCATTCCTGCAGCATACCCATGATAAGTCCCTCCTCTTTGATTCCTTCAAGCTCTTTCTGTTCCTGATAATGACAGTGCACACCCAAGCGACTCAGCCACCTGGCTCTCTTTACCCACTGGGTGGCTCACTTCACTGTACCCATCTTCGTGCCTGCCAGCCAGACTATGAGTCTATACTGGCCACAACCTTCTGTAAGGATGCACGTGCATATTAGTCCCGTCAAGCTGAGCTGATGATATTACTTCTGCCTAGCTCTTTGATCATGGGAATGCAAGCGAGGCTTCCTGTCAGGTAATCCCTTGTCCGGCCAATGCTATCGGAAACTGTGCTGAAAACCCAATGTTACCACCAGCCGGATCTATTCAAATAGGACGTCCCAAGTCAGCACTGCGAAACATATGCATCTACCTCCCAGCCACATCGATGCCATCACCGAATCGCCCATGAGCCCCACGCTCTTTATGTAAGTCATGGGCCCATACGTTGATTCAACTGCTAAATCATGCTCGACTGAAAAGGTCTCTTTGCGAGACCATCAGCGAGACCTCCCTATTCAGGGACACTGCAAAATTTGGAGGGCTCTCTTAGTTTACGCTCACGTCGCCATTATCCCGAACGATTCGATGTTCTGATAGTGTAAAAAAGCAAAGCTACATGTGCACTTCACCATGGCCACAGCTGCAGCGAGTTCGCGTGGCTGGACATTCGTTAAAACAGGTACGTCTGTTCGGTGCTTTTGCTCCTGTCGCTGTCGAAAGTGAGGTCAGGCTATGCTCACCAAGACGGAATGAGCGTTATCTTAGTAGTGTCATACGTTCTGGGAGCGAGGCGGAAAGTGAAAAGGGTAGAAAATGAAAGAGTGAGCGAATGTTCTCAAAACCAAATGCATGCTGACTATCTTGTAGGGATGTTTTCCCAGTGACCCAAGACGTATCAGCTCTGCGAGATATGACGCAAACCATTGGACATGTCTTGCACGCACCTTCCACCCCGCCGGTTTGCCGCGAAGAAACGAAGCTCTTGCCTTGGCGCCATTCTGCCGATGAAGGTGAAGAGGCTCATTGTTGCTAAAGTGACACAGCCCTCACACTAGGAACCAATGTTGCCAACGGAGTCTTAGCCCAAGCAGCTACTACATCAAATCGTTGAGGCCCCTCAAGGCAGTCATGCGATCGACTTCTTGATTCTAGAAATACACGATACGATGCGTGGCACGAGTGCAAATCCCTTAGACTGAAGAGATTATGTTCAAGAGGCCCTACAACGGCAGGTTCTACCCCTTCCTCTGCGGGGTTTCCGAGGACGAAAATCCCGCAGGTCCTCGCTCGACGAACTTTGCCCTAGCGCCAAGCATCGTGAATTTGCACCAGGTCGAGATGGTCATTGGGCATGCAAGCCTGGCACCTCGCCGCCTTCTTCTATTCTCCTCCTAGCCTTGTATACAAGTCTGGGAGACGTCTTTGTCACCGGAATTAGAGCCGTCGCTTCGATGGCAAAGATCCAGAATGGACAAACGACTCGAGACCGTCTTCGCTGTAGATATGGTTTGGCTGTTCAACCCATCCAGTGTGTCGCACTATAGGCGCTTGTGGGCAGTTCCCCAATGGTGCCCTCGTCATCACCGAGGGAGAGATGGGATTGACATGCGTCTGCGAGCCCGCACCTCGAGCACTGGATCATCTGCAATATCTTGCCAAAAGGGCCCTCCCGCATGATTGCCAAGATAAGGTCCTCGCATTAGCTTTCCCGTGCCCTTCACCCACTGGCACGGACTATACACCTCCCGGCCAGTGAAGTCATCTAGATCCGTTACGCCGGTGATGTTCGCCGTCAACTCGTGTCTACCAGCCAGGATCAAACCACGATTCTAGACCACATCACCATGCCCCGTACGTATGAAAGTGTCCATGAGCCTTACCGAGCTCAGCTAAACAAACTTCACTTCCCTTAGCTTCTTCAATCACGACAACACGAGTGATTACTCTTGCCCAGCTATGCCCCAGAAGACTTTGTTATAACACGGAGTTTTACGACTAGCCCCGTCTATATTCAACCGCCCCAGGTCAATCCTTTAGAGATGGCTCAGCTGTCAGCCCGCTACCAGGACATGTGAGTCAGAAGTTGTTTGCCTGATCCGCTCACTAATCCCGTGCCCAATAGGGCATGCCTTCAGGCAGATCTCAACCGAATCATTAAGGCCCCAGGTTACGCAAGACTACCACTTCCGGCCCATTTCATATCAACGCACTCGTCGCCATTGGCTTCCGAGAGTTGGAAACTTAATCGGTGTGCCAAGATAAATCTACAGGCATACCCCGCCACGGACAGAGAGTTGACATCAGCACGCAAGCTCGGCGGCAGGAATTCGACTGCGGTGAAATGGCATTGTGCCTAACGGCTCAACAACTTCAATCGCGGCACCGCGGGTCCCTCGCCAAACCCGACAACATGCGAGAAGCATTGCGATACTTCCAGCCGAGAAGCTAACTATGAGGACGGCCCCCACACTTCACGTGGGTAGCCGGATGATCAATGGCGACCAGCTCATATCCCTTGCTCCTGGAGCCCTTCATCCTCTCGCTTCCCGATATGAAGAGCCCTCATCATGTAGGTTGAGGCCGAGATCGCAACAACTGTCGTGTGCTTTCGAACCCGAATATCGAGCATTGGATCGTTTGCCAAAATTTGCAGAAGGGTCACCCTTATGTTTCGGCGACTCCAAAAATTCGTTCATCGTTGAATTATCTGAGCCCTGCTGTTGATGACGCGAAAGCAGACACCATCGTGGAGTCAGCTAGCGCCCATGCAGGTGTTTCGTTCTCCTTCGACTCATACTAGCTACTCAACCTGAAAGTCATTGTGTCCAGACTAGTTGATATACCCGCACTGCGCTTGCAAGCACATGTACTCCCCGCCCAACCGAACTCAGGCGATTTAACCTGTCTGCTATTTTGATCTTAATAACAAGAGCAAGCCTTCCAGCGCAGGCATGTCCCTCGTCAAACGGCAACGATCTGTAACTGCAATATACTTGCTTTCACAGCCAACCCGGTCTTGTTCGAGTCATACAAAGGAACTACGAACATGGTGCATCGTTCATCAAACCCTGATTGCACGTCAAACGCTGATCAGCCAACAGGATATGTGAGTCAAGGGTCCCTTCTCTGATCAATTGGTTAATGCGAGCCTAGCAGAAAAAACCTTCCAGCAAGCCCTAAGTGAATAACGAATGCCATTAGCTAAATCAGAGGCACCTTTCTTTCGACTGCCCCTTGAGTTCGCTCAGCGTCTACGTCGCCAGTTTCCCAAATGAGATGGCATGTTCAGCAACTTGCCCAGAAACAGCTTTAATATGCATACTCCACGGCTCATGCGGCTCAAACCACTGCCATAGCTTGAATGAGGTTTCGTGGAGTGGTCTTGTGGGATTCGGTCTTGTGGGAGTCGGTCTTGAGGAAGTCGATCGGGGGTTGGGCGAAAATCAGATGGCTCTGCTGGGGATACCTCCATGAGCATTTCAATCGGTTACAGCTGCCATATCAGCCAAGAAGAGAGGTCCGAAGCAATCATGATGTGACCAGATCGAGGTTGTGTTGGGTTGGCATTTGGAGTTCGGGCAGAGCCACGCCAAAGCGTGGCCTAGATTGCCTACTGGGCGTCACTAGAGCGAGTCAAGAATTAGACAAGGTCGAACGCGAAGAGTTGTGAGCGCGATCTTCTTTGACTGCGGATTACTGACTCATTTTCAAAGGTCATTGTCATATGCGGACAACTCCGCGGGACATGGCGCAAATAATACCGCGCGTCTTGGGTTACCTCACCGCCTTTGCGTCGCGCCGAATCGATAGCCTCCCCTTGCCGAGCACTGATGGACGTGCGGGCCAATGCCAACCTTTCTTCGCTTTGGAGACACCACACTGTGTTTCCATCCATGAGGGTGTGAGCGCAGACACCATTTCACATCTTTGCTCACGACAAGTAGCTCACCTGGCGAATGTGCATTGCAGCCATCCATCCGTTCCTCCGTTGCGATGCCATGCATATCTATCCAGCGGATGCAGTTCCCAAATTGACACAAATTTGTGATCGATATGAGACGTAACCCGCCATTTCGAGAGAAGTTGAACACAGGGAATCACCTCACACAATGAGAATTTTGATAGGCAACCCCTCTAATGGGTCCATTGGATATGACTGCCAAGGGGCACATATGAATTGCGCCCGCTGGCACTTGATGTCTCGCAAGTGGAGGGATCATGTCTAAATGTGACTTATATGAAGCCCCATATCTGGCAATCCATACAGTGCAAATGCGAACTCCGTAACGCTGATCCGACCATCATTACAAGTCATCTGAATTGCCATCGATTGAGATCGGCTGGTAAGGTTTGAAGCGACTTCTCAATTCACCAAAAATCCCGAAGCATCACTGTTCGGTCAGATCAGTCATTTTGAAGTCCGGGAGATCTATGGAAGATGCTCCATACTATACTACTCCATGTTATACTATTCCAAACTGCGCCGTCTCTCACGGTATCGATTAAATTTCGGTCCTACTAGAGCCGTCCAAAGTGCATTAGATATCTCCACATTCTTGTTGGTTACTGACCCAAATCGGTGCATCTTGGTTTCTTCATTCAGAACATCCGCTGCCCTCTTCTCACCTAATACATGGCTCCGGCCTCGATTCTGCTGAAGACAAGTTGTTTTGAGCTTCCAAAGACTCACCCCCTCTTCTTGGCAAATAGAAAAATGGAGAGAATTTGGTACTCTATGGTATCAATTTCACTCGGAAAGTCGCTCTGAGTAGTTGTGGGAATTTAAGCGGAGAAGCGGTGACCGTGCAAGGCTAACCCTTCCAATTGCCAATGGCAGAACAAAGAAGACTCCTGTACCATGGTGCTTGGGCTTGAGCTCAGTTACTTATCGTCCTGGCATATGAATGGGTGTTGCGCCAGGTATCTGTGGTGCGAGATGCAAGCCTCGTTATGTCTCCAGGTTGCATCATCCTCTCGAGTCCCGCGACATCTTTGTGTCGCCCTGTGTGTCCATCTCCATGGCTGCATAGGACTCTATGGTTGCTCACTCCAGGCCCTCACCCGCGTGAAATCAAATTGAGAATGGCGATCACGGCCATGTTGTACAAGCTTTATGATATAAAAATGCGGGGCACTCCGATCACTAAGCCGCATTATGCCATCCGACCGACGATTATGGACTGGGATTTGAATTTTCCCGCTATAGAAGTCAATAGTACTCGCTAGGTACAGTACAGGGACATTGCTAGCAGCTGTTTGATTCGCGAATTGTACGTTTTGCTGAAACTGGACTACTTCGACATAGAAGGAAGTGGTAGATCACCCGATTGCGGGCATAGAAAGCCGTCTCGTCGTTGGGGACTTACATTCAAAGACAGCAAATGACCGACTCGATCACAATAAGAAAATCAGCTGAATATCGTCTAGATACGCCAGCATAAGGAAGAACTTGAATATAAATTCTACAGTCCTTCCGGCGTACCAAGAGAGATAATGCCTTTAAATACGCCAAGAACCCGGAGATGGGAGACGGTACGGCAGGACGGAGTTACAGCATCTTCACTCCAGGAGCGACTCAATCGCCCAACGGCAGTGCTTGGACTATGTGAATTTATAAAAGTGATGCTTCAATGTTCATATTAGTTGGGAGTTGGTTGTGTGTTGTCTTAGTTAGATACAAATAGGCTGGTAGACAGGTATATGTCGATTCCGAAGAAAGCTGTACGCACTAGTACGGAGATAGACCAATGGGATCCTTGAACAGTACTTGAGATGTGTTATTCTATAAACAGGATGATTTGCAAAATAAGGGGATGGAGTGTGCTGATTCAGCAGTTGATGCCTAAGGAATGAAAAATGATGTTGAATAAAATGCATGGACGCTAGTAAAAATAGACCTCCACTTTTCCGACAGTTTTGCTTTAGTCACCGGAAAGCTCTTGAAGGAGCATTGCCGCCCCATGTTTGGTTTAGTGCTGTTTTTGTTTTATCTTAAATACCTTTCAAATTCTATTCAAAGCCATATTGGAGAATCAATATTTATCAGTACATTCTTTATCTTCAAAGATTGAGTTTTGTCGGAATAAAGCAGTTCATCTCATCTCAGCCTTTCCCTCGCTTGTTCTGAAGAAATGGCATTGATTGATTTTCAGGAGAGGATTTGGTGACTCCCGACCAATGAAAAGTGGGTGCATGAAACATGCCGCCGCCGTAAGAGGAAATACTTCAGGCGATCTTTTCACTATTCCAAAAGACTTTCCCCATCTCGGCCGCCTTAGTTCCGGGCAGGAAAATATGTATATCCGATCATGTGATCACAATGTGTGCTGGACGTAGGCCTCGCCAAAACCCGCCCACCGCCCAAACCCGCCCGCAAAAACCCAATGGCTCAAAGCCAAGAAGCATTTCCCGATAGTTCCAATTCTTGTCAATGAAATAAATGGTGATTGCCATGAATGCCTGCTGGAAGGGGCTGGTCCAACAATCCAAGGCGAGGGACTCCTTTGCATCTTCAGGCAATTCTTGCAACTGCGAATCCTGTTGAGCTGTCACTGCATTCCGAAGTCGCCTTCGTAGGGTCTTTGCTGACGGAATTTCCAGTTTCTCCGGGCCAGAGTGCAAGAGGTTGAGCAGCCTTTGGAACACAGGGTTCTCCACCGTCTGGAATGGCAACCGCAGACAGGTGATAGTTCTCAGCAGCTGCTCCTCGAGTTCAAACGTTGTGAGCCTGTCTATGTCTGGCGCATCACTGGCGGAATGATTTCGTAACGCATCTGAGAGTAATGTTTGATGAGATCCTCTCTTTTTCCCTCTGCGACAAGTATTGGATTTTTGATGTCTGCTCATAGCGCTTGTCCCATTCTTTCTATGCTGCGGGTGATCAAGCAAAGTAAGACAGGCTTGGCAGAGAACTCGGGGGTGTCCAGTATCGATATGAGCTACTTGGTCAAAGTGCTTCCAGACGTCGGCGTGACGTGACTCGGTGGACCATTTGATCAGGGACTGGCCATCTTCTTGTAGCTTCTGACCATAATTTGTTTTCTCCCACCATTCTAGAAACTCCCTCTCTAAACTTGGTTCATACAGGATCCAACTCTTCCTGCCTTGAGGTCCTACACGCCTGAGCGTCGGCGGTCTTCGAACGGTAGTGTCGTAGCTATTACGAGGCTCATTGAAAAGCTGCAGGCCATTTTAGCTCATCTGTATGGAGTTTCATCATATTCAGGGATGGAGGGATGGAGGGGGTTTCTCTTACAGACTGGATATCTGAGTCCAAAAAAGCGTCAGATGACGGCTCAATGGAGAGTAGAGGACTGAACGTCCGATGCAACGATCGCGATGACGAGGAGAAAGAAGAGGACATATTGAAGAGCCATGCCAACGGGTTCGATTATGGATGTTCTCATTGCGAAAGTTTGAAAATGGATATTATTGGAGGCCGCGTTGTGCGTTTGGATCTATCGACTTCTGAGTCGCGTAAACCCGCAGGTATCCAATACCCAACCCAGCCCAACCCATCATGAACACAGCTTTGTACGGACGCTGAGAAGGCACGTATTGCCGATTTAATTGATCATATTCAACAAATTTATTCAAGGACAAGTTCACAAAGCTGGAATCTCATTAAACTTTTGCGGGTTCATCGTTTAACCTTTGATGCTTTAGGCTGTAGAAAGAAGGCAGTGAAGCAGGTGATGATACATGTGCAGGAAATATATATTTTCAGACCGACAATGAACATTGTTTTCACGTAACACCCACCTGAAAGCGTGACAGGAATAAATTACCGATATTATACGAGGTGACTAATCAGAGTTGTGTAAGACTTATGCATATTTTTGGGTATTGTGGGCAACCCAGGGTTACCCGCCAAGAGCCCACGGGCGGGTTCATAAAGGCCAAACCCTGTGATGGGCCGCCCGTGGGCGGGCAAGGAAATGGAAAACCCAACCCAAACCCACGCTTGGCGAGGTCTAGCTGGACGTAGCTTTGTATCAATACGCACGATGCTCGTGCGTGAGCATGACGGCTGCAGTTATATCCAAAGACCAGGTTAACGAAACGCTCCTAGGGTTTAATGTATTAAGAAGCGTTTCGGCTGAAGAATTACTCACTTGCTGATCTTCAATTCTTGCCGCTGCAGGTTGGACATGCAATACCGTTCACGAACTTTTTGCCTCCGCAGGTTTCACATGGAGCCATCCTCGTTCTCGTCAAGGTGAAGAATAGGTAGAGAAGTATATTCTTGGTGACTTGAGTGGCGATTTCAGAGAAAGGCAGGGAAATGCCGTCAGTTCTGTGAGCGAAAAGTTGATGGTCTTGCTACCTAACGGCGGCGACCCTGCTCAGTATTTATTAGATTGCGGCCGATTCCTCGGTCCGCACTTACAGCCAATTACATTTCTCGAATTCTGACTAATCGAGCTTTGCACCTGACTATCACCAGCCATGGGAAAAGCCGGGTGGACCCCGTCCACTTATAACATGCTCCACACCACCTTTTGCTCTTTGCAGCCCCTCAGCAATGTCAAACACACAACCACAGTGTGCCTGCTCAGCCTTCTTTGAAACGGAAATCAATCTACATGAGCATCTCGAAGAATATCGGGTTAGTAACGCTAAGACGAGTCATACCACTTAGCTGACTTTTCCCAGTCCCGCGAACAGCGCCTGCAAGCCGAACTCGCACGGTGCCGTACCCATTCGAGGGCCAATGGCAATGGCTGTCGAGACAGGAACGACAACGATCAAGGTAAAAGCGATGATGACAGAGATTCCGGAAATTCTATTGGCACAATAAGGAAGACTGGAGCTCCCAAAGGGCATTTCTGTCCATCTTGTAAACGAGCGAAGCCATTTCCGAAAATGCAGGGATTGCGGCGGCATTTCCAACAACGCAAGTGTTATTCCTCTCTGACACACTGCTTGCTATTAATCATTCATGCAGATGTCACATGTGAGGAAGTGTGCGTGTGCTGTTTTAAAGTGTTCAGGCTTGTGAGCGAGTTCATTAGACATGCTGATAGACATGATGGAGCATGCGAAAGAAAACGAGCATTCATCAAGAAAACATGCGATGAACTACGCGAACAATCTGACAAACAACTAGCTCTCGCAATGAGCCAGTTTCAACCGGGAGTTGTCGTGGGGAAGAAACGGAAATGGGACATGGCAACTTTGGGCCCCGATATTTCAGGAGCTCGGGCCGAGTTCGACAGGATTGGTATAACGACTTTGGACGAAAGTCTTCGCCATATCAATGAGGGTGACAGTCTTCGCCAGCTCAGCTCGGCTCACATTGACCTATCTGCACCCCCAATCTCGATGCAGTCGTCTATAACATTACCTCGCCTGGCCAACATGGCCGATCCCATTAATCCTGGCAGCACTCCGAACATGTTATCGGATGAAATATACTTCGATCCCGGAGAAGGGCAAACCCAAGGTTTTGACTTGCTACAAGATTTTGATGCTCCTATCCTTCAGATTATGAACAGCGTCCCAGCATTAACGACCAGATGGGCGGCACAAGACGATATTGTAGATATAAACACAGAAGTTGCAGCCTACCATGAACAATGAGAGCTAATTCTCTGTGCTTCCACCCGAACCCTCAAACGTGAAATTAAGTCCAATTTTTGCGCTTAGCATTTCTAGGTCCCTGAGTTTCTGTTCCAGCCCCTTTGAGTATGGAAGGGTCATTTTCGCCCAGTTGGCGATCACTTCATCTGTGGCAAAAAGAAACGTAATGGCATATCCTTGCTCGATCTGAAAACCGAGTCTAGCATCTAGAATCACCCTACGGCTGTTAGAACATGGGACTGTAATATATGGCTATCACTCACAAGCCTCCATCTGGAAAATCCTTCACCTCGGGCTGAGAACCCACACGATCCAGCTCGGATTGGGGAATCTCATATAAGGATCTTCTTCCCTTCGTAGTCGCCAAGTCATGAAGATGTGAAAGGGCATAATACTCCACTCGCGAGCCTTTGGCCCACAGATGCACCATTAGAACACGGCGACCAGCTTTTGGACCACCCCTCCTAAAGCATTCGATATGGCCAGGGAATTCTTCGTATCTTAGCCAGTGCCCGAGGCTACACCGTTCGAGGGAGGATTCGAGGATAGATCGGATTCGCTTGAGATTATTAGACGATAGTCACAGAAACGTCTTATTCCGCTTACTTCGTCAAAGGCAAATTGCTTGCAAAAGTCCATGCCATATTCGGTGAGGTACGGGAAACCCCGTCTCTCCATCTCGAAGACGCGGTTGCCAGCCGTTGAGTCATTCAAATCGAAAAATCCCTCCTTGAGGAGACACCTCCTTGCCACTTCTAGCGTAAATGCGGTTGATGCCATAACCAAGACAGGCTGTGCCTGAAGCCGATGATGCAAACAGCTGCGGGGCAGCAGGCTGTTGAAACTGCCCGGGAAATTAATTTCTCCATAGCCGTAAAACCCCAACCCCACATCGACAACGGGCATTCCCGTTCCGGCTTAGCATTTAGGTACATCAGGGAACACAGTTGTGTGATACCTTTCTACAGGGAACACAATTGTGTGATACCATGGCCTACAAGAAATCATTCGTCAGGGATCACAGCTCTATGCTACTGTTCCACAGGGATCACACTTCTGTGATCACTGGCCACCATCTGATTCAGATTCTTGCCAATGATAGAGAGTGCTTTCACGAAGTGTACTTTTTTGCCTGCATCCAAACTCATGTCATCCGTAGCTTAAGAGTGCCGGAAGTTGAGGGTTGGTATAAAGTATATAAACAGGAGACCAGCCTGTCCTGCTAAAGAGGGCTTTTTTCTTTCATCTACCAATTTACAATTTTTCATTCACCTCAATCCTCGTCTATTATTGCTCATAGCCACGAACTCAGTTGATTGATCAGCTCGACATGGCAGAATTTCAAAGTAGCACAGACCAAAACGTGGCACTGAGGGGGATTTCATCGCTGTGTCTTCCACGTATGACACCGCCAGATAGCCCGACCAACGCGACTTATCCTCAAGCATCTTTAAAAGATCTGAAGAAACTCCTTGAGAGTGTGCTATTTGAATTTGAAGATTCTCCGAACAGCCCCATCCACCAGGAAAACTATCAACCAGGATCAGATGTAATTGAATTGCAGATGTTGCTAACGCAGTTCATCTGCGGTAAACAATCACTCACGGTGGCCGAAAAACCCCAGTCTCGTTCTGACGATGGTGAACAAGAATCCACCACCCCGCTGGTAGGCGAAGCAGATCCCAGTCCCCCGATCTGTACCACACCGGATGCATTCAAATCATTTGAGAAATGGGCATCAAGATCCCAATTCAAAACAGTTTTGGAAACGTATGAGCCACCGCCACCCCTTCCATATTTTCAGAAATATCTAACCCTGGTATAGCTGGGACAAAACAGCATGTAAATACAAGATCGCCGAATCGATGGACACCAGTAGTGGTCCAGACGACTATGCTGAATATGCATTCGTGGTCCGTCAACGCATGGGTTTGTGATATCTTTGCCCGACGGATGGAGATCTTTCTAATGGTATGATAGATCGAAATACCGAGGAGGTCGCGCCATTTGTAGACGTCATGTCGGAAGGCCTGCGTGACATACTTCGTGAGGTGTTGCTCGACATCAATTCTATTAGCCTCATGGAGGACAGGCCATCGGTATTTGAGACTTAGTATTACCTCCAAGGCAATCGCTGACCTATATTTAGATCGAGCAAAGTGTCCTTTTCCATTTCATCCCTGAGCTCGAAGGACGTGCGAGTAACTTGGAAAATGGTGCGGAACGTGGATCGGCACATGCGCAGCATCTCCGCCTGCTCATTGACAACCTCAAGCACGTATATGCCTCTACCTCACAACGTCTCAAGTCAATGTTGCAGCACGGTCATATTACGTATGATCTCCTCTGGGCACTTTTTAAACCCGGATCCCATGTCTATACAACATGCTTTGGCACAGGAGAGTCGCGGTGTGTCATTTTCGATGCGGGGGAAGAGTTAACACAACATGACGAGACGTGGTTCAATCTCGAATGCCGATTCCTTGATTATGACGGAGTCAAGTTTGGCGAGGCCGGAATCTATCTGCGTGTACCAAAGTTCCGAGGGTCAAAGCCGATCTATACACTTGAGGCTTACCCTTTCCGCCACCATCCGAGTCACGAGCAGGTCCGAAAAGACCTAGTCGAGAGAGGCCAGAGGTTTCGGGATTTTGCTGGCTCGCACGTCCAGCACTGCAAAGGCAGCGCATTCTTTATGAGCAAGGGCAAGCCTATTAAACTAAACATCAACAGTCGAGTCGCAGTGGACGCTAAATTCTTCCATGAAATGCAGCCAAACTATTCCCGGCCGTCTCTACGCGACACTGCATTGAAGGAGAAGGACGGTATTGCCTTCTTTGACATGGGTGCGATTTTTATGGAGGAACGCGAGCAAGAAAAGGAGAAAATGCGAGGAAACGACGTTGAACCGCAAAAGCTCAGCGAGGCCGATTTGTTAATCGCCTGTCCAACAGTTTGTTGCTTCAGTTTCAAGGAAAAAATGTTTTGTATGTGACGCGCTCAACAATTGGTTGAGGACAAGCTAATGTGATTTCAGTGGAATGCGCAGTTAGTGCTCTTGGGGATGTGAACTGGTCACCTGAATCATTTGACTGCCTGCAAATTCCGCCAGAGAACAAGACACTTCTCTTATCAATGGCGAAAACCCGCTTGGGTTTGATACCGACAGTACCCTTTGACGATTTAATTGACGGGAAAGGCCAAGGACTCAACATCCTTTTAGAGTATGTCAACAGATTATTTATGCAACATATCAAGACTTCCGTCCTAACCAGAGCTAGTGGCCCACCCGGCGTCGGAAAGACATTCACGGTTGAAGCAACATCGGAATATTTCAAGCTGCCTTTGTACTCGGTACGAGCCAGTTGTGGCGCTGATAGTGGCCTCGCTAACCTTCTCAGATATCTGCGGGCGAGCTCGTTGTCGACCACGGAGATTCCAATGCGCTTGAACAACAACTTGAGACCATTTTCAACATCGCTCATCACTTCAAAGCCGTGCTGCTCTTGGACGAGGCAGATGCTTTCATGGAGCAGCGTACATCTTATCACGATACTCACAATCGTCTAGTGACCGTTTTCCTCCGAAAGCTGGAATATTATCAAGGCATTTTGTTCTTGACTTCGAATCGGGGTATTCAGTTTGATGATGCAATCCTCAGTCGAATCCATTTGATTATCAAGTATAAGGGCTTGAGCAGGGAATTTCGCAGGGATCTCTGGGCAACCTTTCTAGCCAGAGCACGTACAGTTCAAGGACCTGCTATGACCGAGGAGCAAGACCTCCGACGGTTGGAAGTCTTAGATCTCAATGGACGAGAGGTAGGTTCTAGAGCACTGCTGTGCACTTCTTGCTTGCTAACTGACATTGATCAGATCAAAAACATTGTATCAATCGCACATGCTCTCGCCGAGGCGAAAGCCGGCCAAGTGAACTATAAATACCTAGAGTTAGCTGCCGGCTCGCGTCAGGAGTTCTCGAAGGAGTTCGGCAGACAGGAGATGTATATCTAGCAGCATACCTGGGAAACTCATGCTAGCCATGTTATTCAACGCAGATGTCAAGCAGCCCGGCTCTTGTTGCGATATTTCCTTAATACACGACAGTCCATCTCATCAGCCTTGGGCTTAAAAATAGTTTCCACGTTTTCATACTGGCATTTCAAGAAGTCTCTTTTGTACACGACAGCCTTATGCACTGAATTTGAGTGAAAATTGGGAATATTTCATGATGAGGTATCACCCGTAAAAAGCTTCATTCAGCCAGGCCCGCATACTCATTCGGGGATATCGAAAAACAAGCAGGAGCCGGAGTCACCTTCAAAATTATCATTGATGAAGGCAATGTGTATCAAGAATGAATTACTAATTTCAAAGATAGCTTTTTCTTGCTGCCTTGTAATCGGAAGAAAAGAAACATGCTCGATTTAAATGAGGCTAAGAAACAATACGTGCAAACGTCAGCCGAGCTAGACAAGGTTTTTGCCTACCCTTGTCTTCTCGGATGCGACAGACATGACGTGCGTTGCCTGAGGCTGGTCCAAGTGCACGGGGCCGGTTCAAGAACTTCATGTCCTCCAAGTCAACGACGACCAAATGATGGCCTACATCATTCCACAACGTGCCGGATCTCGAGGGTTGCGATAGTTCGGGACCTTTCCACCGCAGTGATCCTCCTCGTATGGAGGCGCTGTAAGTCCGTTCAGGTTATGTATGAATCTTAGTGACCTCTTCATTCACACGCCCACAAAATTCATTTCCTGCGAGTTGCATGCTTACTGCATGCCGGAAGTCAACCTCCAAGACGGGAAGATTATTGTTCTTTGCTAGATGGGCCGTTTCGTAATCGTAATTGTCGTGGGAAAAGTCATAAACCATGAAGATTTGACGCGGCGATTCCTGTTTCATAAGCCACCGAGCCTAACTCACAAGTTCAGGGTCGCAGCCCATCTCTTCTAGAATGGAGGGCAGTGTCTGTTCTGGTGTCCCCCAGAACTGACTTTTCCGAGTAATGGAAATGGAAACTCGAAGAGGCTTTCTCATTTCAAAATACTCCATTGTTCTTTTCTGGCAACGACCTAAATGACTGAAGAAAAGTCACTAGGTGAAATGCCAAAGCCCCACGAGAGTTTTACTTACCGCATAAAATGGCTTGGCTCACCAGGGCTTCCAGAGAATCATGAAGTGACGAGGCGAGGGGGGCAGCCCTACTTATAACTACGGTTACTACTACAGTGCCCTGTATGACTGAAATTTCTAACCAATCTCTTAATCCAGAAAAAAGAAAAATATATTTGCAAGCATGCATTTCATTTTCCAGTAAATCGATATTTATTTCCCAGTCCTTGCAGCCAGAAATAACGTTTCATGATGGCTTAAGCACGCAATAGGTCGCCCATCCCTTGTGTAGTAAAGCATCTCGTTCGATATCCCTTGTTGTCTATATTGCCTGAATTCGAGAATTGTGCTACACAACGAGACCTTTCCCTGGTAAATGTTTTCTTCGCTCCATTCGGCCTTCTTTTATCAATCGCTCAGGTTACCCGGCACGACTCCAAAAGTTTAAGCCGCAATCTCCACATTCTTGAAACGTCCACCGCCATTCCTGCCAAACAAACCCGCCATGCCTTCCCCAAAGTCGGTAGCTGTGACAGTGAAGCTGGTCTTCGGCTCGCTTTGGGCTTTGCCGAGCGTTGCTGTAATCTCGGTAGAATTTACAATCAGAGACAGCTGATACCATTGATTGCTGCTAATGCCTTCCGTGTGCACCTCTGAATGTAATACTCTCAGGCTCTCGTCATGTTGCCAAATACCAAGCTCACCAGAAGTCGTGTTGATTGTCGCTGTATATCCCTTGAGCTTATTGAGACCCGTAGCTGCAGCTGAAACTCTTGCATACAGGCCGACTGAGCTGTCAGAACCGGTGACCATGACATCAGCGCTAATTATATAATCATTCCACGCGGAGGAACCTGTAACAGCGATTGCCTCTTTGCCGTCAACCTGTGCGAACCGATACTCGCCGTCCAAAACGGTCCAGTTCCCGCTGAAATCAATCCAACCTGCCTGGCCTTCGGAGGAAAAATTAGCTTCATAAGGCAGAACAGCGACGGGTGCTGCTCCCGTGCGCTCAGAGCAGAACTGAGACTCGTTCTCGGTGGAGGGGGCTGTATATCGAATAATCCCTTTCCCCATTGGGATGAGGTGGGGACTGTAATTTGCACAACCGGATGCACCCAATCCCACAGTCCAGGGAGATGGAGACCACGACCAGAAGCCAATCCCCTGGTTTGTGTTGGTGAATATGATCCTATTTTGTTGTTCGGCAGTATTGTTGTCGGAAAAATATCGTACCACTTGACTGGCGAGCGCCAATTTTTGTGTTGATGAATCCCAAACTATATACGGACTTTGTGCAGGATAAAGGCCGTCCGCGGTAGAGATTGCGGTTCCGACATCCCTGGCATCCCAATCAAATCCATCCTTGGAGGTCTTGTAATGCGCCCGACAATAGTTAAAACAGAACTCATAACTCATGATGTACTCTCCATTGCCCATCTTCGTCACGGTAGCCATTCCTGGCCGGTCAAGCTGGTCAGAGCTTACGACAGCTCCAATGGGTTCTCCCCAAGAATCACCTCCGTCATCAGAAACGACATGAACCAGCATTTGACTATGGCTTTCATGATCACGTTCATCCGAGAACACTGCTATAAGTCGGCCTCGATTGTCCAGATATAGAAATGGTTCCCAGATGCCTCCATTTCTCGTGGCACGTTGCCATACTCCCACCGAGTCCCAGGTTTTCCCATGATCTTTTGATCTCCATGCGAAAAACTCACCTGCAAACTCGGAGCAGTTGGCAGGCAGCAAGTTTCCGACTAATAGTATAGTACCTTGTGGGTACTTGCCGAGCTGCTGAGGGTACTCGAAAAGGAATGGCTGGTAGAATACAGCAAACGGGTACCCGCTGGCCGTCCGAGTATCGTGTACTGTCGCCAAGGTTTCCCATGTGAGACCTTTGTCGTCGCTCTTGCGGATGATGAAGTTGCCAGGGGTCCCATCGGGGGTAATTGTCTGTGGACCATGCGTATAGTGATGTTCCCATGTACCAAGTAGTCTGCCACTGAAATTTCCCGCGTGCTGGAGCTCAATCACCCGAACATAATTATTGGTTTCGTTGGTTTGTGTTCGTTCCCATAGGTAGGATCCTTCTGCATCTGCAACTGTTAGCGCGATGAATGTAGCTGAGCAAAGAAACAAAGAGATCAAACAAAGTTGGACTTTGAGCATCATGTCAAAACACTGAATTTCAAGTTCGTACTAAGGAGTCAAGAGGTATGCAACATGAAATATGTTTTGCGTATCGATATTCAACTGCCAAGTACCCGCAGAAAAGCAAAGCTATATTTAAGTCAAATTCTGAGTAAATGAGTACGTCAACCCCAGAAAGGGAGAAGATTATTGTAATAGCCATTTGATGAGTGTTGATGAGTGTTGATGAGTGTTGATGAGTGTTGATGAGTGTTGATGAGTGTTGATGAGTGTTGATGAGTGTTGATGAGTGTTGATGAGTGTTGATGAGTGTTGATGAGTGTTGATGAGTGTTGATGAGTGTTGATGAGTGTTGATGAGTGTTGATGAGTGTTGATGAGTGTTGATGAGTGTTGATGAGTGTTGATGAGTGTTGATGAGTGTTGATGAGTGTTGATGAGTGTTGATGAGTGTTGATGAGTGTTGATGAGTGTTGATGAGTGTTGATGAGTGTTGATGAGTGTTGATGAGTGTTGATGAGTGTTGATGAGTGTTGATGAGTGATGAGTGATGAGTGATGAGTGATGAGTGTCAGACTCGGACAGTTTGTTGTGGTGGTGAACGCCCAGGCGGTGGGTGAAGTTACTCGGCTGGCCGGTCCCCCCCTGGATCCGTTCTTGCCCCAGCCTCATTTTTTCAAACATCAACAGGCATTAGGGAGAACACTCAAACTGCAATGCAATAATGGTAGCACGGGCACGGAGCCATTATACCATCTAACATTCATGTTATTTCACACAAACGTGTTTTACTTCAGTTTCGTATTGCCGTAAAAACTGTGTTTCCTAGATATTATGCTTTCCTTGACCTAGAAAAGGGACCATTTCTCGCAGAAAATTGGCATTGAGATCAATCGTGATGACTCAAGCCTCTAAATATCAAACAAGAACTCGTAGGTCCAACCGGTAATAAGTCAGGCCCAGCAAATTGTTTGCAAAACTGGGCGCTATAGATAGACAGATACGGGTCTACCCATTGTTTGAAACGGAGCATGGCGCCCTCACACACTACAATTGGATCAGACCTATTTTCATGTGTTCAATCGTGTAAAAGATGGGACAGATCCTGGAATTGGTTTTGATTCGCCGTCTCAATACATTGTCTATGCAATATTCGACTGATCCAGTTCTACTGCGTAGGTTCTGACGTAGTTTTCTAAATAGCGTGATCACTTATTTCATAGTACCGTGTATCCTTGTTCAAAGGAATAACTGTCGCCTCCTCCCCAAATGCAAAATTTGCAACGTCATCTTTGGGCTCGCCTGACCCGAGCAGAACCCGTTCGCTGAAAACCACTTTTAACCGGTCTTTTATTGGTGACCTCACGCAGTCAAGATGAAAGGATAGAGATTATGGTTTGGCCGTAACGGGTCACCTGACGCTGCGGTCGTAGACCAGAAGCGTCAGATGGGGCCCGTCCGCGCTCCCTTCACAGGGAGGCAATGTGTCTGTATTATAGTGACTTATATATACAGAGGGAAGGTGGGAGGGGCAAAAGTGAGCCTTGACTACGTGAGGGATGAAGGGCTAGCTACGGAGGTAAGAAGCCGGCTTCCATGAGGCAGCTGTGAGAGGGGTAAGCAGCTCTCAGTGGTGTCGGTGTAGATATCACGTGCGGTAACCCCAATAAAACTACTCCCTCTGAATCCAGGAGACCAGAAGCACGCGGCATATATTTCTTATTGTAAGTCAAACCTACGACTGGATCAAATACATTCGGAATGATCGTCGCAAATATCAGGTAGAGACTAAAAAGGCCCAGCAAAAATACAGAGCTCGCAGAAGTGATAAGAATGGCTAGCCAACCATAATGCGCCTCATAGACCTCGATGCGACGCTTCACTTCGGCTTTGGTGGATGCTGCCATGAACGGCACGCCATCATAAAATAGACGTCCTGGTCCCTGAGAAGCATCCTCCACCATCCAGTTATACCCATCCATAGCTACCCTAACTCCATTTACTGGAAGATGATCGGGTCCATACAGGCTGAAATTTGTCGAAAAAGTACCAGCAAAACAGTCGTCGACGGACACATGAACAACTGAAGCGCTGTATTCAACAATACCGACGCTCTGGCGGGGAGCAAAGCTGGGCTAACTGCAGGAAGATTGAAATCTGCTGTTCCACCTATCACAAGATGCGATGGTAGTGGCAGGGTATTGGAGTCCCGAAAAAATTGTTCAGATGAAGTTGGGCCGGAATAAATGTAAATATCATCTGATTTTGACGATTCTCGATCGACTCTATTCACACGATTGATCATATCTAGCGATGCAACGCCCCAATAGTCAAAGCTTGTGTAGTTAGCGCTTCAAGAATCAGTTTGAGATGGCCGAATCTTCTTCGTGGCACAACTGTTCCTGGCGCACTCAATAAACGTTTCCACCAAGCGCTGTGTAGTAGAACAGCTTGTTTGCATAATCCCTGGTATTCCGTCAATGAATACCGCGGAGCTGATTTGGATTGTTCTAGGTTTGGTGATAGATGCGTCTGATTGGTGTGCTAAAGTCAGGCCAGGGAAGGGGGAACCAAGGAAGTTATAGGCTTGATCAGACGGCGCAGAACAAACTTGCGAGTCACAATCCAAGCAAGTGACATTAATCCCACCAAAAACTTCTTTATCGCCTATGAACTTCATATCTGGTCAGCCAAGATCAATGTAAGTAGCCTCTAAAGAGAAGCTTACTTCAATGTCTTGATGAGCTCGATGGCTAGGGATTCCACGTCAACTCCCAGAGGACCAATGATTGGTATCCCAAGGAGTGATGAATAGCTCTCTGGTCCACTGATAATAGACGATACTGGATACCATCCATCGGAGTCAGGTCGGGAAGTCGTCAGGTCTGGTAATCGAGGTATTTTGATATTCCCACTGATCTAAAGCACCTGTTCTGCTATTCCCCCCTTGCATCAACGTTGCAAGATACATGTCAATCATCGATAGTGGCATGGCACCATCGCCGGCAACACATACCCAGTGATAGGCATAGATGTTCCCTAGAGGGCCACTATCCCAGTAACGTAGATCATGATCCAGAATTTCGGTGATATTTGACGGGTACACAAGCCTTAGATTACTTTGGCTTCCTAAGGGGGAAAGCGCCCATATAACCACAAGGAATCCTACCAGAAGTGACTTCGGCTTCGAGAATCAATGTGTGATGGGATCAGCAGCAGAGTTCGTATTCATCAGAGTCCAAAGCGACTTTATCAGTTGATCAGTATCTCAGTATTTAGCTGTATCAAGGATTTTGGGTGTATACCAGTAGACCGGTGCCCATTTGAGCTTGATATCTTCCGATACTCTTTAATGTTCGAGAAAGAAGAGCCGCAAATATGATTGGGTACAAGGTAGAGTCCTATGTTAAGCTCAAATGATTAGCAAGTCATCTGGAGGGTCATACATGATTGGTCACCCTCAAACGCACGACTTTCATAGCTTGCTCTGTGCGGTTGCCAACTGGAGTTCCCATGGGTGAATTTTTTAACCGAACTGCCAACACAGCAAATGCTACACCTCAAGTTAATAGGGACGGTATTAATTAGGTTTGAGAACTTCCCAAGGAACCCAAGAACAAATAAGCAGAGGAGTGTTTCGATCACGATTGCCAAAATTTTGCCTGGGGGTCTCCCTAATCTTGCAGCATGATTATGCGTCTCTTTTTTCCGGTCACAGTCATCCCCAGAACAAAGTAGCCCTTCTGCAAGATGTTCAATCTGCTCTTGGGAGTTCATGTTTAGGGGCTTTTCTCGGAGTATATACTAAGCAGTCCCGTAGTTCTCGAGCTGACTGGGGAAACAGAGATCAGGTCTCAACTCAGTAACTGTTACGGTATTCGTAGATAAATTTTACCGCCAAAGTTGCAAAGGCTACGTACGCTCTTTGCTTTGGGTCTACTCATCCCTGCATTCCTTCCGATAGAACATTTCAAGGACAACAAACATTTATCCCATTACGGTAAGTCTCGCGAAGCAGAGTTGGAAGGTTGAAAAGAAGATCTGTGGTTTGTGACCTGTGATCTACCATCGCACATGTTACCAAGCGAGAGTTATCAAAGCAGTATCGAACAAATTAGATCCGCACCCACCATGGCCCCTCACGCTGGAGGGTTTTTTTCATGGCAATTGCCTCGTGTTAAGTCGCTCGGCTGTGGTACTACAACTCCATTCAGTGTCTTCTTCCTCTGTTCACTGGAAGAGAGCTAAAGACGGGAGATACTGAGTAAATTATGCTCTCTTGATGGGAATATATGGAGTACCGACCAGCTTCTGATCATCACAGGCTGGTGTGGCGTCTCTCTTAAGTGCCTGGCTTCACGGCCCCGAGAAGTCGGCAGCGCTAGTACAGTCCGTAGACCTATAAGGCGATCAGCCACTAGCTTTCGTTGGTATTTTTAGACAGGCAATTCGTCACAGATGGTACATATATTTTCTCGGGGGTGAACACCATGGTGGACAGGCTACGAGGGTGCCGATTAACAGAACTGTCCCTTGGGGGGGGTCTATTGAAAATACAGTGGGGGTGAGTGAGCCTTGGAGATTTCTTATGTTTTCTCCTGATCGATACCTGTCGGATAGGGGCGAACGCGTATGAACTAGTACGACTGGATGCCATTCAAAGAGGGTTGTTCTATCTAAGTGCTCGATCGAGTTGAGCGATCTTGCCTGATTCGTGCAAGCTAGTTGTATACCCCATACGTGCGCTTTTACATACAAAAACAGTAATATAGGATCTAAGCACGCGCTGAATCATCAATCTGGAATAGGAAAGGTGGTAATCTTCCCCTGCGGAGTTCGACATGTTGAATAAATGCACTGACGCTGGTAATAAAGCCTCCAGTTTTACCGACAATTGTCAGTTGCCCGAACCAGCAAGAGACAGAAAACAAATATATCCAAGTTGATATGGACATAGTCCTTCCAAGCACCAGGATACAGAATACATTCACATGAAGGTAAGTGTTGAAGCTTTGGAGAACGAATCGCCTGTGTGCCAGTTTCCGCTCACACCACTAAACAAAATACTTTACACACGGCGCAGCTTGATCTTACTCACATTACAGTTTATGCTTGGAGGAAATGGTTTCCGACGTCCCCGAGTTCGATCTGATGGTAATGGTGGTGTCCTCGTGGATGATGATTTGCGCAGTCGCATTCTCATCCTCGTCCGTCAAGATGTGCTGCTTGAATCCAGCTGTACCTTCTGTATTGAGGAATGCGTCTGTAAGAATTTTCGCAGCAGCGGCTGCGCCCGCAGCGGCTACCACTGCACCTGGCCCAGACTCAGCAGTTGCTATCGCAGCAACAGCACCAGCCACACTAGAGATAACATCTGGCCCGAGCTTTTCAAGCCAGTCGATGATGTCACGAAAGTTCTCTGGGTCTGAATAGTGAAGCGTCCGGCCAGACTGGTCCTGAGTGGACCAGGTAACCTTCCACCAGTCACGGCCAGTGGTCAAGAAACCGGTGTTGTAATCAACGAGCACCGGGCCGCTAAGATGTCCCGGCTGAATGATCCCCCATTGGCCGGCATTTTTGTAGTTGTCACTATATTTATGAGCCAAACCAACCGCATAAATAGGCTGTGACGTGTCATTTCGTACGGCAGCGTAGGCCTGACGATGAGTAGGCATTGTTGCAAGGACTTGCAAGGCACAAATGGGGTTCTGTAAGATGGCTTTGTAGAAGAGGCAAAGAGAAGTTAAACTTGGCTATGTCTGTTGGATTGTCAAGAGGAATCGTTTGAGGGTTCCTAGACCGGATGATTGCTCCTATTTATGCATTTCCCCCTCTTGTCCCAGGATATCATCAATTATCTAATTGGACACTACTTATAAACGGGTCCAGACTGTTTGATTGTCTAGCTGGCGTAGCTGAAGAAGCTGGATGGGCTGAGACCGAACTGACTCCGCTTCACGAGCTGAATGATAATACTGAAGTAGTTCTACATCAGCTCCCATGATTCGTTACGAGACTTTGCCGATGACGGGGATTATCACGCAACATAGGCCTGTGCAGTACATGATGCATGGTACATGGTACTATTGTACACGCTATGAGTACGACCACACTTTCACACTCTCAGTTCCTGTCTTCAACCCAGCGGCTGTCGATCTTTTCAGTACGAATAGAGTGGGTTGGAGAATCCTTTGCCTGAAGGCCTGAGGATGATCCTATGGTTTCGCAACGGCAAGGACGCAAGCTACCTGATTTCACTTGCCAAGAGAATACCAGACCAGGACCTCAATAAGATTTAATCGGCACAGTAAACATGATATTCTACAACAACATTAGTCGAGCTTTATCATTTTTGTTTGAGACAGTATTTCCAGCTCATTTCTATTAGGTAAGGTCAGAACTCTATCGGCGGAGAGTATCAGAAAATGAGTTTGGCAAGGCTACGAGGCATATGCGATGCTACCCCGTGATGCAGGCCTAAAAACAGAACTGACTTAGTACGTGCTGTTTGATGCTACATATAGCAGGTGGAGATTTGAAAAATACATTAATTGTAAAAGGGGCTGAGCTACCCGTTGACCATAGGCTTATCAATGAGACACGTTTTGAGTAAATGACATCGCTACTCGGCCCGACAATGACGCATGTTGTAACTGAATACACCACCCAAGGCCCAGAAACCAGAAATCAACATCGGTATGATTGTCTGCCAGATGGGGCTAGATGTGGGTAACCAGCCACTCTATCTCTCTGTAGGCCATGGTTGACTCGTTTGCAAGCAGGCTCGGCTGTCTATAACGGCCGGTATACTAACATAGGCATAACTTAATAGTCGCATATAACTCTGCATGTGATTTGCCAGACTGGCCACAGCTAAAATGCGACATTGAGTCCCCCTCCCCAGGAGTATTCATATATGCAACTTCATCACGTGTTATATCCGGCGAATATGTGACGTATCGAAATTATTCAGCTGCTTCCCTACCGGAGCCTAGAGAGATGGGTCCAATCTATGCCCGCAGTGGCTTTTGACTCATTCCTAATTTGGATAACGCATACTAGTTATTAGCGCATAAGTTGAATCTATCGGTCGGCGATCCTCGTTTGCTTGCAAGGTTCGTCCCGTCCCCACCTGGGCACTGCCATCCCCTTTGAGTTAACGCATCCGGCCCCACACATCTTGCATAGATGACCTGCACCTCTTCAGCTGAAAACCGCCCGGCTGAATCACCCCTAACACATCTCTCCGCTTTATTCGCCACGTATCAGATCCTCTTCGTACTCGGTAGTGCCAAATTATACGTCGGGTTTCATTCTAGGACAGCTTATTGGGCTGTTGACGGTTTTTCCTTGAATAGCATCACGAGTGCGTTTTCCCTTGTCTTCCGGCAATTCATTGAAGTTAAAGATGGAAGAGACCAACTCAACCAGTTCGCCAAAAGTACGACCGGCGAGCCATCCCAGCGGTCGCGCTCCACAGGCTTTAGGCTATGACAACACCGCGCATGAAAAGATGCAAAGCAACAGCACATCATGCTACGTAAATGCATGGACATACGCAGGGAGATATTCCATACCCAGAGATCATGGTTATTTTGAGACAGACATACTCGCATCATGAGATCATCTTAGGCTCACAGCTCTACGGGGCTGCCGCTTTCTCTCCAGGTGGAACACTAACTTCAATATTGAGGACTAGGCCATATGGACGCGAACCACGCCACATCAGCCAGCCACCAGTGAGGATATCTTGTCCTTCATGCATTTATTCATCTGACTGATTATATTCAGGGCTTGCGTATTATAGCAATGATCGTCATAGATCCAAATAGGTATGGTAGTTTTCTGCCTGTCTAAAGGATGCCAAAATGGGGGGTTTTTCCCTCTCGTGCTATGGTCTCTAGTAATCAAGTCTTCTTGCCTGCTCTGCATACCGACCCACTTCATGCAAAGAGAATATGCTGTATCACCTTAGCTGGGCCCGGTGTCAGCCTGTGGAAATTGTAATGGTCCACATGAGTATAAATCTTCCATGCTCGAAGGCAACCTACGACCGCAGACCCGGTATCATGGCAGGGACGGAGAACAAAATTCAAGTTTGTGAATGATGAATAAGACATGATAAAATAATATAAATACCACCATATTCACCTTGGTATTTCTCACTCAAACACAACAGCTTTCAATCAATCTCAATTTCACATTTAAAGAATCCTTTCAAAATGGTTCATTATACCCATGTCACGTACCAAAGTACCCTCGACGGTAACATGGGCGAGTATTTCAACTGGGTCATGGTCACTCCTGACCGCGATACTGCCAACACATACTTCAGAGCGCTACAGCAATACCAAACTGTTTCATCCTCTGATGTTAACGGCAATCCTGGCGCCAAGTACACCTTCACCTCCGTGGATCGATTCGGTCCCCAATTCTGGACATATGATTCAGACAGTGGCGAGAACTTCCACCTAATTGCCCGTGCGCTCTGCGGAAACCCCAAGATGAAACAAGTCAATCCAGACTTTGCCGATGTCTTCGGCAAGATTCGTGTCTACTGGATCGGAGCCTATGCCGACGGCCGATTCCGCACTTTCTTCCCCGGCAACGATGGTCCCGGCGGTCTGGATGATCACGACCAGTTGTCTGGAGATAGTTTCTTCGTTAAGCGTCGTGATTTCAACGACTTTTGGTATCTGAGTCCTGGATCGTCAACCGTTATTCTGGATAGTAGGCGGCGATCGCGCTTCATCTTCACTGTTTTGCAGAAGTCGAGTGAGAAGGCATACCCCAAGATGCCTATTACGGATGCCGATGAGGTGAAAATTGAGGTTATTGTGAATGGGGCTAGAATACCCATTGGAATTACAAGCGACAACTATTTGGTTGCGGGGACAAATCTCAATCATCATAAATTTACATTCCGAGACTTGAAGACCCGCTTTGCTCTTGATGATGGAAGCTTGAAGCATCCGAATGGCACTACAGATGATGTATCTTTTGTGACATGGGCCAATACTGATAGTCTGGGAAGTGCGGACTCTTTTGAAATCATTGACGGTACGAGCCTGACAGAGTCATCGGACAATTAGTGCGCAAATTTTTCAGTGCACAGGTTGCCTTGAGAGGTTATTTGGCTCCCATACTTTTCTGAGGAACTCCGATAATCTCGGTAGTGAATTTAGTGCCTGTCAACTCGACAACACGTTCGCTTTAGCATATTACTTATTCGCAATATTTTACAAATTGACCCAGTTGCCAATGAGCTGAGATATGCCGTAGTTACTTCTATTTTACTAAGTATCCATAGACTTGTTGAAAGTTGTAGACATTCAGACATCTCACCTCAAACGCAGGATACTGATTCAATGTATGAGATAATCATGTGTATGTAATATCAATGATTCTTACTGATACACAAAGAACTAAAATGTATATGCTACCACGACCGAATCTTACCAATGTAGCCCCAGATCACGTGCATTCGCTATGCCGAGTTGAACCCCAAAAGCCACCATGATTGGTCAGTCCGCCATCCGGAAGTGATTGCCACCGCCTTCTTGAACCACGTCAACAAAGCCTGGCCCGCCAACTGCCACCAGGGCTGGTCGTCAGACCAGGTTAGCTGACTGTCCAACTGGCCCTCACATCGTCACCTGAAACGAATGTACGCATTCGCCACTCTCGTCCAGGGCTGTCACCTCGCCTGTCACGTCTCACTGAATATTCTTTGATCCCGATACCAAAGACTCGACCAGCTCGACCTTCAATTGTGTACGACGCCAAATATCCCCTAGATCCACTTGGAAGATGGCTCCGAAACTGTGGGCATATCCAATTCCTGCATCCAAATACGTTCCGCCCTGTCCTCCTCCACCCTTGATGCGTCCAAGGCTGCCCAAAGAGCCAATGTAGCCCGGCATAAGCGTGCATTGATCGGGGCGAATTGGTCGGAATGGAAGTGTTCTTCCAATACAAGCTTTTGTGTGATGTCAACCACGGCTGTCGCTAGATGGCAGAAATTCACGCAACAGGTGCGGAAGAACTCATTTTCGTGAGCTTGCTGATCACGCTGGCTCCGCTTCTCAGTGATTGGGTCTAGTGGGGATTGTGCCACGCTCTTTGCTGTACTGAGGTGTGTCTTTGTCGTCTCTAATGCCATGGTCGTTCTCCCCGCCACAAAGATCCGATGGCCCAGTGGTGTAATCTCGGGAAGATCGTCCCAGGCGGGGACAGGCGTTAGCCCTTGAGGAGTGTGGTATTGGTGTGTCTGGCGAGCGACTGTATACACTCGATACATTAGACGGAGGGCGGGCCATCGGTGAAGCTAGATCAGAGGCTTCTATCCAGCGCTGGGGTCTTGTAGCCGCGGCTGATCACGCTTATATCACACTCAAATAGCAGAGAACAATGGAGCCTTGTGACAGCCAGTGCTACGGTATTATACTCAAGTACTGTGTCCTTGAACCGGGAAAATCTGTGATTGAGCGGACCGCACTTTCCAGTGGACTGTTGGCTAACGTTCGTGCTCGCTGAGCTGAGCTACCTAGCAATTTCTGAGTCATCTGAACCGAGGATGGGAAATATGGTAGTCTCGCAAAATATTATTTTTTCTAAACTTTTCTAGTTCTCCCCCATTCAGTCTTGGGACTCTTGGCAAAGCTAGACCGATGGTCAGCCTAACTTTCGTATTGTCTGCCGCACGAACGCACTGCGTAACAGATTAATCGACCGAACATGTTTATATAGTATCGCTAAGCGGAAAGCGCAGTAACCGTACGCATCTTTCACTTTCAGATCGATCTGCGGGTGTCGTAACAGCCGTTCAACACATGCAGTATACCCGCTTGCAGCAGCAAACATGAGGGCCGTGAAGCCCAAGGGCCCAACCTCATTCAGTGCGATTTCACCTTGCGAGAGAAGAAGAGACACAATACCCAAGTGTTGATTGATCACGGCCACATGCAGGGGTGACGTTCCAGACGGGGCTTTCTCATTGATCTGAATAGCTTTCTGGGTCAGCAACCTCTGAGCCGTGGCGAGCGAACCCGCCCGACACGCTGCCCATAACGGTGGAACAGCCGGACCAGGCATGGAATTGATACATATCTTCGGCTGTCTCAGAAGCATCTGCAGTAAACGAGGGCTTTGATGCTCCGCTGCTCGCGCAAGAGGGGTAACAGCCCCGCCGTCCGCATCATTCAAACGGAGGCCATCCTGGTCCAAGAGCAGCTGCACTAGCTCCTCATTCTGCTGGTCCACCGCGTGCCACAGCGCCGTGCGCCCTCTAGAATCTTGGTGATTGATGTCAAGCTTTGGATTGAGCAGTAGGGCCTCCACTGTCCGACGCGACGACCTCCCCTTGAGGGTTTTGACCGCGAGAAGTAGAGCCGAATTCCGGTGAGCGTCACACCAATTGACATCCAAGCGAGGGTCTCGGGCTAGGATCTGCACTGAGATATGGTCTTCCTTTCGGACTGCGAGGTGTAGCGCATTCTGCCCAAAGCAATCCTCGATGCTGACATCCACGCGGGAATTGGTCAGAAGATAGTTTAGAATGGCGTGCTCCGAGTATTCCACTGCGTACATCAAAGCGGACATGCCATCGGTGCATCGGTCATTGACATCCAGCGCTGGGTACTGCAACAGGGTTTCAACGATGGCAAAAGTGCCCTTTGCGACAGCGATTGACAACGGCCCTCGACCTTGAAAGTCGCAAATATAGGACAGCCGTGGGTGATGTTCCAACATGAGATTAACTGCTTGTGGGTAGCTCATCTCAATGGCGAGCAGAAGCGTGCTCATCCCACGGTACTCGGAATTGGGATTTGCCTGATAAAGATCCAACAAAAGGCGCGCAATGTCTAGTCGTCGGTTGAGTATGGCTCGGTGAAAGGGTGGCATCTCATCGCGCTGGAGGCAATTAAAGAGAGCCGTCGCGCCAATGGTCGCAGTTTTCTGGCAGTAAGCGATCACATTAACGATGTCATTTTTGTCAAGGCTCTTGAAGATCTAGAGGAAGATTTCATCTGGGAGGTTGTCCAGCATGTTTCATATGTAGTATAAGAGCTGATGTAGGTTGACAGGAGGGGTGGCAAAGCTTTATAACACGCTATAGCGCTTGTGTACGCCGACTTGAACATACTGTGACCGAGCCCAGGTCTTCTCGTATGGCAGAATCGTCTTTGCCAGGCTGGGAAAGGTTGATGCTAATCCTGGGAGCCCCTTTGTCACTGGGAACCCGTGTGCCATTCCTGGAGACACTGGTACTGATCCTGGGAACGGCCATGGCCTCTCCAGGAACTGTGAAGACGATCCCGGTTCCGAGTTACAGAAATTCAGGTGCGAAAATCCGTCGCCACAAAATAGTTTTCTCTTTAATGCGGAGGCCGTAGATATAAATACTACCCAGGGAGGATCATGTGTGCTATACGCAATGTACATAAGTATCACAGACTGCCTCGCCTTAGCCTGCGTATTCGTTTGCCATGCATTGAAAATGATCTCGGAAGACCAAGGCCAGTCGATCCTGATGTCCGCTCTCACTCTGGCCAGTATAATGAGGCTGCCCCTGATAGTTCGTTTCCAACGGCCCTGGCATTTCTACCACCTCGACCTTGCTTTATCGGTTGCCTCTAGTATTTCCTTCGTTGTACTTTCTGGTCTTCGCTGGGGCGGGATCCATGCAATCTGGTGTCAAACACGGTTGTGGATGACATCGGCTTTTCTCACCGGACAAGTGGTATGTCTAGGAGTCACCAATTTGGCGCAATGGGCTGACTCTCTAGTTTCTCCGGGTCCATTTCCAACAATGCGAGAACCCATTTACCCCATTTGCCCTACTTAGAACATATGCATTATACGCCGTGATCTCCAGCCTGGCAAAGATAGGAAGCTCCGTCGTTGGAGCCTTTCGCCCGACCGCAGCTCACCCGGTGTGTCTGTTCGTTCTCGCCGTTGACTACTTGATGGTGACGACATGGTATCTGTGGCTTCTTGGACAGGCAACTCAAGCCCGGACTCGCCTTCGAATCATTTCTTTCTGCGTGTCAGCCTTGTTTGCGATCCTACTGGCAGTTGCAGTGCTAGGCACTCTATGGAAGACTTGGGACATTGCGCTAGAGATGGGTTCTGTCTTGCACAGAAAGAATACGGTGGCTGACTATTTCAGATCCAAATGATACTGATCCTTACCTGGACCTTGTCAGCCCAGCTCATTGAAGCAAGGTAGACTGCCATGCGTCTTCCGCTCACGGATCAAACAGCATGGAAGAAGTCTTCCTTGTAGTACATACTGTGTGATCAATGATATTTGGTGCAACAAGATGTAAGCCTCTTGGTAAATGCTTCTTGATAGTGACGTCGTAGTGGCTTTTCAAATTTCTCGAGCGTAAATCTGGATTATTACTCGCGCCTTTCCGAACGGTGGTCCCCAGTGGTGTTCAACAGTCTGTCGTAAAGTCGTCGGGTAGATCCTTCCGCATCCCAAGTGAAATGGGATGGCAACGGATTGAACTTGTGGGATACGTTTATTGGTTTGATCACACCCACCCTTAAAACTATGATGCCTGTACTCAATGACCGTATTTGATTCATTTTCCAAGCGCCCTCGAGCCGGGGGGCGGGGTCCCCCAGAGACCCCCTTTACGGGGGTCGGCGAGGCAATTTCCAATTGCCAGGGGTGCCCCCCAAGGCGACGGGCAAGATTTGCCGGCCATTATTCATTTGCCCCATCTTTCATGCTCTCACCTGCAGCAAAAACCACGCCTCGATCAATCACGTTGGGCCACTTTTCCCAAGCGTGTGCTTCATCAAGGCACTTGAAACCAAGTCGCATGTCAGCTTTTGAGCCTCTCTGTAGCGACCTTCATTGCAGTGCCCGAGCGATGGAGCTCGGTATATCGGAAATCTCTGATTGAGCCTAAGCATTCTACAATTGTGAAGATCCCCTTGGACGTAGGCTTTATTCCCGGCTTCGTCGTCTTCTTGTAGCCGACTACTGGATGGGATGTCGTGGCTCCACTCCAACCTTTCGGCACTATATCAACGACTTGTGGCGTGAAGACGCCGGTAACGATTCAAGCCGTGTGCAAGCAGATGATCGAGATAGGGCCTTAGTCTTCCACTGGCTGACCCGCGACTGTCAAGGTCGCATCATCCTTAGGATTTGAACATTGATAACCAAGAATTTCCCAACGGCACGAGAGGAAATTGCGTTGCTGATTCCGAAATGGAGCATTTGTTGCTGAGGGCTTGATAGGTGATGTGAAGTATCTGAATTAACTTGGCTGAATGGCTGAGGCCAAAGGCGACTGTTGTCTATTTACCAGCCACCAGTACGGGAAGGCGACTGGTCGACACATCTGAAGCTGAAGCGGGTATGGTGTCGATTTCTGTACGTTGCGCCGATTGATGATCGCTGGATACTAGATGTAATGGTATGCAGAGGCACTAGGGAACGGGAGTAATGTGGGCGTCTTGCCCGTCGCCTATGGGGGGCACCCCCGGCAATTGGAAATTGCCTCGTCGACCCCGTTAAGGGGGTCTCTGGGGGACCCCGCCCCCCCGGCTCGAGGGCGCTCAAGGAATGAACCAAATATGGGCATGGGCGATGAACATCCTCCTAATGGGCGAGGTTGACTTTTCTGGAAAAGTGATGTATCTGGAAAAGTGATGTAATACCAACTCATCAGCAGTTGTGCACACGTGGCGCAGGCATCCCCCGCCCGTCGTGAAAAGAGCGTGTATTGCGACAGTAAGACAAAATATCGCATTCCAGAAGGCCGACTTCAGGTATCCAGGCGTCAAAAGCGGTGGTCGGTAGGGGAAGAATGGCGGGGCAACGCGTGAACGCGTGGTGCATATTTACCAGCCGCAACCTCAGCTAGCTGTTAGCACCACCGTAAAGCCACGAAGAGGCCTTATCAGTCCTACGAAGTCCAGCGAACATTTGGGCTGATCAAGATATTCCGCATCTGGACTAGTGTTTGACACTTTCTGCCTTTCACTTGCCCTCGCCGTGTAAGCGCCTTCTATGAAGAATTGAATGTGCGGCGGGGACATACCACGAGCATCTTTCAACTGAATTGACAGCTTACTGAATTGATTCTTCTCCAAGGAGTAAGCACACGGTGAGTTGATTCCAGCTGGGAAAGTCGACTTGCATAAGCCGATTTTCGCCAAAGGGCAATCTCCAAAGTCACGGCATACTCCGGTCGCACAGCCTCAATTGACGGATTGATAGCATCACCCCATACAGAGTGGATCACTGCGGTATGAGACCCATGGGGTCCTTTCCTAGCAGGTTTATTGTGCTGCTCAGCCTTTTTCCAATTTCTGAGTCGCTTGGAGAAAGGATTGGACCCACAGGATAAGGCTGCTGGCCTGACTTGCTCGCCAGAGCGAGCGCATGTAACCAGACTGAGATGGCTGAGACGACAGCACCACATTGACACGTCTCTTTCGGTGACAATGGCCTCGAGGATTCAATGCACCTCCTCTCGACATACAACGCAGTGTTTCGGATCTGGGCTCAGTCAGCATTGGTTTTTTGGTATCCGCAGTCAAGACGAACGGGAATAAATGAGAACTTTTCAATACTAATGACCATCGCAGCGATGTCTTGCCGCTCTGTGGTGGTTCTACATGCTTCACCATGTGGCAACTGTGAGACAGCATCATGTCTGCCCATTGCATTTGCCCAATAGATGATATTCTCATTCGAAGTCATATATGCCTATATGCCATTGGTCCCTGATCGTGGGCTGGTATTTGCGTCTTGGTCGCTGGCAATCACTGCTTGTGTTTCGATATTGGATCCTCTGAGACACTCACTGGCAGCTTACCATGGGTGAGTTGAAAAGACAACTTGGGCTTTCCTGGCTGTCTAGAGTAGTGAGGCTATTAGCTCGGCATTTGATGTCATTCCGAATGCAATTCCCACATCCACCACTCCGTCGATGACCGAGATTTCGAAGGAAGCAAACGGGTGGGTCTGAGAGGGAGAATTGATCTTGGATAAAAGAAAGAACCGGAATGGACCAGGGCTTCGAGTTGAAGCGGAGGGCACAAGTTCAAATTTTTTCGATCATTGTTGAGGGCCTCGATGTTTGTGGTGCTTCGGTCAGTCTCGCACATCTGCTTTCGTCCTCTCTCTGGATTAGGAAACTCTTGAGTCGTATCGTTGAGGCGAGTGAGTCAGCCGTTCTTGCGCTAGCGAAATACCCGTGGTGAGCCTCCGCCGTGCTTTAGGTGTACCGATGAATAGAGCAATCCATGCCGACTTTCGATGGCACTTCCACCATCGAGTTGTATCCCGCCACGAGAAATAGGCTGCCTTCCATCAAAGCAACCCTTGTTCCCGGCGCTTGGAGGTGGCCCTCTCGGCTTGAATGATCTTGATCAGAAAGCAGACGGCGAAAGGTGACGTCGTACGGAAAATCTCGTGTGCGATGATGGCAAATAGACCGATAGATCTTCCACTTTACCTCGGAAAGGGGCAGGCGATTTTCCCAATAATCTCTATGCACTGAAAGCCGCCTGGTCACATACAAACATCTCGCAAATACCCGAGAATGGATTTTGAACATCTGGCAATAGGTCTCTCTGTAGACCCGCCTGGGAGAATCGTGCATCACAGATAGTAGAATCACCCGCTATGAGTAGAAAAGTGATTTTCTTGCCTGGCCTCTCCTCCGACCGATATTTGCCGCAGTGAAACCACTACCGAGGTCATTTTGGAGCATAGTAAACAGGTAATATCTGAATGATACAGGCACCCAGCATGGCCAGACAGCACTCGTTAGAGAAGTCTTTAGTGTAGAACCCGTGACTTCAAGCTTTGATGTCGCGGTCAATACCATTCATGGAAACATCCTCAGAATATCCCACTAGAGCCCACCCGGCAGTGTTGGTGCTAAGAATTATGATTCGCGATAGCGGATGTGTATCTGGTAGAGCCTAATCCCTCTTGTCTCACAATGATGAGCAAGTAGCTTCATTCAAATACGACACCACCAAAGCCCTATCAGGGCAAAGTTGTGATTGGGAGCTACTCCGATTCTAGTCGGACTAGTTGGCCTTTAGCTTCGGGGACGCGGTGAACGCCCACAAGGCTTTGCTGCCGTAATATGCCCCTGTCATGTATGGAAGCCCTGTCATGAAGCCAAGTTTTCGGTTGGCCTTGCTGCTTATCTCACTGTTGAATGTCGCATTCCTGTCAACGCAGCACTTTCAAGATTGGTTGCAAGTCTGATTGCACAATTAGCTTGGGTGTGTAAAGCTCAATTCGCCATTCATAGAGCACTATTGACCCATTGGAGCTCCATGCTGGCCTCCTTTTTTTTTAATTGCTTAGGGAAGGGGCTTGCACGGCAAGAGCAAATTAAATGGGAACGAAGTTGAACAACACTCTAGATACGACATATCGAGATCAATCCAAGTGTTCTCAAGATTGGGGTTGAGCGACAACGCCAGGGATTCCAATAAGCAACTGAGATTACGCGTGGTAGATATGCATCGCGCGTGGATGTGTCAACTCGCCCTACTTGGCCCACTGACCACCGCTGTTGACGCGTCGATATATGAAGTCAGCCTTCCGGAATGCGGTATTCCTTCTGATCGTCGCAAGATACAGGCATTGCATCGGCATAAATGCCACTTATTTGCTATCAAATTACTTTTCCGAACTGCGGCCTCGCCCGGATTTGATTCATTGCCCAAGCGCCCTCGAGCGGGGGGGCGCGGGGTCCCCCAGAGACCCCCTTCAGGGGGGTCGGCGAGGCAATTTCCAATTGCCGGGGGTGCCTCCCATAGGCGACGGGCAAGATCAACCCACTATCGTCGTCTTGGGACGTTCTCCAATTCTCTTGTCCGGGAAATTCGACAAGAGTCAATTATTCAGATCTCAGGAAGTGAAATTCAGTGTTTAGGCGTGTCGTGGCGACGTCCAATGTTTCCGTCCGAGCCGCGCTGGTTATTGTAATGAAAGGTCGCACACTAAGCGTACGGGCTCTATCATTCTAAGATTCTGCTTGGATTCAACCTCATTCTATGGTGCCAAGTCTCCACTTTGAAAGATTTGGAACGATGTTGTGAGGAGAGATTCATTTGAGCAGAACCTGGAGGTTGACCCTTGGAAGGCCCCCATTCCCAAATCACCCGTGGGAATATCAGGCCCTAACTGGGTAGAAAGTGTCCATAGTTGTCCGCTCCCTTCGGTCGCTCCCAATGTGCCCGCGGGAACCATTCTAGACTTTCCCTCCGGGGGTTGTGGCGTTTGGTTCGGGCGGGCCTTCGGTATACGGGGCCACCCTACGGGTGTCGGCCCTCTCCGGCCCTAGGCGGGAGTTGAATGTGGAAGCCGGGTCAACCTGTTGTGATTCCAGGTTGGTGCAGAACAGGAACGGAGCCGCACCATCGGAGTTAGTCCCGATGTATCTATACGAAGAGCCAAGTTGATTGATAATGTTCCATTTTAACCTTAGGAAAGGGCAGGTAATTTCCCCAATCATCACTTGTTGAGACATATTATGCACTAAAGCCGCACATACGAACATCTCGCAAAAGCCCGAGAATGGATTTTGGATGTCTAGCAATGGGTCTCTCTGTAGACCTGCCTAGGGAAATCGTGCATCACACATAGTAGAATCACCCGCCATGAGTAGAAAAGCGACTTCCTTCCCTGGTCTCTCCTTCGACTGAAATTTGCCGCAGTGAAAATACCACCGAGGTCATTTTGGAGCATAGTAAACAAGCAATAGCTGACTAATACAGGTACCCAGCATGGTCAGACAGCATCCGTTAGAGAAGTCTCTAGTGTTAAACCCATGACTTCAAGCTTTGAGGTCGCGGTCAATACCGTTCATGGAAGCAACCTCAGAATATCCCACTAGAGCCCACCCAGCAGTGTTCGTGCCAACGATTATGATTCGCAATAGTGGATGTGTATCTGGTAGAGCCCAATCCCTCTTGTCCCTCGACGATGAGCAAGTAGCTTCATTCAGATACCACACCACCAAAGCCCTATCAGGGCGAAGCTGTGATTGGGCGCTACTCCGATTCAAGTCGGACTAGTTGGCCTTTAGCTTCGGGGACGCGGTGAATGCCCACAAGGCGATGCTGCCGTAATATGCCCCTGTCATGTATGGAAGCCCTCTCATGAAGTCAAATTTTCGGTTGACCTTGCTGCTGATCTCACTGTTGAACGTCGCATTCCTGTCAACGCAGCGCTCTCAAGATTGGCTGCAAGTCTGATTGCACAATTAGCTTGGGTGTGGGAGGCCCAATTTGTCATTCATAGGGCACTATTCGGACCATTGGAGCTCCCTGCTGGCCTCCTTTCTATTTGTTCTTGACAGGTTTCCCGCTTATAAACAGTTGGGATGTCAAGTGCGCGAGCTCGTGTAGCGCCGGCAAGAAGACAATATCAAAAAAAGTTAGCCGTCGTAAAAAGCGCAAATTAGAACGATCTAATTTTCGTGGAAATTCAACGCTCGTTCACTTGTGAGATGCACTCATCGCGAAAAAGCCCAGCGGAGAAGTGTTTGGGAAATGACGTCACGCGAAGTTAGCTGCGGCAAGTAGTCAGCGACGCGTCGGACCATTTAAGAACAGCGACCCAAGGCTGCTTCTGTCGACGTATGCTGTCTTGACCATTCACAAGGCACAGAAAATGTTAACACTCCCTTCATGTTTGAGGAGTTGCTTCATAAGTCGTCCCATCAGAGAACCCACGCAGCCACGTGGACACGATATCATGATTTGATGCTGGTGCCGGAACGGAGCCGCATCATTGGAGATGGCTCCTCAGATCTCCATATTGAGAGTCGAGTTTCAACCAGCTTATCCTCTCGCAGTATGTGTTATCGGGTATCACCCCTTCAAACCGACGACCAATTATACCGCAGACGCATCATAAGTGGTCATGGCGACAGCGAGATGGCCACCACAGGCCTAAAAGTAGTACTCTTGACTAGCTCTGCCGCTAGATAAATGTGAAGCCCACATTGAACAGGCTTAGCTCACAGCGTGCTGAGAACATGTCTCTTCAGCACCATCACAGATGACCGAGGCGGAAGACGCTGATGCAAAGTGGCCTTGTCTAATGACAATGGAGATCAGCCATCGGAATGCATAATGCGGATCCAACAGCAGGTCTTGTCATAAACTGTTCATTTCGTGTAGGTGTTGACTTGGGTGAGGTGAGACAGGGAGCCACGCTAGCCGTCCACTGTTAACCTCCAGAGCCTGACTGCAGCAGGCCTCGCGTCTAATGCCGCTTAAAACCAAGCTCTTGACAAGAGACGACGGCATTGCCAATGGAATGAGCAGGGACCAGGTAAAAAATCTTTCGATCGACGTGAGAGGTCTACTAGAACGATAGTCAGCTATACGAATGTAAATTCAGGGAGGGGGAGGACGCTATACAAAGCCACCTGTTGGATAATGTGGGTAATGCGCTTCTTGTAGTAGATTCGTAGTGCGATTGGGACTAGGTATCCAGAGCAGGCGCCGAAGGGTATGTTCAGCTGATACATGCATGGAGTGGGTGTTTGGGAAGCGTGTCGGTAACCAGTCGCTCTATAGGCAATATTAGCACCCAGAGAGGAGGAATAAGGATAGGTCAGCATGAGTGGGGATACTCTTGTCAATGCCGAAAGTAGCTGATACATATGAAAACAGGCGACAGTGCAACCCTTGCCAACCAAGAAGTCGTTCAACATGGCTGCATAACTAGACGCAGTCCTCGGAGCTCTGAGATGACCGATAATCCGTAGCTTGAGATATGAAGGTTAGCTTTCGTGACTGCGGGGTCTATGCCTATTGAGTGTACGAAGGTCGCTCTTGTCAGCTGAAGGCTCTCCCAATACACATAAAAAAGATGATGGGTTAGAGCTCACACTGAGTTTGCTTGGCGAAACTGACTAACCCATTTCGTGCTGAAGCTAACAAGGTTGACGAGGGGCTAGTTCCATCATTCAATAACATGGAGCACGATTAGATCAGCAAGGGCTGATTGCAGACAGATGAATGGTTATTCGTCCTGGGAAAGCAGGATCAGATGAAGTGTGGGCGGATGACGTTGAAGCCATTGATATAGCCTTACAGCGGCTCTGGGCATTCCTTTGGTTTTAGCGTCACGCGCGATGTATTGCGTACACACTGGCTTACTTCCGGTGTATCGACAGGTTCTCTGAAGGGTCAATGATCTGTCATTAGCGAATTGTTTGAGAGGTGTCATCACTCACCCACGTTCTATACCGTGAAGGTTTGGACCATCTAGGCGTGGATTAATTTGGAAAATGTAGCGCAAAGAGCCGGATGGGAAAGAGCGAGATCAGCCGATATGAATTACGTACCTGATGGCATCACATCCTCATCGCTGATTTGATTGATGAGCTGTTCCTTCTTTACAGTATCTGTCGGCGTGGCGGCCGAAGGCACAAGGCTAGAGACGATTCGACTTAGAGAGCGTCTCTTGTATTCGAGGTGGAATCGGCCTTGCTTTGGATACATGATGGGTGGTCTGTCCGACAACGGGTCCCTTGCTACCGAGCCCAATACCGAGAGGGTAGGAAGCTCCATGAGCCATCCAGCATCCGGGATAGCCCACGCCGGGACTTGGGGAGGGGGCCGTGAAGATCTCTGCCACAGAAAGGAAGTCAGCTCTATGTACATAGACCCAATCAAAGATCAGGAGATACGGATCACACTCAGCGTTCTCCGGTATTCGTGATGTATCAACCCATTCACCTTTCTGTAGGAGGTTCCTGTGATACAAGTTCGTTTGGTCAGCGACTGACCTCATGGAGTTGTTATTGGGCCTACCATATAAAAGCTCTACCGTAATTTATCAGGGGTAGAGAGCCTGTCATGGTTGTCATCGGATGTGCTTAGATCTGACTGTACGCAGACCGTTCGAGAGGCTCTATTGTGAGATCCTTAGATAGGACATGATGTCTTTTTCATGAGTCAAACCAATTTGACACCTCACCTTGGTAGAGATTTTGCGTGTCACGGTGGACAGATTGGAAGTCTAGCGGAACCGAGGAATAAACGGTGTTAGTGTAAGCTTTAACTAAGGAAGGGTGGTACTCACGTATATCAGTCCTCGTATATCAGTCCTAGAGAAAGAGTATTATCAGTGAGAGATAGTCTTGAGCTGATGACTGGGCACACTTACAAGTATAGACAAAATGAGATGATCAAAGTCAATCTTCGGAAATGATATGTGCGAGGAGAGATGCAAGAGAAAAGTCAAGCAAGAGGGATGGGAGCATATTTATATGCTTCACTGCGGAGTTCCTCGCCTTTCGCTTGGATCAAAAGTGGCGAATTGTGAAACTGGTTTGGTTATCTCTATGCAAGAGAAAAAAAGGCATACCAGCAAGCGGTTTTCTGCGCTCAATCAACATGGCTACTCACCAGTGGTGAGCAAACAGGGGCAGCAAAAACCGAATGACAAAACTTGGCAAGGATTAAGATTCAGGTAAAATGCCAGAAAATGCCACCAAGAAAGTGGAGCAGTGGCTAACTGACAGACCAGAGTTTATTCACCAGCGGATTCAGTTGAATCAACAGCGATGAGCAAACATGAGGCGTCTCAAGAATATGCGGAATGACAAATAGTTGTCAAGGAGGAATCGTCGAGGTAGAGTTCTAGTCCCGGTAAGACGAATTGGGGATGTAGAAAACGAGGTCGTAAACTTTATTCACTCGCGAATCAGTTGACTCAACGGGGATGAGCAAACAGGAGCTTGATCAACAATATTTGGAATGGCAGATACCTGTTGAAAAGTGAAATTTGAGGCGAGCACTAGAAAGTCCTCCGTTTGATTACTGACTTGACTACTGTCCTGGCTTTCTCTGACCCATTAACTAGCGGAAAATAAATACTTACAAACAAGATGCATTTGCTCGCCTCGCTTCTACCACCTTTGTATGAGCGGACGAGGTGTGAACACAACACATAATACACGCCCTGGAGGGAACGTAAAAGTTACCGCTCCCCCTCAAGCATAATGTGAACCGTGGGCAGCCCAAATTGGCAACACCATAACAATGCATGGTCATTAAGTTGAGCCAACACTGGGTACCTTGGATCCACACCGGTGCGGCCTGTGGGTCGAGGTGGAGCCACCATATCCACTCTGGTGCCTCAACGTTGAGTGAACGATAGTGAATGATCAGCGAGGAAAGCCAGAAGCCCTCAGAGAATGATGGTGAATGAGAGATTGCTCAGTTTTGTGCGACCCCCGAAAACTCTCCATATCGTCCTTGGAATCGCTTTCCATTACATTTCGGCCGTCCCAGCAAAAAGCACCGCTCCTCAAGTAGCGGGTGCTGGGCATACACTACTCTACGAAAGACACAAAAGTGCGTCCCGCCAAAAGTTGAGAATTGGGGCCAGTTATTCACTAAATTGATATGCCATGGGATTTTTGATAGTAATGCCATTTGCAGAGTATATTGACAATCACCAAGAGCCCAGAGCTCTCTGCAGCCTCTCCGCTGCCAATCTTGGTCACAAAATATCAGCCCTTAGTAGAATATGTGGACACGTGGGACTCTGCACAAGTCCAGTCATGGATGTATGGAGGAATACCCTTGCATAGCAATCATGTAGGCATGCCTTCTCTCAATGTACGGCAAAGACAAAGCCTGTCAAGCCGTGTACCTCAGTACCTCACAATAAGCCGCCAGAACTTGAGCATAGTCAAGCAGAGGTGACATTGAAGCCGCACGCAATTCGACGGGCCTTTCCAAAATAGACCATCCTCCACCGTGGCACTTTCGCACGCGCAGTATAATGCTGAGGACCTTCATTCTGACTCACTTCTCTGAGGTCACCGTACCACTACTGTGAACCATGGGCGAGCCATTCTTTTCCCTCCGATTGCAACTGCGCCAATTTTCTGATTCAAACTGCACTTTCTGTGAGTCCGAAATACTACACACCCAGATCGAAATGAACGGTCGTGGTGCTGTCTGGCGTGACGTGATTGGCGATCCACTCCACAGCATCGTCCAGCTCATGGTTCAGGGCCGGTGAGGAGATTGCATCGACCGCCAGAACCGTCCCCGGTGAGAAACCTGCACTGCTGGTATCTACGAGAAAGCGTAGCTGAAGTCCATAAAAGCAGGCTCCTCCCCGATGCATTTCTCTTTCTTCACACATCGCGGCCGCGGTGTGTCGCCTCTGACCTTCGGGCCTGAGGTTTCCGTGACGACGGCTGTTGCTGATCCAAGCCCAGTGACATAAGAACAGTGCTTCGCAGGGGGGCGCTGCGTTACCAAGTGAACTCCGCAGGGGGACGCTGTGATGACAATTGAGACCCGCAGGAGACCGCTGCATTACCAAGTTCTCCGCAGGAGACCGCTGCGTCAATAAGTTCTCCGCAAGGAAAAATGCGTTACCAAGAGTCTCCGCAGGGACATCTGCGAAACCAAGAGTCTCCGCAGGGACATCTGCGACACCAAGAGTCTCCGCAGGGACATCTGCGAAACCAAGCCCCTCTAGCAATGTGCAAGCACCTCTGCGTGGTGCTAGGGACCAGTATTCATCTCCCATGGGAACTCAAGAAGCCAAGACTTGCGCAGTAGATAGATTAAAGCATGGGCCATAGCAGCCCACTGGGAAATACAATCATCACATTATCAATTCGGTCGATTCAAAGTTCTCTCGCAGGCCATACCTAAAGCCGTATTGAGTAAAGTCGCTTTACGCGATAGGTTCTCGACATGCCCACTGATGAGCCGATTCAAAGCTGCCGTCGCTACCTGTACGAGATAGATTTTAAAAGTAGAAAGTTTGTCTGAATGACTCCATCGTTCGCGAATCCAATGTCAGGACCCTGTCCAGGCAGGATTTTCGTGACGGTGACCATCGAAGGGATGACCCGTCGTAGATCGTCCGGACCTTTGAAAGTGGCGCTGAGCGCGACTTTGAGCTGATGCGATTCTTGATGGGAGTGATTCTTGATGGGAGTGATTCTTGATGGGAGTGATTCTTGATGGGAGTGATTCTTGATGGGAGTGATTCTTGATGGGAGTGATTCTTGATGGGAGTGATTCTTGATGGGAGTGATTCTTGATGGGTGTGAATCTTGATGGGTGTGAATCTTGATGGGTGTGTGTTGACGGGTGCGTGTTGATGTTGACTCGTCGGGCTACAAACATGAGGTGAAGCGGTGAAGGGCAGGCAGTATTTGGATTCACAATGGCTCATGATTGATCCGCCCTCGACCCACTTCGCGTGTCCACTCCCCATTGTCTGGGCCGCCCCAGGTATACGTCCTCTTCCAGAATTCTCGTAGATCGAAGATTCCTCTTTTGTGATTCCTTCACATCAAGTACCTTCACGAAATCGACATCTCCCCATCGCTTGACACCAACAATCCCTACCTCATTATGGCACAGTTAGATCCGTCGTCTGCCGAACGTGCTCGCACGGGAACTGCGAATTGACCCTCCAGGCAGCAGCTCAGCCTCCCTCGATCTAAAGCGCTGCATATTCCAACGCGTCTACGCGGGCACATTCCCTGTTTGCCTCAGACCCGATTCACTCTCTCTCTGCCTATCTATGTATCGTTCATGCTATCGAAGGGGACAACACGATCGGGAAATGTCTGCAACGTTCGGCTTGCTCTAAATTTGAGGCCTCTGACATCGCTGAAATTTGGAAGAATTTGCATTATTCGCTGTGTTGTGCCACGTTGGACATCATCTCCCACACTTGAATTCTAATCAAACAACTTGAGTCCAAACAACCTGAGTCCGTACTACACATTTGATGAATCCACATTTCATGACAATAATCCCTGCAGGTGGCCTCTCTCTTGGAGCTAGTACCGATTCACTAGGCGCTCCGCATGTCTGACTGCATTAATCGCTGTTTCCTTCCCAACACACGAACAATTTCCGCGTGCCCTGATTGTACAGCAGCCTGGATGGGTGATTGACCGCAGAACTTCACATCGACAATGATGCTTTCGACCTTGATCAACCGCTTTACAACTGCTAAATGTGCCTCCCTCGCAGCATAGAACAGTGGTGGGCACATAGGTGTATTGACCTCCACGTCAGCCCGGCCTAGAAGCAGATCAACCATCTGCAAATCTCCGTGGTATGCGGCTTGACAAAGTGGCGTCCAGCCCATGTCATCATACACGTTCGGATCCAGTCTTGGTTCCGCGAGGAGCAGACTGACACTTGCCACGTCTTTTTGCTCTATAGCGCGATGTAGAGCGCGGGATCGATACACCCCGTCGTCGTTGACGTCAATGCGCTTCTCCAACAAGAATCGCAGTCGTATTCCACTATTGTTCGTCAGAGATAGAGGAGTTGATCCGTTGTTGTCTCTCGCATTGAGATCAATATTCGGGACCTCGAGAAATTGCTTGACAATACACTCGCGACCCATTTCGGCAGCAACGTGTAAAGCTGTACACCCTAGATGGGTTTTCAGGTCATGATCTTGCCCTGAAACAGCTAGCAGAAGCCGAAAGATCTCATAGCGCCCATAGTAAGCGGCTATGTGAAGGGCTGTTTCTCCAGCTGCATTCGCTGCGTTGACCTCCAACCCCGCTTGCTGTAGCAACATGGCGACGGCTTTTTTACCATCTTTTCTAATGGCGATCTGCAAAGCGGTTTCTCCATAGACATCGGACCCATTCGGGTCTGCGCCGTACGACAGCAAACACTGCGCGATGTCTAGTCGCCCTAAGTGAAGTGCCAAGGATAGAGGTTTGGACATTGCAAAATCATCTACCAAATTTAAACCCCTGGCGCTCCCTGCGATACGTAGCATCGCGTTGACGATTGGCAGATGATTTTTGTAGATGGCCAGGATCAGTGGTGGTATTCCTTTGCAATCCGATCGCTTCATGTCTCCCCCTCGTCGCAGGATTTCCGTGACCAAAGTCTCATTGCCGAAGTAGACCGCGTACCAGAGAGCCGAACGACCTTTATGATCATGAATGGCCAAGTCCGAACAATGCCACTTCAATAAACATAATCCAATTGAGCTCCGGTTTCTGGAGAGCGCGCATATCAACGGTGTCTGACCTCTGTCGTCCTTCCAATTGTAATCAACCTTGGAGGTGCTGTGAAGGATTTGCAATATTTCCAGACTTTTGGTCCGAATGGCGTGGAACACGGGTGTTCGGTGTCTGCCATCGTGGGTATTGACGTTAACGCCGGGGTAACTCAAAATTTCTCTCACCACATGTGGACTATTATGAGAGGCTGCCCAGGTCAATGCATAGCTGCTTTCGTACTGCACATTGATCTTGTATGCCAGCGGCTGGAATACAGTATTAAGAAAACGATTTGTGGAAGCCAGCGCAACGGCATTATGTGATTGATATATCTCATCGCCGATGGCAATAAGCAGCTCAGGGGGAAGGTCACAAAGTCTCATTTCGTCTAGTCCTTTGCAGCTAAAGTAATGCTGGCTGGACAATCGTTGTCGCTCGAACACTAATTCACCGCGAATTGAAATGCAGACATAGTGAAGGGCATTGATTGTTGGACCGGCCGACCTTTTATGCTGAGATCTGGTGGGTACAGGCCAGTAGGCATAGTTTGCTGTCACCCTCCCAGAGCACCCATTCAGAATCCCAGGAGCGAACTCGGTACTTCCAGGATCCAAGTGGGTAGGTTTGGGATAGGGAAACGTATTCACAGCCGGGCTTCCTGCCGAAGAATGCTTCGTTCTGGGCCGATAAAGTACTGCACATCTGAGTGTGTTGCCTTCGAGCATTTCCCATTCACTGCCTGACTGACATTGCATACGACCTAGCTTCTCACAAACCTTGCTATGGGCTGTCAACGAGCGTACACATCAAAGTGATTCCAAACCAGCTTAGTTGTTTCTATTAAATCGCTCTTACTTGTTCCTGCCAAGCCCTTCGAATTCGAATATCACCCAGAACTCGGCCGAGTATCCTCAGAAAAGTAGACCTTGTTATCTAGCTGCAATTATCTGTGCAGAGTACAAGATCTTCGTAGGACACGCCCGTCCATTTGACTTTGACGTAGGCCGTTGGGGCTCGTACAAAAGAATTGCACGGCAGTTTTTCCGCTACAACTACCCCCACGATCTTCTCGATATTCGCTCGCCTATATCGGCGGTGGGTGTAACCGATCTCGTCGATATACTTGACATTTGATATCGGTTCTGGGAGTCGGACGCGTTTTGAAGTGAATCCTTGTCGCCATACATCCCCTTTTGAAAACGTATCTGCAGGCCTCCAACGGACCCACGCGCATAATGGAGAAGCGACCAGTCCCAATTTGGCACATTCATCTACCTGGGCATTTTCAGCGCTGAAGTTGGCACTGTGTGCAGCACGCAGCGTAGTATTATCGCGTCCATATTGTCGGCCTTCGTTGGTTGATTCTCTTCTTGTCAAATTTATCGAGTCTCTCATAGGTGGTCCAACAATATTAGACGCCCAAGACTCTGGCGCACTCCCAATTACTGGCAACGCAGAGTATTGGTGTATAGTTGTCGGAGAAGGAGGCCGGGGCGTGCGAATTGAAAGCATGTCTTCGGATGACCTCATAGATTGAGCATCTGCACCGCACTCTATCAGGGTATTCATAAACTCATTGCCTTGCCCGCGCGCGAGTGAGAGCGCTCTATTGAGCTGATATTGGCTGGCTCGTGGTCCGAGATACTTCAGGAGAGAATCCTTCGACCTACTCTCTCCCATCATGACATATTCCAGAGCCGAGAGACCAACGTTGCTCGCGGCGGTGACACTGGCACCGTGTCTACCTAAGCATTGAACGGTTTCAACCCGTCCCAGGTGACAAGCATTCATGAGTAGCGTAAAACCCAGCTGGTCGTGATTGTCGAACTCTGCCCCTGCACGAATGAGAGCATGGATAACAGTAGGAGGGGAAATTCGAATCGCGTAATCCAAAGCAGTTTGATTGAAGTCGTCGAGTTGATTGACATACCTTCTTTGATCTGGCTCTGATATCTCTCGAAGGATGGCCTCGATTGCTTCAATACATGCTGTAGCACGGCAAAGGACGTGAACTTGGAGAATAGTCATTTGAAACTGATCGGTATCAAATATTGCACACGGACATGCTTTTAGATACAGACTGGCTCCTTCAATAAATTCGCAACGAAGGCAGCTGTGTGGAATTGGAGTTCCATGACTCGCACATGCAGAGACGATATCTCGCAGCACCTTTTCAGGCCAGTGCTTCTTCTCAAATAGTGCTACGAGGCAAATGAAGCCTCGAAAACCCAACGCTCCAAGTTTGGTGGATTTCAGGATGAGATTCAGCAGCCACTGCTTGGGCCAACGCTTGTCTTTGAAAATCTCAACCAGCGAGTCAAGACTTTGCAATGCCGGTCCCATTTTATGCATCAGGAAGTCAACCGAAGCGCAAAAAAAGTCCCATCGACAAAATGTGAATGAAACTAGATCTTCGACCGGTAGATAATCCAGTATGTCATATACCATCTCAGGTGGGAGGGGAATGATACCCACTGACAATGGCGCATTCTCATTGTTGTCTGGACTGCGGATTCGAGCATGAATTTGAAAATTCAGTCGAATGCGTTGAGGCGACGATATATTATCCATATTCGGTATATATATTTTTTATTGCTTTACAACAATCTGGAAGGTTTGGGAATGAAGCGCTCGGCAGTCCACGCTCGAGAATTGAGCGCGAGCTGGGCAATGCGAGATCAAGACGAAGCTGAGTGTATCGAGGAGAGTTTTTTCTTCCGCGAGGTTGGGAAGCGGAGCATGTATATTTGGGTATGTCGAATTGATACCACTTGCTGAAGCTATGTTGCGCTTTTCACGGTCTCCCTCCAATGCAAATCGAATTAAGTGCACCTATCAAAAAAATTTCTTTAACGCCCCCGACGAATATGGTGGTTGAAATTGAGGCCTGTTGATAGTTTTATTACCGCTGAGATTGACTGAATAGTAGAAAACCAACGAAAAATCTCTGAACCCACATTGAAATTGTAGGCAGAACCCATCATGATACTGCCATCATTTTTTACATAGGGGAAACAGAGTCGGGAAACTTCATTGTTCACGAAGACTACCGGAAGGAGGTTAAGCAGGATCAGGCTCATTTCTAACATGCTTGTGTCAGATATGTAAGTGCATCAAAGAAATTGTTGCTACACGTCACTGCAAAATTCTCATCGCAGGAAATTCTTTTTCACTGTTAGTATTACTATTGATATACGCTGATTCGATCACGTGGATCATCATCGTTAGTTGTAAGGATCAAAATAGCAAGTTGGCTACTGTACAACGCCCCCAGAAGAAATCCTCAAGAACGCAATACAATTCTGATTCTGAGAGTTTTTGTGCCGCCTCAGCTGAATTATCAAAGCAAGGTAAATTGGTGTGTTCATGTACTTGAGACTCCCCAAAATGCGCGCCAGTAAAGGAACTAGCTCCTCGGTTTCCATTCGGAACGAAGACCCATGGAATGACTACGAGAAGGCTCTGAATATCTTCCCGCGGAGACATATTTTTCTCGCCCGGGACCGTGAGAGCAAAGCAGATCTAGTCCACGTTCAGCAATTGGAGGAAGGCGTGGCAGCACGCCCCCTCCTCGAGATCATAAATCGTTTATCGCATCGGAGCTTCCCATGTCTTCTGCGTTGCTACCAGCACCACGAAACAACTTTCTTGGTTTGGGAGCCCGTTGAACTGTCCCTGTCGCAGCCCATCGGGTCCAAATATTCGATACGGGAGAGCGAGCTGGTGTCTATAGTCTGGCCGGTGGGTGATGGATCTGACCCTTGATAGCACTGGTGAGTATCTCAATTTAACGCGCCTGCCAGATCCTGAAGGGCATTCGCCATCTACGAGACTCGCATCGAGCCCTTTCTTCGCTCACCAGTGAGATGATCCTACTGACCGAGTCTGGGGGGTCAAGATCGGTAAGTGCCCACCTAGGGGAATATCTCGGGTTTCAGACTCCGCCCAGGAGCACATGTACTGACATCGGCCTCAGCGGGTGTGGAACGGACGTGCGAAATCCATGCAGCAGACGTGGTCACACTGAAGCTATTTGCGTTGTCCGAGATCGTCAAGGCGCTGCGAAAGCAGATGAGTCCGCTCGACCCCTGGAGTGCCGAAGCACAAAAGCTACCCGAACGATTAATGGCGGTGTCGCTCGATGATCTGCTACGGGTAAGTTTTCCGGCAGATCAACAAATGGAAGGGCAGGAAGGCCAGCGTTAATAGGACATAGGATCATATATTCTCTCAAATGCAAGGCGGAGAGCTCAAGATGCTAGTCAGTGTGGTCAGCAAAACAAGCCACTACGATATCAAATATACTTAGGCTGGTGGAAACGCCGGGGTGAGCGATTGGCCTGATACTTATGGTCTGCAAGTGGTTTCGTCTGCTTTATTTGTCTCTGGTGCACCTTTCCTACAGCAACTGGCTTTTCCATCGATGTACAGCCGTGAGGGCAGCATCGAGAGTCCCTCGAGTAGAACGTTTGCATGGATGGTTGACGAGAGCTACCAACCTAGAGATGATGACGAAGAGTCCGATGTGGAATAGGACGAGTCAGACGAGGTTCACAAAAAGCGCGAACAGCGCCGGTTATATCGAAAGGAGAAAAAGAAACAAGAAGATCTGCGACGGAGCACTCGTGAGAGCTTTCTCACGTGGATTGAATCTGGCCGACACATATTCCACATATCTGGGAAAGCCGGATCCGGAAAGTCGACTTTGATGAAGTTTCTCTCAAGGTCGCCGCGAGTGAAGAAAGGATTAGAGGCCTGGGCTGACGGCCAACCTCTGGTTCTCGTTCAATTTGTCTTCTGGAACTCTGGTGACGAGAGACAAATGTCCCTCGAGGGTCTTTATCGCAGTCTTCTGTTCGAAACATGCAGACAAATGCCTAGCTTAATACCCCTTCTTTTCCCCGAGGCATGGGAGAGTTCGAACCTTGGGGTGGCGCCGTTCCACTTTGACGCAATCAGAACCGTATTCGATCGCTTTATCAAGGAAGCAAGTGCTTCGAGCACCCATTTCTGCTTTTTTATTGACGGCCTTGACGAGTTCCAAGGCGACGAAGTTGATCATTGGCGCCTTTCGCAAGATCTTCAGTCTTGGACAGCCGGAACGAAAAACGTTAAGCTTTGCCTCAGCACCCGTCCTCATATTCCGTTCGTTCAGACTTTTGCAAATCCTTTGAACTCACAAATAAGCATCCACGACCTTACGCGAGAGGATATTTTTAATTTCAGTGCAACCATGTTTGAGAAGGATCCCAACTTCCAACGCATCAAAGACACATATGAGGACCTTGTGATCGAAGTTGTGGATGCCAGCGACGGGGTCTTTCTTTGGGCACGTTTAGTTGTACGTTCCCTGCTGAGAAGTATAGGCTACCGAGACAATGAGAAGAACTTGAAGAAGCAGCTTAGCTCAATACCTAGGGGATTGACTGAGCTATTTGATCAAATCCTCGGTTCCATTGACCCAGATGACCAGCCGTTCTCGGACAAATTATTCCTCTTAACGACCCCGGACTTCTGCCTCTGGCAGCCAATTCTGCGGAATGCGATATCCTATTCATGGCTCGAAGACCTGGAAGATGCAGATTTCCCTTACAAAAGCCCAATGAAGGCCTACACAGAAGTTGAGATAGATGAAAGGCTTGAACGTGTTTCGTGCGACTTGGATCGCTTCTCTCGGGGCCTGCTGTTAATGTCTAGAAGACGCAGCCGTGACAGTGACGGTCATGAATATTTCACTCATGAGGTACAATTCCTTCATCGAAGTGTGCGCGAGTACATTGTGAACACCAGAGAAGTCCAAATGCGGCACCGTACGCCTAATTTCGATGTTCCCTCGGCGATCATACGGCTGTTGCAGAGATGAAGTTTGCATTACCCACGAATCACGATTTCAAACCAAGAACATGGCTAGCTGGAGGGGAAGGCGGCCCCCTCAGACGGAATCTACATATTTTCTTCACGGTTATCTCTGCTGCTTATGAAAAATGCGGTCACGCCCCATCCCCACGAATTTTCGAGGAGGCTAGTAGTATTGTTCAGAATCACGGCAAACCCGCAGAATTTCAACTAGAAGATGGCGCTGGAAATGAAATTCCAGAGCCAAAGGGCCACCTGTTTGGTATGAACCTGCAACGGATAGGCGATGAATGGAGCATGCAGAGGGCTTCAAATATCCTGCTGATTTTCTATGCGAGGCTGTGAACCGAAATATGCAACACCTTTTCTCGCCTGATCTGATTACTGCTTTGAAGAAGCAGAACTCTATCTCGGGGCCAAATATACTTCTTACAAGTACTCGTCATTCTGGGGACGTGGATTTCATACGAGAACTTTTGCGTGACGGACGCTCTCCACTAGAGAAAATTCGAATGGAGCCAATTCGTCCTTTTGATCGAGTCGATAGAGAAGCCTGGACGACAATACCAGCGCCACAGGCCGAGGTTTCTCTTTGGCTGCTTTTCCTATATGGTCTAGTTGAAGATTACATTCTGAAGGGCCGTGCTGACAAGAAGGAAAGTGAATGCCTCGAGGAGTTTCTAAAGTGTGACGTGGACTGTGATGTTTTCTTCATAGTGAGAATACTGAATTTGTCTAAACGCAAAAAGAAGCCGGCAGACGATGATGAGAAGTACGAAGAGTCTGGTGAAAACGTCAATCCCGACGAACTAGTGGCATTCAAACTTGTGGAATTCCTCGAGTTGATGAGGCCTTCCAACTTGGATGGTCTTTTGAAGCAAATTTCAAGCCTACGGAAGCCGGCCCAATACGATAGATCAGAAGTGACACGTCCATCTGGTTGCTCGGTTCCCTACAAACGAGGTACTCTGGCCAAAACTCTTGAGGACATTGTGGCAACAGGCAAGAAGCATCGACATTTTGGATTTGGGGTCAGTCTCTGCGTAGAAAGTGTGATTACACCATCTGAGAGATTGGATGTCCCATTCGCCTTCCGAATGACTTAGTCCTACTCCAATTCTCTTCGATCGTTGTACAAGGTCTCAGGTGCTCGTCTGACGACTTGGGTAAAAGAGCTCCTCTTGCTTCGAATGTGGCCACCGTGTGTCTTGCATTCGCCTCATCTAGCCTATCAGGAGAATTCATATAGGGAATCTCCAGATGCGGCGTTTGCTATGGCCCTTTATAAGTGCCATGCCTCTGGCATGGATTTCTTCCTTCCTCCTTCCTCTCTCCATACATTCCGCACAGAGTCCCCTTGCTTCCTGGTATAGCCAATTGTCGTTATAAAGTGAATTTTAGAAGACTCAGCTTAAAGACACTGTACTTATCAACCAGTGGGTCAAAGAAAGCGGTTGACAGCGAGATATCTCTAGGCGCCACTATGACCGCTTCAAAATAGAATCACGATGCATAAAGCGCCCATTCCTTTTGATCTGCTCATAATAGTTCTCTGCAAAACTGATATGATAGGCATCGCCCATTTCCGTAAAGAGCTTCACTGACATCTCCTGATCCTTTAAATCTTCAGAATGGTTGAAAGGCGAATACATATAACGCTTCTTTATATTCGGGAGGCCTTTATCCCAGCCTTGACCCATTGCAAACCGTGCAACAGAAACTGCCTTTGCATCGGTTCTATATGCCTGTGGCGTATTGGGAAAGATGTTGCGAGGAACTTGATCAAGGAGCAAAATTAGAGCTAATGCTCCATCTCCATTACCAGCGCGGGTCCATGTGTCGAGTTCGCCATTTTTTGCGGCTTGGTATGTCTCGCCCAGATGCTTTCGCACATACGCATCATCCGATGGGCCGCCATACCAGAATGACTTTTGTTTCAAGTAGGTGGATGAGGACTTGGCTCCGAACCAGAAATCGAGGACATTTTCGTACGTCTTTTTTGACATTGTTCGATGCATATCGTCTGCGAAGATATTCAGAATCGTATTAGAAAAGGTTCCAATAAAATGGAAATGATATGAGAATCATGACCCAAGATATATCCCATACTTGAGAGAGAATTGTACGGGCTCGGAGTTAAGAAGTATAAACCCACCTGGGCCTAAATCCCAAATCCGAAAGTCCGAAAGTATCCATGACGTCATCCCGTCTACATCATCTCAAACCAAGCTCCTTACTAGAGCTACAAAGAATTCCTACGCAATTAATGAAGGCGAATTAGAAATGAGAGAGGGAGGATGGACTTGAATAAAATTTCAAACTTTTCGAAAAAATCAGCTCGTGAAAAACGCGAAAGTCGAAGTTTCCTTCAATATGACGACTGGGTAAAGCCTAGAAGGAGGAGATAGATTGAAGTAGACGAAGTGGCTGGCAGGAATGTCGAAGTGAATGAAGGGTCGTGGTGTGCTAATATTAGTATTATCCCATGTCACAAAACTTTCATGTTGAAATGAACTTTTTTGGGAGATCTCGACTCCACAGAAATTGCATCTCTATTGGAAGATGATCTCGAGTTACGGTGAAAAAGACAGACTGTTAGGTCAGATAAACCATACATACTCAAATAACGTTGATTAAACTACATTTCCAATTGGTACATGAGCGTTTCACATACATAAAATTCTTCATCATTGAGACACGAGCACATCGATGTTACCAGTAAGCTGTTCGTTGAAAAGAGCCATGTCTGGGGATAGACTGCTTGGCGTCAAGATCCTAGACTCGTAATTGTCATGCTCCGGGGCAAATCGAGCGTCTAAAGATTTTGAAAGCGTTTCAGCGACGACAGTAGCCATATCTGACTTTCTTCCAAGGTATTCAAGGGCCCGAATACAGAAATCACAATTTTCACGCAGACTCTCCGTCAACGAAGCATACTTGCCAGAGACATCAAGATTTTCAAGCGAAATATAACCGGCCTTTGCAAATGAATGAATGAGCACAACAGTCCATGGTTCAACTAGGAATGCAACTTCATTGAGAGAATCATGGAAATGTCGGTGCATAGTGGGCTCTCGACCATGTAACGAGGACCGAGCCAGGCCACCAACTGCAAAGGCATTATCTATTCTGAGCGTCGTGACGAAATTTGTAGCTTCCCTGGTCTCTCGTTCGAAATCAGAGCCCAGCCCACCGCGATCAATACCTTCAATCACATCCGCCAGCAGCATCGCTGCAAGATGCTAATGGCCATCCAAAATCACGTACCACGACTGGATACGCGGAGGAAGTAGCTCATGATTTGCAACACAATCCAGCATAAATCCCTCATACTTGGATTTCCAATGGCGATAAACAAAGATAGTCTTCTGAATGACTTCTTCAAGGCGGTCGCAGGGAGCACCTCGATAAACAAGAGTTTGGAGCTGTGTGACACGGCGGTATAGGAGCACTTTGACAGGGGTAGCCTCTGAAAGCACCGAAGCAGCTTCGTCGTAGGAACATGGCCATCTAGGTTGAGCCTGAGTCGATTGCCCAGACTCGACTTGGTGGCGTAGGAAGAAATCACCCCATACATCTTGTTTTTCAGTTATTCCCTTCCGAGGAATGTTCCAACCACCGAACTCAAACTGGGATCCGGGGTCAAACATTGCGGGCGAGGCCGATGATATTTGGCTATCTTCATCTGAAACGACGAGTGGGCGTTGATACATCGCAGCGCTGAGGGTACCAAACATGATGCCTAACCAGAACATCAGACTGAGCGTTGTGCGATACTCCTGATTTGATAGAATCGGGTCCACTCCTTGAGTCTCCGATGGCTGCAATAATCCCAAAGCATCAGTCATTGACGATGACACTGATTGCCTTCGCCTTTCTTGCATTAAAGGGGATGCCTCCCGTTGGAGTCGCGTCAGCTTATGTCGAAACGTATATAACTGGCGGTTTGCGTTTTCAAGGAAGATAGGCGCGCGGTCAGCCTCCAAAAGCCGGCCTAGGGATTGATTCTGTCGATCTTTTAAGGGGCACTGGGTAAGAGAGAAAATGATGTTTGCGAAAATGATACGGAAAGAAGGTATTCCGGTTGTGTGTTCTAGAGCATGTCGTGCCTTGTTCCAAACATATTCACGGATGGATCTTTCGTCTTGATCGATCGCTTCCGGAATCGATGATCCAGTCCCTTTCTGAGCATGCTGAATCCATTGAGAGGCAAACGCCATGATTGCCAAATGAAGGGCTCGAGCCGCAATCCTATCTTCTTCTGCACTTAAAGTGCGACCGCGGACGGATGAGGCTACTCGATCCAGCCGACAGACCCGGATGCACATTCTGTTGGACCAATTTGGCGCCCAGGCTTCCTTCTCTTTGTATGGGATAATGCCTCCAGCAGAGTGCCCATACGGACAGTTGTGTTCTGTTAACCAGCAAGAGAGTGCGTTTTCCATACTATCGTGATATATCCGTACCAAATTTCGGGTCATTGTAGATCGAGCATATTCTTTTGCTGCCTTGTCGGAGGCAATGCAGAAACTCCACGGAGCTTCTTGTCCTGCTATTGAGCCATATCGCTGAATAGATTTTTTTCTCTCGTAGCTATCCTCGCATTCTGTAGCTAAAACCGGATCATCGTTGCCACCCTCAAGTGCGCTGAGGTCATTCTCGAGGAGTGCAAGAGGAGCATCGCCAGCAGATTCCGAATCCACGACACTGAGGCTACTGTTGGAGCCCGGTGTTACGGTGTTCATTGGTCCATTAAATGGGATATTGGACGTCCACGCGAAGAAACTTGACGGTTCATCACTCCATTCGCTCGTCGAGCCTCCTTCCAAGGACATATTTCCTGGCTGATAGGGAGTAGGGGCATACTCTGGCGGAGTATTTGTGAATGTGAATATATCTCCCAAATTTGCAGGATGGGAACTTGTGGAACGCAATATTTCATCTAGCTCCGGACCATGTGACTGGGTAAGAGACTGTATATCTGAGTTATGCGATGAAGTTGAAGCAGGTGGCTGTGTCTTTTTTCGACTCTCCTTTCGACTTTCTTTGGAATTCACACGTTTCGAGGCCAGCCAGTTAAACGTGCAATCCTTATTCCATCGTTTACAATTAGAACATGAACTGAATCCATTCTCGTTCCGAATTTTCTGTGAATGAATGAGGTTAGCATTGCGTAAGCCGGTGCATCGCAGCCTCGTTTCCCTTTGCGACAAGGGTCACAGCTGTGGAGCTGACGCCGCCGAGTAGTCTCCATGACGAAGCAAGCAATGTGTAATCAATGCGATCGGTCTTGCTGGGCGATGAAGAAGGGGGTGTGGAGGGGTGTGGAGACTGATTTGCTTGGGCATTGTTGTCAATCCCAGTGCAAGGGACCGGAGGGGGCATCTTATCTCCGGGGTATCTCGCTACGAGAACACAGAGTTTGCGGGGTTGAAGTGGAGAAACTTGGGCCCCTCAATCCACATGATGTGCTTTCGGGCCAACGGAATCAGACTAGGGATTTGAGGCGTCGATCGCCCCGATATCCCTGGAATTAAGCCAATTGGGAAGAAATAGGGGGAAAAGTAAACCTTATTGAGACGTGTATGATGCGGTTTGGAACATTGGTAATTCATGAATGGCAGCTGTCAGTCGCGACGAATTTCTTCATTCTGGAAATCGGGAGCTGACGAGGAAGTCAGATTGGGCTGTGTAGGCGGGTCCCGATGCCGGAGCTCCACCCAACCCCCCAAGAATCACAATCCTGCTGTGGATGAGCAAGGAAAAAGCAAGCGAGCAGCGTAGTAAGCTGGCCAAGCGTCATCTCCGCTTCCTCATTTTTGCGATGGGGGCCGAAGCGTCAATTTCCCCTGCATCGGACCCTGCCGACTCTATAGCGATAGTGTGGTCACTGGTGACTTATCCTCTAGGAAGGAAGTTATGAGGAGAATGATCAACGTGCACGAAGATATGTATGACATCTGGATGGTGCTAAGCTAATTGCTAAGCTACAGACATCTGGAGGTGAGAAATGAAGGGACGATCTGGGTGCCTGAGGCAGCATCCCCTGCATAATCAACGTACCCGATGCATGAACCAATGTATGATGAATGCACGTTTCAACCTTAATGGATTAATGGACATTAATTTCTATTTGTATCCGAAAGGTAATTGGCGCCAAGGAAAAACGACGACTTTGAATTTATTTCATGGTGTGGAGTAAAACTAAGAATTGATAATTCATGTGGACTGTGGAATGCAAGAAAGTACGTAAACGATGTGTAATAAAATATCAAAGAAAGCCCAAGACTAACACTAACAAAGCAAATTTTTAAGACTTGGAAATATGTACGCGAACAGTCTTAACTTCTGTGTAGTTCTCGAGAGCATATGAGCCCAACTCTCGGCCAACTCCGGATTCCTTGAAGCCTCCAAATGGCATCTGGTAATGGAGAGTGTTGTAGTTGTTGACCCAGACCGTGCTGTTGAGATAAAGTTATTGACTGCGAGGAACATTTGAACTTAACGAGGAATGCTTACCCTGCCTTGATCGCGTTCGACACCCGGATGGCTGTATTGATATTTGTGGTATGAACAGCTGCGGCCAGGCCTGTGTATGTAGTATTAGCAGGGGGATCAGATTCATAGCCTCAGATAGTAATTGAATTACCGTAATTTGTGTTGTTTGCGACACGAATGGCTTCCTCTTCATCACGAACCTTTTGCACTGTGCATACGGGTCCAAAGATTTCTTCCTTGACAATGCTCATATCATCACTGACATCGGCGAAGATGGTCGGTTTAATGTAGTATCCTTCGCTTCCATGTCTATCGCCACCTGTGACAACCTTTGCCCCTGCGCGTTTTCCCTCCTCAATGTATCCCATAATTCTATCATATTGCAGCTGAGACACCTGGGGCCCTTGGAAGGTGTCGGTTCGGAATGGATCTCCAACCTTGTTTTGTTCTGCACGCTTTTTGAAAAGCTCAATAAATTGATCATAAATTGCCTCGTGAACAAGAATGCGAGAACCAGCACAGCAGCACTGTCCATGATTGAAGAAAATACCCAGGTTGACCCATCCTACCGCCTCCTCGAGGTTTGCGTCTGGGAGAACAATATTTGGCGATTTTCCGCCAAGTTCTAAAGTGACCTTCTTCAAGTTACTCTTAGCAGCCACTTGCATAATATGTCGACCAATCGGTGTCGATCCAGTAAAGGCGACTTTGTCGATATCCATATGAGCGGCGATTGCTGCGCCTGCAGTCTTGCCGAAGCCTGAAAGAACATTGACCACACCAGGAGGAAATCCTGCCTCTTTAATAAGGCTAGCAACGTAGAGCGCCGAGAGAGGTGTCTGCTCGGCTGTTTTCAGGACAATTGTATTTCCTGTAGCAAGGGCGGGGCCAATCTTCCACGCGAACATCATAAGAGGAAAGTTCCAAGGGATAATTTGTCCACAGACACCAATAGGCTCATGACGGGTATAGGTAAGACTGTTTGGATCGGTGTCGATAGTCTGCCCAACTATCTTATCGGCCCATCCTCCATAATATCTGATACATCCTGCAGAAGCAGTGACATCACCTTTGGCCATTGTCACACCCTTTCCATTGTCAAGAGATTCAATAGCAGCGACTGTCTCAATATCGCGCTCGAGCAAATCAGCGAGGCGAGTGAGGAGACGGCCACGCTCAGATGGAGTTGTCTGCTTCCAATCACCTTCGAGTGCCTTGCGGGCGGCTTTCACGGCAATATCGACGTCTTTCTCTGTGGCTTCATGGACAGCGACGATAGGCTTCTCATCATGAGGGTTGATTGTTTGAAAAGTCTTTCCATCAACTCCTTTGATAAATTCGCCGTTGATGAAGCTAGTTTTCTCGTTAGGCACCATACCATTCAAAACGGGGTGGAGAGTCTACATACAGTCCGATGGGTTGTTGATATGTGACCACGGGGGTCTTGATGGTTTGGAAAAGAGACATTGTAAATATATGATATTTTTGATGAGACTCAATGAGCTTGTTGTGGGTTGTAAATGAAATATTGGTAATTGCTGATACTGATATTGGAATGGAAGGGCATTTTATAGAGGCTCCGGATGAAACCCCCGTGACGGGATTGTGGGGGACCCTGGGGAAGGTTGGGGAACATATCCCGCAAACCTTTGAACGAAGCTACATCCGCAATTCCCCTGCCTTTACCCCAGGCTGGAGTGGAGTATTTCCATGCGGATGCGGGTGCGGGTGCTGATCAACGTGCTGTGCGGAAGCTTTGTCTATGCGGATTGTCATCCCCTTTGTACCGAATGATTCCATTCGCCCGAGCTACAAATGGCTAAGTTTATAGGTTTTTGGTCTATCGTATTTTGAAACCCCCTTTTCCGCACCATGAGAACATAACCCATTCTATTCGTTGCGTATCACAGGCACTTGAATACACCCATCACTCCTAAATTCGCTACGGGGGAAAATTATCTTGTATGCCACTACATTCAAATAGGCTTCATGTAATATGCAAAATTAAAATATTTCGACGAATGTTGACAATGGGCATATGTACCACTCGGTATCTTTCTTAGGAAACAAATGTTTGAATTGTCGCTTATCGTAAAGCGTTGACATCACAGCCTACCTTCCCGTAGAACTATGTTTTGAACCCCAGAAGCGATCGGCACGTGGTAAGTACGAATTCATGCATCGAAAATTGAGTTCAAGCTTTGATTCCACAAGGTTCTCATCCTAGAATGCAGGAGAATCTGGGAAGTGTGGGGAGAGCTGAACCTAAAAAAAGCCAATCTGAACCATCGCACAGACGGCGAGTGTCAGCGAACTATTGCCATTCATAGCTTTAAGGAACTGAGCTACACGATTCTGTTGTCATGTCTTTGAATATCATCAATTTCACTAAATCATTTGCCATACAAGTAATCTCATTACCTCGCTCACTCCACACCAAAACAAATCAAAACTCCACACAAACATCCACATGTCACAGCAAAGAAATTAGTTACATAACTATTCCGGGAGTTCGAGTACGTAGCGGCCAGCGATTTGACCTTTCTCTGTTATGGGTCAGTAATAGAATCAATGGTTGGAGTGAGGAGAAGAAATACGAACCCATAAGTTCGAAGATCTCAGGTAAATCTTTCAAAGGAGCGACCTTGAAGGGGGCCTTGATTAAGCCTCGTGCAAAGAAGTCGAGGGCCTCCACACCATCTTGGCGGTTACCAACATAGCTTCCCTTGATGCTGATCATACGGACTACAGTCTGGAAGACTGGAGCTTTGAGTGATGCATCGGGGGGTAATCCAATAGCAATAATGGTTCCGCGAGATCGAACATATTCTGTAGCCTGCTGGAATGGCTTCTCGGAAACCGCCAGTAGAATGACAGCATGTGCTCCGAGACCATCGGGAGTTGCAGCCTTCACATCGGCAACCAAATCCTTCGACTTAGTAAAATCAACGAAAGCCTGGTTTAGAATAATTGTCAGTATAGCTATCACTGAGGATCATAGTTTGATGTATCATACCTCAGTGCCAAGTTTCTCGCACATCACTCTCTTCTCATCGCCTCCATCAATACCAACCACTCGGAGTCCCATGGCTTTTGCGTACTGCTGAGCGAGAGAACCAAGACCACCACCAGCTCCAACAATGGCCACAGTCTGGCCAGGGCGGACACCGGACTCTTTTAATCCCTTGTATACAGTGATACCAGCGCACAGTACTGGAGCTACTGCATCCAGTGGGACATTCTTAGGGATCTTAGAAGCGTGGGTGGCCTTGCCAACGGCGTATTGCTGGAATGTGCCATCCACAGTATATCCAGAAAGGGCCGCATTAGCACAGAGAGGATCATCGGATTGTCTGCAGAATTCACACTCTCCGCAGGATCCATTGAGCCACTTCAAACCGGCATGATCACCGATCTCGAAATCTTGAACCAGTTCACCCTTAGCAACGACCACTCCAGCACCTTCGTGTCCACCCACCAAGGGCATCTTGACTGGAAGAGGCCAGTGTCCCTTCATCGCATGAAGATCGGTGTGACAGACACCAGTATAGCGAATCTTCACCAGAATCTGATCGGGTCCAGGCTTGGGAACTGGAATCTGCTTTAAGACAAGCGGGCCGCCAACTTGCTCGGCGACCTGGGCCCATTGTGTTTCAGGAATCGACATTTTGATGATAAAATCTGGAATTGATTGAATGATTCGTATCGAGTTTCTTGGATTGATTGATGAGAGATGACATTTGAAACTGGTCAGATGCTCTCTTTAAATCTTATCACGGGGAGGACATATCTGGGGTAAGGCGGGGCCCCTCTTCCCCTCTTCTCCGCGAACGTCAAAGTGCTCCAAGTCCGTTGTTGCATCCTTTGGTCTGTAGACAAATTAATCGGTGGACCGGAGTGTGTCCGAGACAATCAGTGAGGCAAGATCTAGCCCGATGCGTGATCCCGGTACAGCTCTCATTTGCCAGTGCGGAAGCCGAGCGGGGTCTCCCGATTATGCACGGTCCTCCCGTGCGGCTCCGCATGGATGACCCGCCCATGCCGATCGTAAATGGGCAAATCCCGGGATTCGCCTCGCAGCTTCAAATGATTTTCATCATCTCGTAGGAACGGAGGTTACCGAAGTTACTACTGAGAAGGACGATATTTGGTACTGGGATCAACAACATCCTTTTACCCTAGCATCTTCACTCTCAAATCTGAAAAAAAATGCTTCTAATGGCGTCGTCGGGAAACGCTGGGATGTGGATCCTAGAGCGTCGTATTCAGTAAGTTAGGCTGATAGGAATGGGTAATATGATTGATTATGAAGGCGAATTAGATCCAAAAACCATATACCTATGCATACTAGTAATAGGAAAAATGTTGTATTAGAGCTAAATTAAAGCGACGAGTGAGAGACTTCCTAATGGATAGAAAGAAGAAAGGTGCATGATGTGATAATGAGGATAACAACAGCTCAGCTAGACATAGACAAGAAATCAAGGCAAGGAGAAAAAGGGGAAGAAACGTAGATTGCCAAAAATATATAGAGGACTGTTATGAGCCGATTCCGAGAGTTTGTCCACTATAACCACCCAGAACTGAAGTAAATACAATGCACAAAGAAATGATCAATTGGTAATGGAGCGAAATGTTTGAATGATGAGAGAATATATAGATCCAAAAAAAAATAAAAAAAAATAAAATAGTATTATCTACTAGTAGTGTCCTATTAATGTGTATTACTATGCCGTCACGAAAGAAGTACACTTGTATTCGGCTGAGGATCTAGCATTGCCCGTAGATTCCCCATTCGTGCCGATAACATGTACCAAATACTATATTTGCCGACTCCTGATACTGCTCCCCCTTTTCAAAACCAAGATGCTCATAAGGGAAAAACGTTTCCGACCAACCGCTGCTAATCGTAAAGCCCGGAATACTTTCAGACTCACAATACTCAAGTACCGCGAGTTCCGCCTGCTCATAGCTCTTGAAAGCAAAATTTTGCGGTGTCATAATTTGAATATCTAGAGAAGACTCTGAATCTGTTGTATCGTCTTCCGACCCGTGGGGGCTCTTGTGCGATGACTGATTCTGTGAACTTGATGATATTTGGTATTTCGGAAGCTCTGAGGGCGGTGCTTTAACCTCCAGTACACGTGGATCGATGAAATTTGAGTGTTCGGATGATGATGATGATGATTCTGAAGTAGACTTGTTTGTTTCAGTGTCTTGGGCACGTGTTTTGGACGCCAGTTTATCCCCTGTGACGATCGAAGATCTTGAAGCTCGAGGTTTCTTTTTCCGTAAATTGATCACCGTCTTGTATTTGGCTAAATCTGGGGAGTTGATCATTGATTCCGAAAGATATTTTGGAGGTTTCCGATATCCATTCACACAGTCATGCGGTATCCCACGCTTAACGCAGGGTGGACATGGGCGCTCATCGCCTATGAATATTTGTCAATAAATGTGGATCCGGGGTGGAGTAGAGAAAATATAAAGAAATTGAATAATCATACCGCAAGTCTTATGTGATCGCTGACAATTCAGACAAGATCTCCAGGCCTTCTTGCGACTTTGTAATGTCTGCAATGACTCCATCTCCATGACTGACACTATTTGCGTGTGCTTCGCTATGATATGGTGTTTCGGTGTTGGCTGAATAATGTTTTGAAATAAATCAAGCTTGCGCTTTCTGCGGTAAGAGCTTCAGGTAACTTTCTTAAACCCCCGAATATATGTCCATTCTAAGTTTCAAACAGTCGAAGATCGACATACCCCATGCGAACTACGATCTCGAGTTTGATCCTTGAGAACGGCTCCGCAAGGTTCGACGATCTTGATTTCCTCAAAAGCTTCAATGTAAGTGGCTTTAGACCTGTTCATACCCCAGACTAAAAAGTGCTGTCAAAGCGCCTCCACATTATTTGCGGGGAAATGAGCTACTCAACAGGATCGCATCTTGAGATGTGCGGTTCCGCATGAATGTCGGATCCGCATTTCCCGAACGCCGTGGGTCTCGGAATGCCGCAGTGAGCCGTGAAAGGATCTAGCAAAAGACAAATACAGCATGGGTCGTGTCGATCGAATCAACCTGGTCAGATTGGGACCTCTGAGAATCGAGTCCCTGGTTCACGCGCCGCATCTTTAGAGTTTCCCCAGTCTTTGAGAGTCTCGACCCCACACGATTTTCTTCCTATTCTCCATACCCCAGTTCTTGATTCCATTTCACCGCATTCAGGGGTCTGGATCATGCATAAATATGAGTTGTCCCCTTCCTTTATCCCGCGTCCAATCACCACGCGACAAGGTCTTGATCGAGAGATCTTGGAAGTATTAAAGAATACCAGTTGCTTGTCAGGTTCAACTTGCTGAACTTTTTCCTCTGCAGTTTTGATATTTTCTTCTCCTTCTGTTCGAATATCGACGAGGGAAAGCTTCAAAAGTCTATTTATTTCACATTTGCTTCATCGAACCTTTCAGCTGAACTTTCAACTCCGACAGAATGGACAGCGACAATTCTCAAAATGGGGAGAAGAATATCTCTTTCCAAAACAAAGAGAACTCCATGCAACCACTCTCTACTATCCCAACGTCGGTGACTCTGTCAGCAGAGCAGTTTGAGAGACTATATTTGACTCCCATGACGCGTCGTCAAGCACCGCTAACAAAGCAACTCGGTAACCCGACACCTCTGTAAGTGTACAGACTATTCCAATTTAGAGGAAATCTACAGACACAAGTATCTAACATATTTGGTTACAAATTAGAGCACTCGGAGGTTTTGTTATCACCACCACGCCTCTTTCATGCTGCTTGATGGCCTGGAGAGGAGCAAGTGGAAATGGTATTGCCTTCATGTATGACCTTACCTTTCCTGTGACCCTTTTCTTCTTTTGAGCTAATTCGAGATATGAAGTGGTCCGATCATCTTTCTTGGTGGTCTGTTACTTCTCATCACCAGTATTCTTGAGTTTATTCTTGGAAACACATTCCCATGTGTCGTGTTTGGTACTATTGGTGAGCTTCCTTCCTAAAGAAAATTTGACAGGCGTGGCTGAAGCTCATCTTACTGATTCAACTTATTAGGGGGCTTTTGGTTCGCTTTTGCCGCTACTATGATTCCATCATTCAATGCTGCTGGTTAGTTCTAGTCTTTTTTCATCATATGTAGGATACCTTTTTCATCGATCAATAGCACCCTATTCTGCATCTGCCACTGATACGGCCGCCGGACTTGCGAGTGCTGGATTCATGAATACATACGGTAAATAAAAGACTCCTCCCCATTTTTTATGTGGTTGCTGACGCGGAGTGTCAGCATTTTTATTCATAACAATGGCTGTTTTGATGTTGATTTTCATGATATGCGCGACTCGGACAAATGTCGTCTACACCCTTATTTTCCTCTCGCTCCTTTTGGTTTTTCTTCTGCTTTCGGGCGCATACTGGGACCTTGGGGAAGGAAACGCAGTGGTTGGGGAACGATGTGTAAAGGTATATTGTCCTCAAATCCAAATCAAACCTGCAATGTTTTGCAGTAGGCCAAAAAAGAACAAGAAAGAAAAAAAACTAATTCTTCGTCCTCAGGGGGCTGGAGCTGCACTGTTTGTGGCTAGTTTGCTAGGCTTCTACCTACTCATCGTTCAACTCTTTGAATCCTTGGATTTTCCATTCCATCTTCCAGTTGGTGATCTTGCAGTTATGTGGAACCGAAAGCAATATAAGTAGGTAGCTCCGATGTATCTACTTGTTCTATGTGCTAATCAACATTTGAACGAAGGAATACGCAAATTGACGTTGAAGGATCTGCCGCTATTGGAGGCGAGTGAGGTATACTGGTTTCCCTCAAAACCAGCTACACATTGATATCTGCATAGGATTGGTATGCGAAAGGACGCAAGTGGCGCTTTGAAAAAGATTGCTGGAGGAATCGCAGTTGTTAATCTATGTTTCGCTTTGGGCTTGGATATACTCATCCAAACATTTGAACTACATTCAATGAGGAATAGCTTTTATATACCTGCCTCAACTATCTATAATATCCATGACATAGTATTTATTGAATGTTTTCGTACTATCATTTTTTCTTGCTTCAAAGAAGGAGACTAATCAACCCCATATTTCACAGTATTCCACATTTGTAAATTCCACTTTGACATATTATCTTCTTATATTTGGCGGAAATCCCATGGGACAAAGTGATTTCAAAATGTTCCTGAATAGAATTAAGTGATCATTTGCAACTGTTCGCTCTATGTAAAGGTCGATGGCATCAGTCTTTGACGAAATGAAATATTTTGATTAAAAAAATCAAGATACCTGTAATATGAGAATGCCAGTCTTTGATGTTTTATATTTATACAACGTAAATGCACGTAGTTTCTCTCGTTCTCTCGCGAAACCATTTCTAGCCTTGCTTTCAACGCGGCTATTGCTGGTGTCGCTACGTATACCGCTGCCGATTCGGATTCGGATACCGCTGCTACCATTCCTATTCTGATGTACCTAGTCTTCGCCATACCGGTTCTATTTCGTTAATAAATACATATAGTGCCATTGGTTTGCATATATGTATCCATACATATATTCCTCTTTTTTACTTTTGTCTATCACACATGACCACAGGGTGTGAAGAACAGGGCTTCCCGTCCTCTCAGCGGTACTTAAGCCTGTACTTCGGCGTACTCCGGCGCTCGATAGCCGTAGGTGGTGCGACGCAGTTTCCAATGGGGTTTGGAGCAGTTTTGGCCGCCAAAAAAAGGGACCGCCTACCACACCCGTGTCCCAAAATTACCAGCGTTCCGCATACCAATGAGTGAAATCCGCTATAACCACGACATGTGCAGAATTATGGAGTTAATGCGGAGTACACGTAATTTCATTCATGCAGCAAAGAATACGTGGAATGAAGCAAGGTAAAAGGTAAGGCGGTGAATACTCTGTATTATCCAACATTCTAACCCAGAGCTCAATGTTCGTATCGAGATCTGAATCAATGGCTTACTTTCCGACTAATAATTCTGTGAAGGACTAGCTCCTCGGTCGCCCGCGGCACCCGCTGCCAATATTTCACTTGCAGCTTCGCTATTGCTGCCTCAAGACGGCGAAACCATGTTTCAGCTTTCTGAGAGAGAAACAATGATTCAAACGCCAGTTCTTGACCAAGAAGGTGACTTGACCGATGAAACAGCCTCAATGATTGGACAAAGCACCTGTGGGTGGAAAACCGTAAACCAAGTCACTCATACATGAAGCTGATACTGTTTCCCGCGCAAAGAGTTTGGAGATCGAGCCCGGCCAAAATCTTGGTTGTATTTTCTGGATTTTGGTTTCCAGGAGAGGTGCCTATAGTGCAAAAGCCATGTTGACAAATTGTCCTCTTCGAAAGGTGACCACATTATGTATTCAATTTTGATCATTTTGAGCGCTCCAGATCAATTTAAAGCTGACGGAAAATTTGGGAAGAGGGATCACATCGTGAGGCAATGCTAATATGGAGGGGCATCAGAGAATATATAATAAGGCTCGAACATTTCCACTTCAAATATCGGCTCGAGAGTTACCCAGTGTAAAAATCCAGACTAACAATTACAACTGATCAAAACCAAGCTGACCTACGAATTCCACGCTTCTGCAGCAACAAATTATGCTGAATCTGACTGTGCAAAATTTATCCCTGAAGATGGTAAGACATAATGAAAGGACCGTTGCATAACTAATAGGCAGCTTTGACAGGCGACAGCCTTTAGATTCCTGGGTGTTTAGCCCCATTCAAATGATATTGTAACGGTGACACTGTGTACTGTCGGTGGCAGGGATATATTTGCACATGACCAAGTTTTTCGGGCGGTTTAAAATTGTGCACGTTCAATTGCCAGAGTAATTATTGAAGTGTACAACTTGCAATCACATGGTCTTATTAGAAGTGTTAAACATCGAGCTCATACCTCAACTGGCAGTCATAATAGTTGCCAACGGTTTAAGAACGTGAATTTTCCTCTCTAGTACTCAAAGCAAAGCCCTTTCATTGTTCACCCTCTATGTATGCCCAAAGCAGCAACTACCACTAGGAACCTCATGGTGCCGCCTCAACGAGCGGCTCGCCGATCAGCCGGGATGGGAAGAACCCTTACATAGCCCACAGGGTCTCTAGAATCAACAGAGCGACGCATATCCCAACTTCCAGAAGAATCGGTATGTATATGGCACAGCTCCTAATTGGATCTTCATTCACCATTTATTCAACAGGCAGGAATTTCCCGAATTGCACCAAATGCAGCGCCAGACAGCAACGATAAGCATTTCGACATTATTCACGCCCACTGCAGAGTCTCACTCGAGAATGCTGAGAAGACCAACCGACAGCTGACGAGACGCTTCAATCAGACGCGTCGCCAGGCCACTGCCAATGTCCAGCGCCTCACCAAGGAAAAGACCGAGCTGGCTACGAAAGTCCGGCAGGGTCAATCAGATATGAAGACAAAGTCTAGCGAGATACAGCGGTTGAACGAGGAGGTGCTTAGGCTGGAGAACCTCCTTGATACAGCCAATCTGAATGCCCAGAATGTGGTGTCCCGAACCGACCTGCAACAGACATTTCTGGATATCCAGGATGCCGCCAAGTCGTTCATAGACCATCTCAAGACCAAAATGAACGAAAACGAGAACGCGCAGCATTTGAATGAACTGCCAGGGCTCGACATGACCGATCATCCCTGGATAGACACCGCTGAGTTTGAAGACATGCTGAATGACCCTTCTCTTGCGGAAACTCCAAACAACGCATTCCCCGCAGACTCTCTTTGACATCTTAATTGATTACGGGAATCACTCGAATCCAACCGTGATGAGCTTTTCGCTTACTCCGGTCGGCTTAAAACCGGAATTTACCATAGTGACCGAAGTAGATAGCGTCCATAGGAATATGGAAAATAGACATCCCATGGAAAATCAATACAGTCATTCAACCTCCTTTTCCATCTGTGTGCTTCGACTTACACAAGTGCATTCATCTATACTCAGCGTCTCTTTCATACGAGACCGTTGAACGGTTTGAAAGATGGCGATACATGACTATCAATGTATTTCGCACGTGGTGAGTCAGATCCACGCGGAATGCCAGCGTCTTGGTGATACTCTTCAGACTTCTCCCAAGATAAATGGTGACGTTCAGATACAGCCTAGGAGATCCTGTTCTTAAATCCCGACCACGGCATGCTCTTGTCTTTGGGTATAATGAGATATGAAAACATAATGTGAGATATTTGTCAGTTTCATCAATAACCTATTACGTAGGTTGCGTGCACAATTGACTTGATACTTTTCACACATGGTAAACGTGTATTCAAAAACCAGTACTTAATTGTGATATCCCGAGCAAATCGTTGGCGAGGCGATAATTTCCTAATTCTCTTGGCCGATGCTATGGTCTATCTCAAGCCCGTGCATGGTGATCCCTGCCAGGACTGCGGAGCCAGTTGTTGCCCACATGTTATTGGCCATGCCCAGTAGCCAATACGACCTAAACTATATATCCGCGCACGTATGGGGTCCGTTATTGATCTCTATGTTATCATTTCCAACAAAAAGCGCTGTTGGTGTGATCTCCAATGCTATTGGCCTCAAGGATTTCTGGGCTCTGTATATCTCCAGTTGCCCCGGACAAGCCCCTCTTTCTTCCAGCAGGGGTCTCTCTGTGTTTGATTGGATCACATCAGATCGGGAGAAACCCCTCTTTTCCTTCTTCTCCCCCGTATCTCAATCGAACGAGTCTTTTAATGTGATTGGGACGGAATGTCGGAAAGTGGGGTAGATTTATCGAATGACCACAATTGAGTCTCATTTCGTTTGCCACGCCTCCCAAATTGGACTTGCGGACCGTAAGCCTAGACCCGAGCCGTTAGGTACACCTAAAAGTGTGCAAGCACATACAAGCCCTCAGTGGTGGATTATCGGCTTTGGGGTAATCCGCCTCATAACCCCGAGGCGATCTGCGGAACACATGGGCTTAACTCATCGCAAGTACCATGGATTTCTCAGCGCCACTTTTTCCTTTCATCCTCCACAAATGGTTCCGGGTCCTTGCCCCACAGCGTTTCCCCTATCTCAGAATGCTGAACAATAGTTTGAGCTGAGAGATCAATGTAATGCATTATATGACATAAAGCTGTACTCGTATAAATCCAACAGAGGGCAGTGTCGCGCGGAATGCCAACGGCTCTTGTGCTTTGACCCCTTCCGGAGTAGTATAGCGCTAGTCACATGGTCAAAATGACCAGGGTGTAGGGGAGAAATGAGGGGAACTCAATTGGTACCAATTGATAATTGGACGGGGCGAATGATTTGCTTGATTTCTCTACGTTTTGGCAATTTTGACGGCGCGAGGCTCAGTTTGATCTGTCGTTCGTTGCGATATTTACTACAGTATCATGTCCCTTGCTACACTATCAACTTACGCCAGTTGCCTTTCACCGGCTCGAAGAAAAAAGGGCATTGTCATTTAAATTGCCATTGGCTGGGGGTAATCCAGGGGTAGTCCATGCCTTCCGTGCAGATCTTAGCCAAATTGGATAAGCCGGCCTTGCTGCGACACCACAAAGATTCCCTGAAGGCGTTTAAAAAAGAAGTGGTCTACCTTGGCCGCTGTGGGGGCCCCGCTCAGACCGCTTGTAGAGTTGGACATGAATTGCAAAAAAAAAAAGAGAAAGAGAAGAGAAAGAAACCGTCGAGTAAAACTCATCCTATAGTATGTCAAACATAACCGGCGCTAAAACAGAGTTTCTGAACTCAAGCCCGGCCTTTGTCAATGTAACCATAAGGCCAGGCGAGCATTACGTACCGGTTTTGATTTTACCCATCACAGCGTTGGCTTGACGAAGAAGTTGAGATAGCTGCCAATTTTAGTCACTTTTTGGCTTATTTCCATGGATTGAACTGAGCGCTGACTGATCGGGAAATCGTTGCATTGGTTCCTCCAGGTGTTCATCATGTGGCTCTGCTGCATACTGCTCTGGTGGTAAGGGTTGCCAGGCCAAGCTATGAAATAGCTACAACGAGACAGAAAATGTACATAACCGGACTGGAATGGAAATGATCCGTTGCATGGACGTTCAACACAAGGAAAGGAATAGCCATGCATTGGGCAGCGATCCCAGACTGTTTGTGACCAACGTTTAAATATTGAGGTCACCTCATCACATGTGTGGAATTGGTCAGATCGGAACATCGAGTTGATTGGTGTGCCAGGGGTGCAGGGTATAAAACAGCCTGTTCCCGCTGATGATCTCTGGTTTCTTCCTTCAGCTACGATGGTTTCCGCCTCCTAGCGAGCCCACTGCTCGGTTGCCCTAGAAGGTCTCCCATATGGTTTGAGGCCTCGGGCAACCTCCAAATCCTGCAGGGCAGGTCGGATTGAGTTCCACACGCGGGCAGAAATGCTCTGTGCAAACCCTGGATCAAGTACCAGGTCGGCGCTGTGATACAAGCCTATGGTTCCTTTCGCGCCCGCCCTCCAGCAAAAACAGGTACCTCTTCGCGGTGCTGGAGACTAGTACTCAGTTATGGCTGAGGAAGCCAAGACCTGTCTCAAATTTTAAACAATATCCTTCCTTCCTTTCTAATGATGGAATTGATGTATCGCATGCAACTGTATGTTCTATGTAAACTGTAACGTAGTCAGCCTGTTCCCATTCAAATGTAGTAGAACATTCTTTCTGGCATGGATTATGGAGAAGGAGGCGGCGTATGGCATGTTTTAAACGCTGTGCGGCCAGTTTTGATCAGCCTAAGCTTTCATGAATTAGTGGATTGTGTAATAATGATCTCCCTTGGGTTCAACTTCTGAAAGAGACTTTACACTATGAATAGAATCCTCCGTGTTTACACATGATTTTCTATACGAACTGTTCAAAGGTATATGGTGGATCTTAAATTTCTGATTCGTTTAAACTGAAACTTCAGTCGGTCTGTGCAACATTTCACCGGGCCAATCAAACGAGCCAAATCAAGCAGGCACTTTCAAAGGCCGACTGGGTCAAGTTCCCGTGTAAACTTCGTGGAAAATTTGTGTAAATGTGTTCTCCGTTGGAGAAGTAAGCCGTACTTGCACGTTCAAAGACCGATTCAACTTCGTGTAAAAGTCGTGTAAAAGTCGTGCAAAGGTCGTGCAAAGTAGTTCTTGACCGGACAAGTGTAAAAAGTTAAACTAGCTTCTTGGCCTCCTGGATACCCGGTGGCCTTTGTCATTATTCTACACATTCTCCAAATACACTTGTCTTCCGCGTGGTTTTCTCCGTGCAGACTAAGTCAATCTCGCTCGCTTGCTCGGCCCAAGTGCCCGCCAGCTGTCCAAAGCAAGGCAGCCTAATGAAGAGATAGAATGGGTCGGAAACCATATTAGGGCGATTTTTGAACGAGAGAGGATTGGTACACGTACAGTAGAAGTCCTGATATCACTCAATGTCCGAAGTCGGTCGCGTGTTCCACACTCTGTACACGGCTATGCGCGATCGCCCCCTGCGGAACGCTGCATACGACGAGGATTGATCTCACTCCCAATGATCAGACCGAGTGCATGGAATTCTTATTGGTGGCAAAATAACATACCAAATATATTACGCGTAACGCGAAGAGTAAATCCACAATAGCCATCACCCGACAAACCTTGGACTAAAATTTAGAGTACGTAAACAATCACCCTATATACAACAGCAGCATAGCTCAATCCCGCATGCCACCGTCGCTCCGACGGAGAAAGCTACCGCCAACCAGGAAACTGTGAAGGAATGCTCTCCAAGGCTTGCCACAATCCCAAAGTCCCGTAGTACCACTTTGATCGCGCTCGTCATAAGACCATAAATTACAGTGGTGCTGATTGCTCCACCGATAACAAAAGCTGTGGCCGACTATACGCCAGTCAATATAACTTCTTCAACCTACCGGATTTTGAACCTACCACGTGAGATATAATGAGAAGCATTGCTCCCCATGAGGTCCCTAAATTTATTATCCCCAAGATGACGGTCGCAAATGTGAATATAAGACCAAGAATATTGGCTGAAATCGTCCACTTTGCCAATGACGAATACCCTACCTTCTGAAGTGCCGGGATTGACTTTGCTGACTTGGCAACAGCCAGGAATTGGCTTGCAGCACACGTGATCGGCCAATGTGCGATGCGAGCTTCTTCGCTCTCCTGATCTTTGTGCATGAGCAGCAAGGCTAGTGATGGAATCATTGACAGGTACACCTGCTCAGCCTGATCTGGCGTGCAGTCTACACAGAGCTCTAAGCGTGCTGGAGAATGTCAGTCTATATCACTACCAAGGGCGGTTAACGCACCGATCTTGACAGCCCCGTCCAGTCCAAGTAGAAAGTCCCCGCAACCAAGCGATTGATGAGTGAGTCCAAATGAGCGCAAATGTTGCATCCCACTGATGACCTACAGGACATGGGTCAGTATACGCCCCGTAAAGAATGTTGCCTGACATACCTGAGATAAAATAGCGCTCAGCTCCTGTTCATTCAGACGAACCCGGGGACTTTCTGAAATAATTCCTAGAGTGAAGGGCAGGTCATCAAGCAGGAAGAACCCAGAATCCCCGTAGAGATAGCATTCATGGAGTCTCAGTACATTGGCATGCTCTAGGTGACCGAATCGGTCGATCAAACGGCGAGCGTCCTGCCTCTGATACTTTCGAATGGCCACAATGCGGGATCGGTGTGTGCGCCGGCTAGCAAAGATGACTTCGCCGGCAAGATCCGCGTGAAAAGTTTCTTGATAGGTGTCCCATGGACGTTCGTGCCGCACAAGAAATGCGGAGTTGAGATCAGTGATGGCTAGGAGACGGGGAAGGCAAAGAGTCTTCGGTGCGCCTGTAACGACTTTTGATGTACGAGTAAAATCGCTTGGCGAGTGAGATTTTTGTGCGCGGCCGGGACGCACTGCCTTTGACAAGACTGGCACACTTCCAAGTTCTTTCGCTTGAATTGCACGAAAGTTGAAAGCGAGATGCTTATCAAAAGTATCCATGTTTGAACACCGACCAATCGAACGCTTCGCAGTCAACATTTGCCGGGGGAAAAGGGTATATAAGGGTGAACAACATTGTCACAAGGAATGATACCACCCGTTCTGTCATAGTTCATTGATGAATGTCCCTAGCACGCTATGCCTGTCGTATTTTCTACGTTCTATAAACATGAGGCGAAAAGAATGTGGTGCCTTGTCGTGAGGATGCTCCGAGCGTCAAGGAACATCTTTGAGGTAGCTATACAGTATGATTATGAGCCTCTGACAAAACTTTGACTTTAATATTTCTTGACAAGGTCAGAAATCAACTTCTGTCCTCAGATGAAAAGAGCGGCAAGTTTCAAGCTTGTGGCAAGAGACCTTTGACGCCGCGTAGCTGAATATCCTCTGCAGCTCTTGTTCGATTCGGTTTCTGCGTCTTGATTCCTCGATTTTTAGAATGACTTGCTTGGAGAGATGAGTATAACTGTTTTCAGGAAAGTAAGATAGCATACACAGGAAAGGTCTCATTTTGAAGAGAAGAAAGAACAGCTCCTCGGCGCACATCATCACCCTTCGAGTTTCGAGAAAAACGTGGCTAAGACAAGCTTATGCCTTCCAAGAACCCTCTCGTCATGTCTGACCAATAGGCTTCTTTTCACTGACGTGGCTGCGCACTCTGCCGGGTAGAGCGACGACGACCACCCGTCGCTTCCCTTCCTGCCCTTCCCGTGTCCCTGACGTTTTGAAATACCGTTTCCACAGCTGCCAATCGCCTGCTGAAATCCTCCAAGAAATGATTTGTCGATTCATTCCATATATTTTGCTCATGCAGAGCACTTTCGAGGCCACTAAGAAGTTGTCAGCAGTGTTTGGGACGGTCCAGCTTCCTCACTTACTTCATCCGATTATCTAGACTTCAGTCCGGTTAGCTATTGGTCTCAAGAAAGGAAGACGGGGACATACTCAGCTAGACACTGGATGGCAATGATACTGTCTGTTGCATCAATCGCCTCGGCATTCTGAGGTAAAGGGAAGGCTCTTGCCAACCCTTTGGTGGGGGCGGAATGTTCATTGCCCGGGGATTGCTCTCCCTCATCACTTCCGAGGTGGGACTCGCGCTCATCTTCCTGACCTTGGAAGGAAGGATCATCTACTGTGGTGTCACCACTCAAAGCACTTCCAGAGCCATCGGAATCACAAGATGACAGCGAGAGAGCACGCTGCAATCTCTGGTGGAGACGCTTTCGCCGATCGGCAGTCGAATCGTTAGAATACGCATTCATTTTTGTAGGCAGTCAAGAAATAAACTCTCCTCACTAATGAGAAAATACAGCCGGTAAATGATTGCTCTTTATACCAAAGAAATGGCAACCGCATTTTGTTAAGTAAGTCACGGCATTGCCCGCAAACCGCATGCGCGTAATACCTTTGACGGATTCCATGGGACCGTGTTTGCTCCTGCAATGGGCCGCCAGGAGATGAACCAAGCTCAACATCCAGAAGGTATGGCTCTTAGATGGTTTCCATTTATTTGATGGTGGTGAGTCAACGTGATTGTTAAGTGCCCACATGTGCACTCAACAGCGGCGAACTGTGGAGCCATTGCAAACCACTTTAGGAACCGACATGAAGAATAGACGCGCCCATAATTGAGTCAATATCATTTTTCAACCGACTCATCATCTGATTTGTTTGGGGAGTTAATGAGTAAGTAGCGCGTTGCAGAGTTTGACAAAGTATCAATGCTGTGCCATCCCGAGTAATCAACAGGCTGTCTATGTATTGGTCTGTCGTGAATCCACAATATTCCTCATAAGCCTTCAGAAACCTAAAAAAATAGGCCACAAAAATATTATCATTGATTTACGCTGAGTGGTGAAGGCCGGCGACAGCCGCCGCACATATTTCAAGTACCAAAAGTCACGGCAAGAAAGTTGATGCCCTTTTTTAGATAGGGTGGGATAAAATAGTCGTCAACTTAACGTCAACTCTTTGGTATACCCAAGAGTCCATTCAGGCACAGGCTTCTGAGTCGCTCTGGGAGCCCCACTTTCCCAATTTCTCAGACCATTAAAGAATGTGAGGTTGAGCTGATTTCTGAACCAAAATACGGACCAATCAAAGTCTACCTATCTCGCCCTTTGGCAGCAGTCTAGTGTCCGGTGAGTTTCAAAATTGATTTTCAGTATTTGAATCATCGATTTCGTGGCTTGGCAGGCTCCAGGGCGTATGTTAAATATCCATCTCTTTCACCGCTGTAGTGATTGGCGACCCATCTTCCTACCCCAAATTCCCTTCTCTCACCGGGCATTTATCATTCTCATTGCTCCCTTCACCATGGCGAGAGGAAATAGCTGCAAGCAGGATCGAACCGGTCATCACTCGTTGCGAGCAAGACCGTTAATTAATAAAGCTCGATCAGTTTCAAATGTTTCAATCCGGTCGGCTTCTCCAGTTTCGACCGTTTGGGGCGCAAAGTCTGGCATTTTAAAACGGCATCACAGTGTGAGTCGCTTTTCTCGGACCCTGCGAGACTTGATTGATTCAATCTTGGGGCGCTCTATCAACCTTTGGCCTTCTATTGACATCACATAGGGTTCTTCCACGAAAGGCTCCCACAAACATGGCAAAATCGATCGTCAGAAATGCTCTGATCTCCTTTCTGAGGTTCAGACTGAGATAGAAAGAGAAGCGGATGAGCAGCTGGCTAGGGCCACGGCACGTTTTCAAGCAGAAAAGGCGCAAGATGCGGAGAGACTGCAGCAGATGATCACCGAAAAGGACAATCTTTTAGCCAAGAATTTACAGGCCGAGGGTGAGGTTTCTCGCCTGAAGCAAGAGCTGGAGGCACAGGCCCAGGCCACACAAGACCAAGTGAGCTGGAGCGAGATACAGCCAGCCTTGTACCAGGCTCATAGTCAGTTGACAGCCGCCGCTACTGGGCTTTGGAACTCGATTGAAGCCATCCAGAATCGCCAGCTAGCAACATTCCTGCCTGGGTCAGGTACCATGGATTTCAACTGGCCCAGTCTAAGCGGAGCGTCCAATCTTACGGGATTCGATAATTTGCCCTCGCTTTACAATTCACAATTCAGTCAACAGGACCAGCAGGCTATCAACCAAGCCGGTCCCCCAAATTGACGGCAATTGGTTTTCAAGTTGGTATGCCTTCTGATGGTGCGGTGGATTGAAGTGAGATAGTGATGATAGAACATGTTTTTCAAGCCTCACCAGAAGCATGAGCACCATTGGTACATTCATTGTTGCCTGAGAACTATGGTCAATACACCTTTCTATTACATCGTCACAATCCAGTATTTTGGCAATCCTCAATCAATGGTACGCCAAGCAGTAGCTTTCTCGAAATGAGGGAATCTCCATTCACTGCATACATGTATATATTTGACCTGAATCTACTTGTTGAATCCAACAGCAGTTTTAAATACTGACAAGGCAGTAGAGAGGAAATATAGAAGAACTGGAGCTTGCCTCTAGCCAGGGTCAAGTTTTGGTCTAGATGCAGAAGCACCGAATACCATTTGTCACGTAGGTCGATTTCGTTCAATGAATTTGATTTTTGCAACCATGGTGATTTCGGTATATTACTGGAAGCGCGCTGTTAGGTCGAAATGCAGTTCAATGGTGGGCATTCAAGGACACTCAGCATGAAGCTTTGGGTGTCGCAGATTTCTTCCTCAAATATGACGTCTATATGGCTTCCATGTCATAGAAATAAATGTCTAGTTCTTGAGACCTAAGAGCTTATGGTGTATCATGGGAGGGAATAAGTTGTATGTTCATGCAAGTTTTCGTAAAGAATTTATATGTCTATCAATATGTGCCATTGATCTTCCGTACGGTACCGTCACACACTCCAAGCCCCCAATCTCCGGACTCCAAACACAATCACAGACCCACCATCATTCCCTCCTGTCACCAAGCTGAATATAGTCTGCTGGCATCAGTGGGGGATCTGTGATATGGATCAGTTTGGTAAAAATTCAAATCAAAGAGACACCTTACCAGGGAATGGTCTTTTCGATTTTGCAGAGTCATTGCGGTTTGATTGATGCATGGGTAGATTATTAAGCCGTCGTTTGCTTCGACGCCTCAGTGGTTTACCCTTACATTTGCAGTCTGCACACTTCGGTACTTTGGATCCACGCGCAATGGATGAGCTACTAGCGTCGCGGCGTTTTCGAAGGATGTGATGCTTTTTCCCTCGTAGAGACTCAACACTTCGTCTTACACGATACTGCTGCCAATAGGCAATTGACAAGGCCTTCCAGGTCAAGTTTCGATTAGATTCGAGCCAGGGAAGGAGGTTTTCCTCCTCCCAGGCTGACCAGCCGACTGCATTATGGGGCGTCATCATGCATTTGAGGAGTAGCGTTTATGACCGTTTGGCGGTAAGCAAGTGATTGAATGGCATGAAAATGCTCTCACCCAGGGGTTTTCTCATGGGTGAGCAGGTGCGGCTTTATGGAGAATCGCCATTGACAAGCATTTCATTCTTTGGTCGCTCAAAAAGTACTCCTGGTGGGCGCGATGTTGCATCTCCCAAATTTCTAACAACGGGCTGGCAAGGTCCATGGTTGACCTCTTGCAGCCTCTTGGCAGAGCTGAACAGAATCGGACGCGACCTGTTGAACTAACGAAGTGGCAATCACTCAATAGCGCCCTAAAGCGGGATCAACATTCGGTCTACGCAATAAAGGTTGGCAAGAGCCTACCTACCTCGGTGAGGGCAGTTTACAAGCGCTTTTTAAGCGAAAGTACCCCTGTCAGAGAAAGAGCTCAGTGAATGATAGCAAGAACAAATGAGGGTGAGAATCTTCGACTAGAGAGACTTATACCTAGCCAAGGTTGCAAAGGTTCCAGGTAATGGACGCCGCCACCTATAAGTTTTCAATGGAAGGTTGCACAAAATTCTACGGAAAGAAAGGGTTGTCGACTCTGTTGTTAAAAAAAACTATTGTCTATCGAGGCTGGGTTGAATTTGAGACAACAAGCATCAAAATATCCCGCGAATTAGACGGGGACCTCGCCTGAGTGGCTTTCACTAGTACAGGATCAGAGATCTGGATAGCTTAACCATTCTCCACCTTCCAGTCTAGAAGCCTTGACGGGTAAATTGTGTGAAGAAAATTGACTCATTGAATGGGAGGATCCTTTGATCGGAAATCCCCCCGCAGTAGACACCTGGGAGGCAGGAAGTTTGAAGACAGTTCGTGGAAAGCTATGTGGTAAAATTAGGATACAAAGCGGGTGGTGGACTGTGGACGGCGATCCGCTGACTTGGCAGTGGGTTGTCGGAACCATGGGCCGTACACTTAACGTGACTCCCGGTTAGCCGGGCGAACCGGTTAGGCGAGCGACCCCATCAAAATTCAAAAAACCATCAATTTTCAATAACTATTAAAACAACAAAAACAATAAAATATTGACTATTTAATACGTGTAGGGCATTTAGTATAAGTATGACCTTTAATTCCACATCCAGAACATGTTATCTGCCGACGTATTGTAGGCATAGAAGGTAAAGCTGGCTCAGTCTCAGTTTCTGCAGGCACATCTGGCAAAGATATATCTTTGCATTCAATCGTACTCTCAATCACCACATCATATTTGCCACTTTTTACACCTCCAAATATGCCTTTTTTATCAATAAATTGATGTTTAGTGGCACGTTTTTTGATTTGCTTTTTGTTAGTAGCTTCCAATTGGCTACAACGATCTTGGAGAAAAAGATGGTGATGGACGATTTTAATAGTCATATTATATGTCTTCTCAATCTTTCGTTTAACCGGTGAAGATATAATTGAAGATGATGATTCTAGACCTTTTTTGATCGAAGATTGCGATTTGGAGAATTTTGATAGAGTCCAAAGAGTATTGGGGTCGCTGTCGCTGCCGGATGACACTGGTCGTTGATCAAAGACTTCAAGAGCAGGAAGAGAATCTAAGCATATATTTAACTTTTCCAAGACCCTAGTAGCATTAAATGGTGCTAACCCAGTAGCTAAAAAGCTATTTTGGATAGTAGAGCTTTTAAAAGTCTTTAATCTTGCATCCACAATTATTTCAAGAAAATCTTCTTTGTCGATAGAATTGGCTCCATTCCGCATCAAGTTTAAAACAGCTCCACCATAAAGCTTTTTTAACACTGAAAAACAGCCTACATCCAAAGGCTGTAAAAGATGGGACGCATGCGGAGGCATACAGATTGGAATAATCTGGTTTTTCTCGCAAAGTTGGTCAAATTCAGGGGTTAAATGGCTTCCATGACCATCGAGGACCAATAGACAGTATTTCCCAACTCTTTCCCCAATATTTGGGATAAAATGATGTTCCAGCCGCCATAAACCAATTGTATTAGTCGTCCAACCATTTTCACTCATAGTTAAACGAGAGCCTTTTTGGTTTTGAAGAAGATAAGGACGTAAATGTTCTGGAAACAGTTTTCCTTTGAAAATGAAAAGTGGAGGCAAAACACTTCCAGAAGCTCGAATACATTCAATTATAGTGACCCATTCACGATTTCCAGCTTGTAAAAGATGTCTTTTACTATGGTATTCTGCCGAAGAAACAACCTTTTGTGTTGAACCAATACCCATAGCAAAACCACTCTCATAAAAATTGAAGATATCGTCCGAAACAATACCCCACTTTTCGATTGTTGTTTGAACCAAATCAAACCATGGTTTAATAATTCGAGGATCTTTTGAAAGAGCTCTCTGATAGTCATATCGTCGTGAGAAACGACTGGAGAGGTTTGGACGTCGTTTAATAAACTCTGTAGACCAATTTTTACCAACACTAGGTGGTAGGGTAGTAGAGAGTGTATTTTTCTGCGCACGAGGTAGAATATTGGCCATATCTCGCAACATAGACAAATTAAGAGCTGCACCTCTTGAATCCATGCTTAATAGCCAATTTTCTATTGATTCTTCTTCAATTTCAGAGAAAATATAGCGACCGTGTCGTTGTTCAACACATGATTGACGTCCATTAAGCCGGGCCTTCAAAGTTGAGACTGGTAGTTGAAAAGACCGCGCAGCGGCAGCAGCAGAGGCATATTTACCATCTTTTATAGCTTGTATAGCTAATAAAAGACGACCCTCCTGTTCGGCCAGCTTTTTTTTTCCGATCAGAGCGTTGGGGTGGCATCTTTGTTGTGGTTTAAAAAAAAAGTGCTGTTTTGAAAGTGGATTTTTGATGGGGTCGCTCGCCTAACCGGGTCGCCCGGTTAACCGGGAAACACGTTCGCCTCGGGCTCAAGTCAAAACCTTTACATCATCCGGTTTGAATTTTATCGAAAGCTTTCCCATATTTGGACATTATAATGAATTAGACTTGACGCATGGCTCTAAGGATATGCTCAACACGACCTGCTCTCTGGCAAAGTGGGGCTCGGTTTGATTCTTTAATTTCTTTGAAGCTCGTATTTTTCATTCTGCAACTGTAAAGCGAAAAGCAAGTCATGAATGTACAAGCCTTTTACGGTGTTTCCATACCTGCCACAATCAAACCATCAAGCCACTTATTCCCCAAATCCAATCTGACTTTCATTCGATCCTATTCCATACCACAGTGACGCTAAACTCAGCACCATTTTTCGTGAATGGGCCACGAGATTCTGCAATTCTCTTATCCTACACCCGTTTTCCTGCACCCATGAGACCTCCTCCAGGCGAATGGCGATTAAGCTCATTTTTCTACCTCGCGCTATGTCACTTGTTCATCCACTCTTCTTTATCATCAAAAGATGCCTCGTGGTAAGGGTTCCTCTCAAGCCAGTCGTCAGGATTAAAAACAAGCCCAGCGTCGAGATAGAATCGTGTCAAAGTTTTATTGAGGCCTTTGACTATCAGCAAAAATGTCTCTCCCAGGTTATTTTGATGAACATACTATCCAGTGACATGGGATGCGCAGGCTGCAGGGAGAAGCGAGAAGTGCGCTCACGAAAAAGAGTCAATGACTTGGGAATAATAGTGCCTTAGGTAGTAGAAATGAATTAGCCTCGTACGTTATGATAGGGCCTTGAATCACCTTTTGGTATGCACAAGTAATGAGGTTCGGTCGAAGTTTGATCACTTTCAAAGTTATCCAAATAGTGATCAAATGACCCTCTTGTAATCTCTTGCATGAAGTGAGTGTTTGGCATTAGTAGTGCACCATTTGAAACTGAATTGAGTTAGCAAGTGAAAAATATGGATTTACTTTCGCGTACAATCAGCGGTAATGTTCGCCTGCACCATGCCGTCTGCGGAAACTTGAACTCCATCCTCATACTCCCAATCATCTTGTCCGATAGCTCTGTCATAAAGCTGCGAGTCGCGGTGGATTTGAAATCGATAGAGACTTGCTGGAAAGGTTCGGTGTGTTGACACGTATGATAAAGATCGACGATTCGGAGAACAAAGTCTACCACAAGAGGAACCTTGCGCGCGACGAAGAAAATTGTGAAACATCGCTGCGTTGTAAGGTGAAAAAAGTCTTAGGCCTGGAGACCCGATGCCTCAGCTTAAGGAAAATGGCAGTTTCCGGTTGACGCGAAAACTGCATTGGTAAGATGACAAATAAATCACATGATTGGTTAGAATTCACGTGTCAAATTCCCTCTTACAGGTTCTCCCAGTTCAGAAACCACATGCATAACTGCATAATTCCAAATATATAGCGATACCACCACGGCCATCATCTATTGAAATATTGGGTCAATGCTATTACTACGAAAACAAAAGTCCTTAGCGCAAGAGGAGTCATTGATTCAGCCGACTATGGTTTCAAAGAATATCCGAGCCTAATCACTCGGCATTTAAGCATATGTGTGACGAAGCTCACTCAGTAGCTTGAGGGTACCGTTGCAACCATTCCTCTTTGGTAAAGCGCTGTCCCTTTGAGGTCAGGAAAGCATTGATCTTGGCGTTGAGCTCTTCGTTGATTGTCAGCTAAACTTTTCATTTTGGTGCCAGAGGTCTATCACCTACCTTCGACTGTCATCTCCTTCCGAGCTTGCAGTGAGTAATGGTCGCCAAATTCGTGGACGAGGATGAGATCATCAGGCAATGCAGTTCCTTAAAAGGGGTTCAGATTGGAAATGAATGAGGGGCTTCAATAACTTTGTTCACGAACCTGCAGGAACAGCATATACATAAATCGTAGAGCCCCTGAAAGTGCGAACGAGATTCTGCTGTCCGGCGGAGTTGGGGCGCATGGAAGCGCCATTGGGCCCTGTGTTTGTTTGTCAATGAGATGAAGTACACATCTTGGGACTATCAATAATTTACATTCATAGGAAGTTGGATCGAGAGCTTTGGGTTGGACTTTTCCTGCAGCTGTCAGGAGGTCGAAGCTACGCTGCGGTCGCACAGGGCCTGGCTGAGCGCGAAGGCGAACAGCAGCTCCTGTGTTCAGGCGGAACAACTCCTTTGGGATCTGAGTGAAAGACTGAATAAATCTGTTTGTTGACATTTTTCTAGGCCAAACGAAAAATCTGCGAAGAATGTTTTTCCAAATATGAATAGAGTGATTTGGTGAATTGGAATAAAATGATCAATTGGGTGTTGTGGGACGAGGCCTGACGGGCGATATATATGTTAAGATTTTGTTCCTCTCCAAAACTGAAACGCGGAGAGCATGGCAGAAATTAGCGCCCATATTTCGGCTTCTATTAATAATAACCGCGCGCCTTCAAGGCCCCACATAGTGACACGATGTGGCCAATCTTACCATAGACAGAGGATACGGGACACGAAGCTAATGCAAGATTGAAGGTTGCGTGTGCTCGAATGCATCGTCGGAGGGCCATAGAGATAGCGTAGATTGAAGCTGCTCAGCGAGGCTGAAACGCTCGGGGGACATTGAAATCATGAGCAATACCGCTGGACCCTTCTTGGCATATTTCATTCGTCACGTCGTCACGTCTAAAGGCAATATGCGCGCGTAGATGCACGTTCTATCAAATCATCCGCTGGAGGCCCCAAATCGGGGGTGAAGAGCTCTTTCATTCTTTGGCGGTGGATCCCCGCGCATTCTATCGCAAAAGCAAGACTTACAGGGTAGGAAATGTATGAGCCGCTGACCGAACATCTCTGAGCTGGTTTATCTGCTGACGTGGCCTGCAGGGTGGACTTGGACTAGCGGCTACATTATGGCCACCATTGGCCAAAGAATCCTCATAAACGGGGGCGGTGTTACATCGCAGGTACAACTATACCAAATCTGTTTTTCTTTTTTTAAGCCAAGCTAGATGGCGTTAGACCCCGAATAAGTTCTGAGTTGACTCTTTAAAAACTTTAGTCAGCCCCTCTCTTGCTCACTCTTATCATTTCGTCCCAACTCTTACATATTATTGTCATCTCTTTTCCACATGTGTACGCATCTCCTTTCTCTTATTTACTTTTAGTTTTCTTGCACAGATCCTGAGCTAGCCCTCTAAGATATTTAATTTAATCCCAGTATGACTTCGTCGGGAAAACCAAAGACAACCCGATCAAAGAGGCCTGGGCTAGAGCAGCTTCTCCAAAAGCAGCTAGACGCCTTCGATGACGAGAGCCGCCCTATGCTTCAATCTCAACACGAACGCCTACAATCATGCTTGGCTTTTCTTGAAAATCCTGTCCCGACTGGGCTGTCGGAGGCACAACGCTTCGGGAGATTAAGGGCGCGAAAACTGTTGTTCGACATTCTTCGACATCTAGGTGAAGTACCTTTTCTGCTCTGTGCTACCGCAATAAGTATCACCAGGTTGGCAAGACTGTCAGATGAAACTGTGCTGGAAGTACGTGGATGGTGGAAAACGGTCAAGAGGTGCCCGAATGGTCTTCTTATCAAGGCCAAAGAAATATGCAATGACGAATTTAGACAAAAATACACAGCGGGTGAGGCTCTGCTCAACCCTCGACGAAAATATTCACTAATACAAATAACAGATATGCCGAGACAAACCCCTCCCTCGACTCAACCTCCTCCCACAATCGTCGACATTGAGTTCACAGAGCTTTTGAACTTTTTTCAAAAGTATGAGCTAGATTCTCCAAAGTTGAAGCTTATTTGTCCCCTGTTTGGCTCACCATTGCCGTGGATTGATATAAATCTCGATTCTTCGGAAAGGACAGCACATATCGAACTTTCTTTGAGAGCAAGTGAGGCGTTGGTGAAGCATATTCGAGTCGCACGGGATCTAAGCGGCGTAACGGAAGTACCGAACTGAAGGACTTTGGTAAACCCTGCATGTTTCGCCAGGTTTTATAAGAATCAAAGAAACTCCTGACGCCATTTCCGGTCCTGAAACCTCGTTCAACACCGGGCTCGTGTCGACTCTAACGGCGCCCCATGCACTATCCTTTTTCAAAAGCAATGCGGGTATTGACGGATCAATGCTTTCAAGATTGACGCCAACTGTCCAGTCTTTGTCAAGGGAAACATTTTTTTTCACCTGTTTATTACATTAGAAGAGCGCCGTAAGATTCAGGGCATTCCAAACCTTCTCTTGGACAATTTTTTTCAGATAATCATCATCATGCGCAAATGCAAGCACTGGTATCACTTCACTATTTTCGGCCATTGTTCGAAAGGCTCGCCGTAAAACGTATTCGGAATAAAGCCGTCGTGTGGAAGCGATCCAAACCCAAGATGTATTTTCACGGTTTACAGGCGGTCGGTGTGGCGACGGTTGAGTAGGAAGACTCTTTGGAAATAAGTCTGTAGAGGGTAAATATTATCGAGGGTGAGAAGATCTGCTGGAGCCGTGACGTAAATGGTAGACGTCTGAGGTTGTTATGGACATGGTTGTTCAGGTGGTGAGGTTTTGGTTTTCGGCGGGGTATCGGCGGGGCTCAGTGTTGCAACATGACAAAGCGAGACCAGCCCGATCAGAACTCAGGAGAGAACAGCTCAGGCAGCAATGCTTATCTCGTAAAAATTCATCTAGCAAAGATGAACTCACTGGCTATATTGTTTCGTCCACGTAGTTTTCTTCAGGATCAAGAGAAAGCCTCCACTCGAAGACACTTCCATTATTTATCAGGCGTCGAACACGATCGCTGAAATAGGCCTATGGAAGGCTGACCTGATCAACCAATAAAATGATATCAGTCATATGTACCATGTCACGCAAGAGCAGACACAAGCAAGCCTGAGAAAATAAGAGTAAGCACGAGTCGATACGACCGTGTGACCCGGCTGCGGTAGACGAAGGCCAATCACGGCCAGTTATCGAAATGCTGTACCTGATTTGGACTCACTACAACAGTGAACCCTAGCCTGTTTCTTGCAAGATGCATATCCAATAGTTCTGGCCACCGTCTGATTCAGATTCTTGTCAATGCAATGACAGAGAATACTTTCACGAAGGGTACTTTTTTGCCTGCATTCAAACTCATTTTCATCCGTAGCTAACCCCCGTGGTAATTGAAAGGGCTGGAAGTTGGTGGTTAGCAAATAGTATATAAATGGAGGACCAGCCTGTCGAACTCAGGAGTTTTTTCTTTCATCTATCCATTTTCAATCTATCTATTCACCTCAATCCTAGTCTATTATTGCTCATAGCCACGAACTCAGTTGGTTGATCAGCTCGACATGGCAGAATTTCAAAGTAGCACAGACCAAAATATGGCACTTAAGGGGATTTCGTCGCCTTGTCTTCCACACATGACACCGCCAGATAGCCCGACCAACGAGACCCGCCCTCAAGCATCTTTAAACGATCTGAAGAAGCTCCTTGAGAGTTTGCTATCTGAATTTGAAGATCCTCCGAACAGCCCCATCTATCAGGAAAACTACCAACCAGGACGAGATGCAATTGAATTGCAGATATTGCTTGCGCAGTTCATCCGCAGTAAACAGTCGTCTACGGTGGTCGAAAATACCAAGTCTCGTTTTGATGGCAGTGAACAAGAGTCCGCCACTCCGCTGATAGGCGAAGCAAATCACCCGATCTGTACCACACCGAGTGATTTCAAGTCGTTTGAGAAATGGGCATCAAAATCCCAATTCATAACAGTTTTGGAAACGTATGAGCCACAGCCTCCCCTTCCATTTCTCAAGAAAAAATATCTGATGCGGGTATAGCTGGGACAAAGAAGCAAGCAAATACAAGATAGCAGAGCCAGTGGACGCCAGCTGCGGTCCGGACAACTATGCTGAATATGCATTCGTTGTACGCAAACGTGTGGGTACGTACTGTCGTTGCCTGGCGGACTGAGACCATACTAATGGTTTGATTAGATCGAGATACCGGGGAGGTGACGCCGTACATAGACGTCAAATCGGAAGGCCTACGTGACATACTTCGTGAGGTGCTGCACGACATCAAATCTATTAGCCTGATGGAGGACAAGCCATCGGTAATGTGACATAATATTACATCCAAGAAGATCGCTGACCAGTATTTAGATTGAGCAAAACGTCCTTTTCCATTTCCTCCCCGGATTCGGAGAATATGCGAATCATATGGAAAACGATCCGGACCGCGGGTCGGCACATGCGCAGCATCTCCGCCTGCTCATTGACCACCTCAAACACGCATATGCTCCTATCTCGCAACGTCTCGAGTCAATGTTACAGCACGGCCATATTACTTACGACCTTCTTTGGGCACTTTTCAAGCCTGGTTGCCATATGTATACCACATGTATTGGCACAAAAGAGCCACGGTGCGTCATTTTCGACGCAGGGGAAGAGTTAACAAGACATGACGAGACGTGGTTCAATCTCGAATGCCGATTCCTTGATTACGACGGAGTCAAGTTCGGCGAGGCCGGAATCTTTCTGCGTGTGCCAAAGTTCCGAGGGTCAAAGCCGATCGCGACTCTTGAGGCTTACCCTCTCCGCCACCATCCGAGTCACGAGCAAGTCCGAAAAGACCTAGTCGAGAGAGGCGAAAGGTTTCGAGATTTTGCTGGCTCGCATATTCAGCACTGCCAAGGCAATGCATTCTTTATGCACAAGGGCAAGGCTATCAAAGTCAACATCAACAGTCGAGTCGCAGTGGACGCCGCATTTTTCCATGAAATGCAGCCAAACTACTCCCGGCCGTCTCTCCGCGACATGGAGGTGAAGGAAAAGGACGGCATTGCCTTCTTTGACATAGGTGCAATGTTTATGGAGGAACGTGAGCAAGAAAAGGAGAAAATGCGAGGAGACGGCGTGGAACCACAAAAGCTGGACGAGGCCGATTTGTTAATCGCCTGTCCAACAGTTTGTTGTTTCAGTTTCAAGGAGAAAATGTTTTGTATGTGACGTGCTTGACAGTTGGTTGAGGAGTGGCTAATGTGATTCCAGTGGAGTGCGCAGTTAGTGCTCTTAGGGACGTGAACTGGTCACCTGAATCATTTGACTGCCTGCAAATTCCGCCAGAGAACAAGACACTTCTCTTATCAATGGCAAAAACCCGCTTGGGTTTGATACCGACAGTACCCTTTGACGACGTAATTGACGGAAAAGGTCAAGGACTCAACATCCTTTTAAAGTATGTCAACAAATTATTTATGCAACATATCAAGACTTCCATCCTAACCAGAGTTAGTGGGCCACCCGGCGTCGGAAAGACATTTACGGTTGAAGCAACATCGGAATATTTCAAGCTGCCTCTATACTCGGTACGAGCCAATTGTGGCCCTGGTAGTGACCTCGCTAACCTTCTCAGATATCTGCAGGCGAGCTCGTTGTCGACCACGGAGATTCCAATGCGCTTGAACAACAACTTGAGACTATTTTCAAGATCGCTCATCACTTCAAAGCCGTGCTCCTCTTGGACGAGGCAGATGCGTTTATGGAGCAGCGTACCTCTTATCACGGTGCTCACAATCGTCTGGTGACTGTTTTCCTCCGAAAGCTGGAATATTATCAAGGCATTTTGTTCTTGACTTCGAATCGGGGTATTCAGTTTGATGATGCAATCCTCAGCCGGATCCATTTAATCATCACGTATGAAGGCTTGAGCAGGGAATTTCGCAAGGGTCTCTGGTCAACCTTTTTGGCCAGGGCACAAACAGTTCAAGGGTCTGCCAAGATCGAGGAGCACGACCTTCGGCGGTTGGAGGCTTTGCATCTCAATGGGCGCGAGGTGGGTTCCGGAGCCCTGCCGTTTACTTCTTGTTTGCTGACTGACATCGATAAGATCAAAAACATCGTAGCAATTGCACATGCCCTCGCTGAGGCGAATGCCAGCCAAGTGGACTACAAATACATTGAGTCAGCCGCCGGCTCACGTAAGAAATTTTCGAAGGAGTTTGGCAGACAGATGTATATCTAGCAGCATACCTGGGGAACCCATGCTAGCAATGTTGTTGATTGCCGATGTCAAGCGGCTCGGCTCTTGTTGCGATATTTCCTTAGTACACGACAGTCCATCTCATCAGTCCTGAGCTTAACAGTTGAATCCACGTTTTCATATGATCCATGGCATCCCAGAAAGCCTTATGTACTGAAATTTAATGAAAGTTCGCAATGATATTATAATGATGATTCATTCGTAAAAGGCTTCAGCCAGGCCCGCATAATCATTCGGGGATGTCGAAGAAGATGTAGGAGCGTGAGTCACCTCCAAAATTATCATTGATAAAGACAATGTGGGTATCAAGAATAAGATAACTAATTTGAGAGGTATAAGGAGGATTCCATTCTTACGAAACACGGACACGTTTCGCATCTGCTGCCTCTGCTTGACATAGTCGTCGTTTTGCGGCTCCCGGTCGATGCTTAGCCGGTCGGCATCTCAGAGTAGAGCGGTGAAAGTCGATGATCAAAGCACGCCCGAGCTCTTCACTCCAAAGAACATTGTCTAGCCTCAGGTCTTCATGTATTATCCCGAGAGCTTTAATTTCCTTGTTCGATTTCTTAATCTCCCGGCGGAGCCGTTGCGTCAGCTCCATCGCCGCTACGCTTTCACCTGCCCAGCCCATTACGAGCATATGGCGGATTTGCCCAGCGCCATGGAGAAAGTAGATTTTTGCTAGGTCAACAGTACCCAAGAACACAGGCACGGCGGACCCTTGAGCCCTCCGCAGGATTTGATATACCTGCGCCTCTCGAGAAACCTCTTTCCACAATCCTGAAGTGGTGCCTTTGCCGATAACCGTATAACCATATTTCATGCAAGTAAGTTTGAACGGGGCACCGTAGGAGCCACAGCCCCCAAGAGGAATGCAACGATCGATATTTTCGTCCAATTGGCTCTTCAGTAAGAGCATCAAATCTCCGACCGAGATA